CCCAGTATCTCACTTTCCACACAGGAGACGTTCCAGAATTTGATATTTCAGGTGTTTGCTGTGGTTTCTTTCACAGTCTCTAACGGACTCTGCTTCTCTCCTCTTAGGGCAGGCGTGGGAGACTGGGACCCCCAGGACCACCGGGAATCCCTGGCCCACCAGTAAGCACACTTCCCTTACTTGTTTATTAATAATAATAATCCTTGCATTTGATATAGCACCTTATCCTGTGGAGTCCTGTAGCTCAGTGGTTAGAGCACTCGCTTTGCAAGCAAGAGACCTGAGTTCAATTCCAGGCAGAGGGCGAAACCTTGGGCAAGTTTCCTTACTCCACACGCCTAATAATAATCCCTCCAAAAAAAAAAAAAAACAATAATTAAATTGGTCATTTTCAATCTATGACTGTTTGTGGGACATTGCTGTGCGCAATTGGCTGCCGCGTTCGCCCACAAAATATACAGTCAACTCACTTTACAGTATATTCTGTGAAGCGCTTTGGGACGTCCTCCCGACGTGAAAAGCGCTATATCAAATGCAAGGATTATTATTATTATTATTATTATCACGTTATTAAGACGTCTCAAAGCGCTTCAAAGGATTTTCTGTAAAGTGGATTGACTGCGTACCCTTGAGTCCGTGCCCTCTCAATCTACTGTCGAGGATCTGATCTGAGAGAAGAAGCAAGTCTCACTGTTGTGTGTTTATTGTTTAATCCAGGGCCCTGTTGGACCTCCAGGACATCAAGGATCTCCAGGGAAATTCGGGATTCAGGTCAGCTTCCCTGCGATTGTTGTGTTGTGATTTGAGGCATGGCAGAGGTGGGGGGGGAAGAGGGAATTTTTTGACACATTTTGTGTTCCCGGACCCTCCAAGCATCAGAGTTCTTTCAAATTGACATTGGACTCCTTTGCCTTTGCCTTACTCCAAATATTGAGAATGATATTTTTGAACCAAACTATTTTCGTTTTACTTGTTACTTCAGTTTAGGATTCTTCTTAGCTGGGTCAGGGTTTATTAACTACCTATTTAACCCTTGGATTAATTGGTTTATGTTACAGGATTCAGAGTCTAAGCTATCAGTTGGGGATTTGGTTAAGGTTGGTTAATTTTTAGGGTTAGATTGTTTGGTGTTTAAGGTTGGGGTTAGAGGAAGGGGAGCTATGGGGAGTGGAGCTGCAGAAATTGTACAGATTCACAAGAAAACGGATTTAACTCCGCTTTCAATACCAAACGTCGACAGTGGCAGAATTGCTGACAATACCTTTGACGCAGGGTGGGTATTCTGGGAGGGTGAGATTAAATGGGCTGAAGGGTTTTCTTCAGAATACCCACTCTGCTGTCTTCCCATAACATTACGTTGGCCTCAAGGGTCATCTCCAGTCACCCATTTTAATTGTAACTTACCTTCTATAAAGGGAAATACTTCCTGGTGTATACCCTGGTATTGTCCATCACTACCTGAACCCCTGGTCTCTTTCCCTGCTCCATCAATATCGCCAAGTTATTATTATTATGAATTTACTTTCTGAATTCCAGTTATTGTGGATGTATTCAAGAGGAAGCTAGACTTTCACATGCGGGAGAGGGGAATAGAAGGATCTGGGAGGGATTAAGGAATGGATGGAGACTGATGTGGTGTATAAATGGCATGGACTGGTTGGGCCGAGTGGCCTTTTTCCGTGCTGTACAATTTTTGTAAATGTTTGTATATCCAATAATCCATAAAAACTGTCAAAGGCCTGGCTCAGGAACCGGACTACTGAGACCATCACAGTGGGTTGACTCACTTCTGACATTGCCTTGCCAAACATATCACCCTGGAGCCAACTGAACCCCAAGGAGACCTCAGTTACACCCCCCCACCACCAGAAACACAGACACACACCCCGAGAGGAGGACAGTATCATTTGAGTAAATGATGGATGATTAACCCAAACCCTTTCTCCTTTTCCTCAGGGATTGCCTGGTGAAACCGGTCTCAATGGGAGGACTGGGCATCCTGGTTTACCGGTACAGTATTGTCATACCATGCTTTTTATACATTTGTGATCAGTACAACAACAAATTGCATTTATATAGCGCTTTTCACATTGGGAGGATGTTCCAAGGCATTAGGCAGTCAAGGTTTGGAATCAAGACAACTGGAAGGTAGGAGGGTAGGGAGGTGGGAGGATAAAAGAGGTCAAAGAGAAAGATCTTGAGACAAGCCTTGAAGGAGGCAAGTGAAGGGCCAAGGTGGAGGGATGCCAGGCTGAAGTTCCAGAGGGTCGGGCAGAAAAGTTGGAGGTCCAGTGATCAATCATAGGGTGGGCAGGGCAGAGGACATGGAGCAGGCCAGTTAGTATGGTTTTAGTGGGTCGCAGAGGGAGGGAGGAGCAAGAGCGTGGAGGACAGCACAGGGAATACATGGTGCTTAACAATAATGGCTTGGTACCTGAGCAGAGGGTGGGGAGGAGAAAGATGACCAAAAGCACGGTCAAAGAGGTAGGTTTTGAGATGGACTTTAATATCCATCTATACAGGCATTCATACCTTGGTTTAAAATCTCATCTGAGATGAGCTTGAAGGAGGAAAAAGAACAAGGGGAAGGGACTGTGGAATGGAGTTCCAAAAGGTGAGGCAGAAAGGCTGAGGGCTCGACTGCCAATGATGTGTGGCAGGGCAGGAAACATGGCTGGAGCCCGTTGAGCAGAGGGAGTGGACAGGCCAGGCCTCATAAAATCATTGATCAGAAACTCAAATGGGATTGAACATTTAAGATGCAGACTAACGCCAGCTGATGAGTTGAAGCTGTCCCTTGTTGTGCAGTACAAAAGATGCTTTGGGAGATCCAACTCATTCCTCCCATATTTCCTTCTCACGGTTCCATATAACGATGAAACGAATAGCATTTCAGATAGTGGGTTTAGATACATTCATAAGAAATTAGGTTCCTTGCCTTTTAAAGTTGCTTGTGCAAGAGCAATAGATGCTAATGTATTATTTTCTCTCTGATGTTATGTGTTATTCTGTCTGGTAGTCCTTTCCTGCATGTTCATTTTGTATCCTGCTAAATTAGCATTTAATTCCTAACCTTAAAATGCCACCACCCCCTTGTCTGGGAATGTAGGAAAACAGGAAGAGGCCTTTCAGCCCATTGAGTCTGTTCCACCAGTTTGTTAGATCTTGCCAGATCTTTTAATCCCAATCCCCCCACTCATTCTCTAAACCTTCAACACCTCTATTTCCCAAGTCTCTGTCTATCTCTCATTTAAATCCCTCCCGCCTCTACCGCTCTGTAGTGTTCCACATCTTCACAATCCTCTGTGCAAGCCTTGGTCTGTGGGCTTTAGTCTTCTGACCCAGAGGCGAGAGTGCTACCATACCGAGCCAAGCTGACACTGGCTATGCGTGATTTGATGCAGCTTTGAATTTATTTATTAAAAGCAGTCGCTAAAAGCTTAACATGAGTCAATGATGCTTGAGTCAATCGGATGTAGTAGGAGTGTAGTTGAATGGAGTCTACATTTAGAATAACATCCGGACTAGCGGACTGTGTTACCACGATCTAGCTCAGTTAAGAGAGTTCGGGTGACTCCATAAATCACGAGAGCACTTCAAGGCAAGATTGGAATGTAATAACGTGTCTGATCTCAGTGGCTCAAAGTGAAAGGATGAATTTTAATCCTTGCGTTTGATAACAAGCACGCTTTATGAATGCTTAACAATCCCTGTTTCCAGACCCTCGTCTTTGACCGCGCCTTGGGTCACCGTCCTACCCACACCTCCCCTTGCCCTCCAGCCCTCCTGATCCCAACCCCCAGCTCAGGTGCAATCTCCTCATTGTGCAGCACCTTGGGACGTCCTCTTGACGTGAAAGGCGCTGTGTCAATGCAATTTGTTGTTGTTGTCGTTGGTTTGTCCATTCCACATATTCACTGCTCAAAAGTTGACCAGAGCCGACTGTGAGCTAAGTATTTTTTTTTAACGCAGGGTTTTCCTGGCAAAGACGGAAACCAAGGCATTCCGGGGAATCCCGGGTCAAAGGTAAAGTATTGACCTTGTTATTTTGAGTGTTGCGGTTGTCATGTGCTGCTGGTAATGGAATTACAGAATTAATTGCAATCGACATCTCCATTATTGTAGATTTCCTGGCGACGGCTAGGATGGTAGAAGGTGAACCAGATTGACCTTGGTCTATTTTGTCTAGCAAATCTTATGACAGTATTACAAATACCTAGGAATCTCTCACTACCACCAATCGTTAGATCTCAGATAAACCTTTCTGGACACAATAAACTTTGCCCCTAGCCTTCTGGCTTAACACGAGACAGTGAATAAATCACAAGATTGGTTCCAATGAAGAAGACCCTTCTGCCCATTTGATCCCATACCTGCAGAACACCCACCCTACTGCCTCCCCCATCACAGCATCAAGCTACTTTTTAACTGAGTCCCAGTGTCCTGGACTCAACCATCTTTCCTGGAAACTTGTTCTAGTCGTTAATTACCCCCTGGGTAAAGAAAAGCTTCCCCGCATCTGTCCTGAAATTTCCTATTGCAACTCTAAACCTATGTCCTCTTGTTCTACTGTCTTGGTACATCCTAAAGTGCTGTTGAGGGTTTACTTTTTCCATTCCATTTGAAATGTTACACACCTCTGTGAGGTACCCTCTGAGTCATCTTCTCTAGCTTGTCTAACCCTTGCTCAGAGCTGACTCCTAGAACACTGGGGATCATTCTTGTTTCTCTCATCTGTATTGCCTTCAAAGCCTGGGCAACCCCCTTATATCCAACAGTAGAACACAAATGACAGTAGAACACTGACTATCTGCACACCAATTTATTATGCCTGTCCATTTATCTCCATTGGTGGATACTGCTGGAATTTGCCCAGGAGAGAGCCAAAGCGAGAGATGAGAAAATGGTTGGCAAGTGTGATGTGCTTACAAATGGATAGTGTTTTGCCAGTATCTCACAGACTCTCACCCAACTTCCACATCAGAAGGCAATGTAGATAAATGGACCGGTCGATAACTGGCATGCAGATAGACATATTTGGACCCAAGGGACCTGTCCAGTGACAATTATACTCCTTGTGGAACAATTTTTTAGTTAGCGCTGGAATCAATTTGTCACTTGCTTGAATGTCCAATTATCTGCACTGTTTGCTTACCTGCAATGGGGGGCATCCCAATTAGAACAGGCCAAGTCCTTTTCTGCCAGAAACGGGTTCGTCACAGACAATTCGATTGTATTTCTTAAGGTGACATTGGACATGTAAAGCAATGCTATCGATTAACATTAATTGATCTTCTAAAGTAAATGGATACTTAAACAGGAAGCCAGGCAGGTGAGGTGACCTTGAGTTGGGACCTGAATTCCACGTACACCCGGACTCAGTGCTTGAGTAGAAATGAGCTGCAGCCGAGCTTCTGAGCAGCTCGTGCAATCCCTTCCCCCAGTGACTGGTCTGTCTCCCCAAGTCCTGCCAATGAGCCAGGCTGGTTGTGCCGTCATCAGCAGTGCCCTGGAATACTGCGGACCCGCCTGGCTCAACGACAACAGCAACAACTTGCATTTGTATAGAACCCTTCACGCAAGTTAGTGTCTCAGAGTGTTTAACAACCAAACTAGGCTCAGGAACCAAATTAGAGACCATCACAAAGGATTGTCACAATTCCGACATTCCATGGCCAAACATGTCACCTTCAAGCCAGTTCAGCTCCAAGGAGACCCTTCTCCCTCCACAAACCCCCAAGAGAATAGTCTCAAAGGTTTTTAATCCCAATGCCCCGCCCTTTCACCATACCCCTTAAAATCTCTTCTACCCAAGTCTCTGTCCATTTCTCTTTTGAATGTTCCTGTTGATTCTGCTTCCATAGCTTCCTTGGGCAGAGCATTCCATATCTTCGCAACCCTCTGAGTGAAGAAATCCTTGCTGACCTCAGTTATAACTGCCTTGGTTCTGATTTTAAGGTGCTGTCTCCCTGTAATGGATCCCTTTCGCAGAGGGAAGAGTTATCCACTGTCTAACCTGTCAATTCCATTCAAAAACCTGTCAGGTCTCCTCTCAACCTTCCCTATTCTAGTGAAAAGTTCCCCAGTTTCTCTTCATGAGTAAAGTCTCCCATCCCAAGTAACATCCATAGTGAATCTTCTCTGTACCCTCCCAATGGCTCAGCATCTGTCACTCAGGCTTCTTGTCTTCTGTAGGGTGATTCCGGAGTTGTTGGCAAGGACGGATTGCCTGGAAAGCCTGGTGAAAAGGTAATAATAATAATAATATTAATAACAATGATCCTTCCATTTGGTACAGCGCCTTTAATAATAATATTAATAATAATTCATGCATTTGATATAGCGCCTTATCACATCTTAAAACGTTTCACAGAATCTTACTGTAAAGTGAATTGACTGGATATTTGGTGGTGAAACGTCATCTAGCAATGCATAGAATAAATGATATAGTTTGGGACATGACATGCGCATGTGACTGGAAGGATGGTGGAAGTTGAACTGGATGGACCCTTCGTCCAGCTATTATTATATGTTCTTAGGAGGCTGTCATTGTGTCTCGCGCTTCACAGAATTTTGTAATTTGTAGGCAAATATGGCAGGAAATTTGTGCATAGCAATATCTCACAAACAGCCATGAAGTGAGTGACCAATTTTAACTGGGGGATTGTTGGCCAGGACCCCGGGGGAAACTCCCTTCTCTTTTTCGAGTGGTGCTATGGGACCTTTAGCATCTACCTGAACAGGCAGATGGGACCTTGGTTTAACGTCTCATCCAAAGGACAGTACCTCCAACAATGCAGCGCATGACAACCAATCATTGTAGGCCATAAAAATGATGGTGTTCACACCGATCCTCTGGACATCTAAATAGAGTTAAACACTTCTACTGACCTTGTAGACTGTGTGAGGGCAATCTTCTGACTCCAAAGTGAGAGTGCTACCAATTGAGCCAGCCTGACTCCTGCCATGAATGTACTTTAATGACCACATCTTTATTATGAGATGACTGACTGAATCCTTGTCTTTGCTTGTTTAGGGAGATCCTGGTGAGAAGGGAACATCTGGATCCCTGGGAGAAAAGGTAAAGCTGCAAAAACACATTGAACATTGAATCACAGCCACTGTTGATCCCTCTTGTAATCCAGGCTGCAGTTTATCCAATTTATCCAAACTTCCACCACCTACATCTTCACCTGTACCAAACTTCACACACCCATCAACTCAGTGCTTGCCAGATTCCCCTGCCCCCTGGCTCCCAGCAGATCACTTTCAAGGTCCTCACCCTCACCTATAAATCCCTTCACGATCGAGCATTTCACAATTTCTCTGACCTTCTCCTACCCCTATTCCACTGCTCGTCTCCTCTTCCCGGCTAATCATGGCTTGCTCCGCATCCTGTCGACTCTCTGCTTCACCATCAGTGGAAAAGCTTCCTAAGGTCTATGTCCTTAACCTCTGGAATGTGCTCCCTCTAGCACTCTAGCTTGCCCTCCCCACTCTCTAACTGCCGTAAAACCTCCCTCTTCGACTACAACTCTGTTCACCCTCTCCCTCCCTCACTTCCATAACATAACATGTAGGAGCAGGAGTAGGCCACTCAGCCCTTCGAGCCTGCCCGGCCATTCAATCATGGCTGATCTTCTAATCTAACTCCAGCTAATAACCTAACCTTATCCCCATATCCCTTAATCCCTTTTGCAATAAGAAATATATCCTTGAATATGTTCAAGGACTGAGCGTCAACAGCCCTTTGGGGTAGTGAGTTCCATACATTAGGTTCTTCTCCACTTGGGGCCCAGTGTTTTCTGTCAGTGAAGTGCTTCAGGACATTTCAAGTAAAGTGTTGTGAAAATGTGAATCATTATAGTTGTTATTTCAATGCATTAGAGAATTGGAGACAGAGCTCACTGAGATTGGCTTACTAAAGCATCTGCCTGTGGCTTGTGTCTCCCTCAAGAGAATGAATGCGTTGGGTAAAGACCACATGATAATAATCTTTGCATCTGATGTAGCAGGTATAATGTCAAAATGTCTCAAAGCTGTCAAGTGTAGTGACTGTGTGTTTGTAGGCAAATGCAGCAGCCAAGTTGTACACAGAAATATCCCGTAAATAGCCACCAAGTACGTGATTAATTTTTTCTGGAGAATTGATGGTCAGGACATCATCAACAACAACAACAAGATTCCATTTATAGAGCGCCTTTCACGTCGGGAGGACGTTCCAAGGCGCTGGACAGTTGGGTCAGGACCTGAGCAGGGGGTAAATGGTCAGGGTGAGGGGAGGGAAGGGAGGGAGCGAGGAGGAGTTAGAGAAACTCAGCAGAAACTCCTTTCTCTTTTCGAATAGCACCACCTGAAGAAGCAGACAGGATCTCAGTTTAACATCTCAACCAAAGGGACAACATCGCCGTCCACCACAGCTTTGAGCTGTTTCTTAAAGAGTGTTAAACCAGCCTTCTGGCAACCTAATTCCAGTCGTTACTTATCTATGGGTAAAAAAAATACTTCCTGGTGTCTGTCCTGAAAATCCCCTTTGCAACCCTGACCTCTTGTTCTGCTGTCTTGGGTTGTCTTCTGTGCAGAAATTTTCTATATTGCTCACCACAGAATCTTTCTGTCGTACGTTGTTTGTTGAGTACAAGGCTGTGCTCGTGAGATTTGTTTCTGCGTCTCGTTTGATGAGTTACTGCATCTCGTCGGATACACTTGCTGTGGAACAACTGCTTCGGGCAGCAGCAATGTGCTGCCATCTGGTGTCTGCCACACACCCCGCGCTTTGCTTGACGGCTGTTTTCGGATTCTATCGTTTTGCTGAGTGGGAATCAAAGAAAAGGTGTGGTGTCAAAAAGAGGCCCATTTTAACTGAGTTGGAAGTAACTGTTTTCCCGCACCTTATTACCGTTAGATAAATGTATCATCCTCCAGATGAGACGTTAAACCGAGATCCCGTCTGCCTGTTCGGGTGGATGTTAAAGATTTCCACGGCGCTATTCAAAGAAGAGAAGGGAATTTCTCTCTCCCGGTGTCCTGGCCAACAATCCCCCAAATAAAATTAGTCATTCACTTCAAGGCTGTTTGTGGGAGGTTTTACCCACACAGCCCGACCTGAGCGGTAAAATATTAAGGGGATGTGGAGAGAGAGTTGGAAAGTAGTTTTACACCACAATTAATTCAAGGAATACTTAAGTGCCTTGGGACGTCCTCCCGACGTGAAAGGCGCACTGTATATGCAATCTTGTTGTTGTTGTCAAGGAATAATGTAAATTTTCCCCCTTTTGTTTCTATTGTCAACAAGACCGAGGCTCTCCTGATTGGCTCCTGTCAGCACCTCCACACCTTAGGTGCTGACAGCATCACCATCCACGGTTGCCCACTCCACCTCACTAAGCCAGTCCGGAAACTTGGGTTCTTGTTTGACCCTCAACTATCCTTTCTACCCCACATCTGCGCCATGACCCGCTCTGCCTTCCCCCACCTCCGCAACATCGCCCGGCACTGCTGCTGTCTCACACCGCAGGCCGCCGAGACCCTCATACATGACATCATTACATCGAGGCTCGACTATGTAAACTCATTGCTTGTCGGCCGCCCCAACTCCCCCTTCCACAGGCTGTAGATCATCCAGAACTCTGCAGCCGTGTGCTCTCCTGCACCAGGCTCCGCGACTCTATCACCGACTCCACTATCACCGTATCACCGCCCAATTCCACTGGATCCTGGTTCTCACCTTCAAAGCCCTCCACGGTCTTGCTCCCCCCTACCTCTGCGACCTCCTAACCCTCTACTATCCTGTTCGCTCCCTCAGGTCCATAACTCTGTCTGTCCAGTGCCTTGTGATGTCCTCCCGACGTGAAAGGCGCTTTACAAATGTAATTTTTTTGCTGTTGTTGTATGTTTCTTTGACCGTGCCTATGATCGCTGCCCCTTCTCTTAAATACAATCCGCTTGCAGTATGTTCCAATGAACCACGGCCCAAGCTCGAGGAACAGCACCTAATCTATCTGCTGGAGAATTTAGAGCCCTCTGGCCTTAATATTGATTTAAATAATTTAAGGCCACAACAGCTCACCTTCCCTCTCCCCCTCTTCTGTGACCATTACCACATCATCTGGGTCCCAGACTCACCTTTTCACTCTCTGGTCTGCCTGTTTTGTCGCAATTTTCCCCCCTTTGTTTTGCATCATTATCACCTCTTTAACCCATCATCCCTTTTCCTCTACCCCATTTTCTCCTCTGTCTTCCTTGCCCTGCCTCCCCCCTCTCTGTTAGCCCTTAAAAACCTCTCCCTCCCAACATGCCCCAGTTCTGATGAAGGCTCGTGGATCCAAAACGTTGACTCAGTTTCCTTTCTCCATAGATGCTCCTGACCTGCTGAGTGTTCCCATCGACTTCTGTTTTTGTTCCACTTTACAGTATATTCTGTGAAACGCTTTGAGACGTCTCAATGACATGATAAGGTGCTATTTCAAATGCAAGGATTATTATTCTTCCTATTCCCTTGCTCAGTGCCTGACCCCTTCATTGTAGAGCACTCCAAAAGGTTACCCTACATGAACGATGCTCTACAAATACAGGTTATTGTTGTAGCTATTGAAAGCTGTGTTTTCCAGGGCGACAGAGGAGATCCCGGTGATACAGGGCAACATGGGATAAAAGGAGCGAAGGGCGAAACTGTGAGTTTACTTCCAATTGAGCGATTTGATTGACTCTTCGATTTATTCCGTGATCAGTGTATGAAAGGGCGTATGTTGTGTGCAGTTTAATATTGCATTGTATGTTTTATAGGGCGAGTCTCAAGAAGGCCCAAGTGGTGAGAAAGGGGATAAAGGCACAAAGGTAAGGACTTGTTCATGATGTATCTCTAAGCCAAAGGTGGTCAACCTGATTGAATATGCTATTTGGTTATTTCTATGATTAATTTGATGGCCAACCAAAAAGGTCGGTGACCGTGTTAAGCACTGGTACATTGGTTACCACTGATAGATCATATGTTGGTCACCAGCTTGAACCCACATCTTCTGACTCAGAGGGGAATCTACTACTACTGATATATACTGTTATATACGGGTGTACAGTTGAACCCAGGATATGTGGAGATCCAACATGATATCAGACATCCCACCTGCTCTTTACCCCTCTCAAATTTAAGATGATGGAAACTTTTCAAACATTTTGAAAACTACTGTGAAAGACCAGCTTCCAAATTACAACAACAACATATTACATTTGTATAGCGCCTTTCGCGTCAGGAGGATTTTAAGGCTGAATTGAACTGAAATTTGTTCCCAGATTTCTTTAGCAGAATCTCAATGTTTAAGTCATTCACTTTATGACTGTTTGTGGGACGTCGCTGTATGCAGACAGTGTTGTCAGTGGCAAGCTGTGCGGTTTAGTTGGTTAAACCCCCCCCCAATGCACACTGGGTGGTCTCCAAGCCTTGGTTCTCTCGCCAACCTGCAGCTAACACTCTCCGGAATTAGCTCAGCTGGAGAGGGAGAGAGAGAGAGAGCACATTCCAGTCCAGAGAGAGGGAAATGTCAATGTGTGGGTGGTATGCATTGAATTCTCAGTTTGATTTGGAGACTCTTAAGCCCGGTGATGGGTTTCCACATGTGTCAAGACACCCGGCTGACCAAGAAAAAGCAAAGGCCACACAGCGAGACAAGTGGCCATCTCCGGGGGGAGGTGAGAGGGATAAGCTCTTCAGTTTTCTTTCAAATAACAGTATGGGAAGAGCTCCTGAATGTCCACCTCAAGGGCAAAAGACCACAGAAAAGGAAAGCAGTTTTATTGCGCGGTGGAACTGTTGATGGTTGAGGGCACTTTCCCTCATGTGGCTTGCATTTTTCTTTTAGTCCTGAACGTTTTCTTTGGTTTATTTTTAACATCCAGCTTACCAAAGGGTTCATTTACCTTTGGTCACCTTAGTGTCTGAGATATTCAAGAAACCATCACCGTTGCTTAAGAGTATTCAAACCAAACTGAGAATTCCATGCATCCCACCTACACATGGAAATCCCAGAGACAGAGTGTGCATTGGGGTAACTGCTGGAGTCTAACCAGCTAAAACTGCACAGCTTGTCATTGCTATCACTGTCTGGCAAGCTTTCCCGCTGCTTATCCAGCTAGGACCACCCTACCAAAGGGTTCAAATAGACTGAAGACCTTTCTCACATTGTGGACGTGCTTCTGAATGGCACGACTGACCTTTGGTTGAGGAACAGCTGCAGTTCCCTTGGGAAAGGGAAAGCCAGTTGCCTTATGCAGAAGGCTGTAGCTGTCCATCCATCCACCCCACCTCCCCAGCCCTTCCTTCTCTTCCCCCCTTGCTCACTTTCATCCATTAGTTTTCACTGACTTGTCAATGTCAAATGCAAGGATCATTAGTGTGTCAGCTTCCCGCAGTGCCAGCACTCTCTCGTAGTCAGAAGGTTGTGGGTTCAAGCCCAACATCAGGACTTTGAATCACATTATCTAAGCTGACACTCTAATGTAGTGCTGGGGATGTGCATGGTCAGAGTTGCTGTCCTTTGGAAGAGACTTAAACTGAGGTCTTGTCTGCCTGTTCATGTTGACGTTAAAGAACCTGCGGCATTATTCAAAAAGAGAAGGTAGTTTCTCCTTTCCCGTGTCCTGGTCAACAGTTCCCCAGATGAAAAGTAATTGGTCACTCACTTCATGTCCTGTTTGTGGGTCGTGGATATGTGCAAATTGTTCTGTCATATTTCGCTGTTTACGCTGGTTGGGGAATCTGTAATCACGGGGCACAAATGAGAGATGGGGACTAGGGGAATCTAAAAGAGAATGTAGGAGGAACTATATCACACAGAGGGCAGTGAGATGGCAGAACTCGCTGCCTGAAGTCGCGGTTGAATCAGACATTGAGGGGTATGGGAGGGATATGGATGAAGACTCGTGTGGAGTGTAAACAAGCCACAGACTGGTTGGGCCAAGTGCTCTGTTTCCGTGCTCTACAGTCTTCGTAATCTTTGTGACCAACAAAATAAACACTTCTTACACTGAAAAGAAAGCTGTGTGAAGCGGCTTGGGACATTTTGATGTGATAAGGCACTGTATCAAATGCAAGGATTGTTCTTATCAACATTTTATCTCCAGTGGATAGGTCGTCAGTACCTTAGCCTCAATCGGCCATGTGAACTCACTCTGTGCTGCCATTCCTATGATTTGCCCAGAAGATATACAGTCAATTCACTTTACAATATATTCTGCCAAGCGCTTTGAGACGTCGCAAAGACATGATAAGGCGCTCTATCAAATGCAAGGGTTATTAATTATTTTTATGATTCTCTGAAATTTTCTGCAGGGTGAAGCCGGATCGATGGGCCCACCTGGTCCACCAGGAATGGTGAGTGACTTTCAATATATTTAATAACATTCATTTAAAATGCTGATGAGTATGATGACAGAGAGGTGCAAATCAGCCAGTCTTGCTACTTGCAAATGTTAGACAATGGTGTTGTGAGTGTCTGTGTGTGTGAGGGGTTTGGAGGGAATTCACTTTTATGGTGCATTCAATAAGCACAAATGTCCAGGAGACACTGTTCTTGAAACCCAGTATTGAATTTGAGTAGGCATTAGCCTGGGTCAGTCTCGCCTCAAATCAGAAGGCTGTGGGTTCAAGCCCCACGATGGGACTTTGAGCTCAGAGACCTGGCTGACACTTCAGTCCAGTGCAGAGCGAGAGGAGGAATTATTGCATTATCAAAGGTGCCTATCTTTGGATGAGACGTTATACGAAAGCCCCATAAGGACTATTCAAAAAGTGAAGGGAGTTTATCTCAAAGTCCTGGAAACGCCGTTTATTGAAGGGTATGGGAGTGAAAGGGAGAGTGGGATGAATGACGTGGCTGTTTGTGGGATGGCTTGTGTGCAGAGAAACACTGATGGAAGAAAAACACTTGTGTCCTTTGTGTTTCACTTCAGGGAGTCCCTTCGGAATATGCCCTGAACCAATTTGTAAGTAATTTGCCTTAAATATTCCTCAATTGCTGTACACTAAGACTCTGTAAGAGCAGCCCCCGATCAGTTACAGAAACCCCAGTGGGTATTGCTGAAACTCTTGTTCATGCCTTCATCACCTCCAGGCTCGACTGTGCAAACACCCTGCTTGTCGGCCTTCCCAACTACTCCCTCCACAGGCTGCAAATAATCCAGAACTCTGCAGCCCGTGTCCTCTCCCGCACCAAACTCCGTGACCCCATTTCCCCCACTCTCGCCCGACTCCATTGGCTCCCTATCCTTCAGAGGATCCAGTTCAAGGTCCTGGTCCTCACCTACAAAGCCCTCCATGGCCTCGCCCCACCCTACCTCTGTGACCTTCTAACCCCCTACCAACCCGCCCATACCCTCCACTCAGCCGGCTCTGGTCTGCTCCACGTCCCACAACCCACTCGCCCCACCATTGGTGGGAGAGCCTTCAGCCACTCTGCCCCCAACCTCTGGAATTCCATCCCCCAATCACTCCGCCTCACCCCCTCCTTAGCCTCCTTCAAGTCCTGTCTCAAGACCCTCCTCTTCGACCATGCCATCAGTGGCTACCCCCCTTCCCGTCCCTTCCCTTCTCCCCCCCTGACCCCAGCTCGGGTCTGAAATACTGTACACTGTCCAGCGCCTTGAGATGTCCTCCCGACATGAAGGCGCTATACAAATGTAATCTTGTTGTTGTTGTTGTTTTTTTTGCCTTCACAACCACTTGCCGTTCTCCACTCTCAGTGACTCTATCTTACATTTTATTTCCCTTTCAAGGTCAGTAAATCATTGGAAAGTACACATTAACGGTCACCACACTTCACAGGAGCTTTGAGAAGCACTTTGAGAAGTGCTTAATGTTATGCAAGATCACAACGACAACTTGCATTTATATAACGTCCTTCACAGGGTGAAGCGTGACAGTGGCGGAGTCTGAATCAAAGATTTGGTTTGGATGAGGAAGACCCGTCTGCCCATCTGACCTCAAACTTCCAGAACACCCACCCTACCATCTTCCCATCGCAGCATCAAGATGGTTTTTAAATGAGTCCCAGTATCCTGGCCTAAACATCGTTCCTGGCCACCCTGTTCCAGTCGTTGATTTTTTACCTTCTGAGTAAAGAACAAACAAGGGAATTGGGATAAGAGTAGAGAGCTCCAGTGAGGAGCTAACACTAGCACAGACATGGTGGGTTGAATGCCCCCCTTCTGCATAATAAACACATTATATGCTGTTCCTCAGTTGTGTGGTGTCCACAACTGCACACAGTGCTCCAATCAATGCTTGACACGAATTCTGCCATTTTCCAGCAGGCTAGACTTGGTGAGAAAGGAGCAAAGGGAGACATGGGAGCCACAGTGAGTATCCTGCACCTGGCGTTCCCCTACAAAACACACTAGAGTTTACGATAAATCCTGTAAGGCGTTTTGAGGCGTCCTCGTAGCGTGAAAGATTATTTAAATTGCTTTCCACTTACTGCAATCTCAAACAGGCTGATCTGGGTTGATCCAAATAGGAATTTAGGAAAACAGGAGCAGGAAGAGGCCATTCAGCCCATCAAGCCGGTTCCATCAAGTTATTAGATCTTGGGAAATCTCAGTGCCCTTTCACCCCTTGACACCTCAACTCCCAGAGTCTCCTTGAAAACCTCCCCATTGATTCCACCTCTAGAGCTTTTTGGTCTCATTAAGGATCATTAGTGTGTCAGCCTGGTAGCGTTCTCGCCTCTCAGTCAGAAGGTTGTGGGTTCAAGCCCCACATCAAAACTAGGAATCACATAGTCTGAGCTGACGCTCCTATGCAGTGCTGGGGTGGGTCATGCATTGTTGGAGGTTTCTTCCTTTGGATGAGACGTTAAACCGAGATCCTGTTGAGGTGGATGTTAAGGAATCCCACAGCACTTTTCGAGAAGAGAAGGGAATTTCTCTCTACCGGTGTCCTGGCCAACAATGCCCCAAATAAATTGGTTACTCACTCCATTGCTGTTTGTGGGGCACTGCTGTGCGCAAATGGCTACCATGATTTACCCACAAAAATGAAGAGTCAGCACAACAACAACAATAACAAAATTGCATTTTTAGAGCGCCTTTCACGTCGGGAAGAGGACGTCCCAAGGCGCTGGACAGTTGGGTCAGGACCCGAGCAGGAAGGGAAATGTCAGGGTGAGGGAGGGAAAAGAGTACATCCTGTGAAGAGCTTGAGATGTCTCAAGGACGTGATTAGGCGCTATATCAAATGCAAGGATTATTATTATTACTAATACCTGGAATCCTGTGTTTGCCTCCATGTAGGGACTGAAAGGAAGTAAAGGGAGCATTGGATCCCAGGGTTTAAAGGTAAAGTGCTTACTTGCATCTATCCCTTCGTTAGCCCACAAAATATACAGTCACTACACTTTACAGAAATTGCTACGAAAGAGCTTCGAGAAGGCCTCTTAACGTGAAAGGTACTTTATCAATTTTGTTGTTTTTAATGTAAGATCAGCATCCGAGGACTAAAATTTCCCTAGTGTTACTCTACAGGACAATTTTCGGTATAAAGTTAAAGGCGGCTCAAAACTGCAGAAAGAAACAATCTCGGATTTGCCAGCTGTTGTTTTTTTTTCCGTAGCAATTCCTAAAAAGAAACCTGCTTCCAAATTCCAGTTACTCACACTGCTATGTAACTGTTGTAATTCTACTTTTCTTTATAGTGCTTCACATAGATTGTACACCTTAGAAACAGACCAATCACCCAACCAGTGCGTGCTGATGTTTATACTCCACATAATTCTCCAACCATTCCTTATTCCCTCCCACACCCTTCTATTCCCCTCTCCTTCATATGTATCTATTTTTGCTTCCGAAGGGTGACATGGGGGAGCCTGGACCACCAGGACTCACTGGAAAACCAGGACTAGAGGTAATTATCACAGGAATCTTCTTGATTTAACAGAGTATGTGTCATAGACACAACAATTTCTCATGCGCTGTTTATTACATTATAATTTAGGAATGCTAGTCTTAGAATTGGCATACATCAATGTGTATTGACTTATACAAATTGGGTGCTGCATTGATCTACAAAATACAGTCCTGGCAATTTATGGTTTATATTTACGGTGTATCCTGTGAAGTGTTTTGAGATGCCCTCCTGGTGTGAAAGGGGCTACACTAAATAGAAGGATGATTATGTTCAGTATTCTCTGCTTTGCAGGGTCGGCCAGGATTACCAGGTCCTATGGGTCCCAAAGGACTAAAAGGAGAAATCGTAAGTCTTTGAATGTTTGTGCGGATTATTTCAACAAGCAATAGAATTGTAACAACTCATGGTGGATCTGATCGGGGTTTATAGGAAACTAAATGAGATGGAGAATGTAAACTCAGAGCCAATATTTTCAGATTCGCCAAGTCAAAGGGACAACAAGTTCAGGATTGTGAAGGACAATTTCAGGACAAACACCAGGAAGTGTTTCTTTATCCTGAGGGTAAATTAAAGCCGGGACAGGTTACCAGGAAGGATGGTTAATAATAATAATAATAATAATCCTTGCATTTGATATAGCGCTTTTCACGTCGGGAGGACGTCCCAAAGCGCTTCACAGAATATACTGTAAAGTGAATTGACTGTATATTTGTGGGCGAAACGCGGCAGCCAATTGCGCACAGCAATGTCCCACAAACAGTCGTAGATTGAAAATGACCAATTTATTATTGTTTTGGGTTTTGGAGGGATTATTATTAGGCGTGTGGAGTAAGGAAACTTGCCCAAGGTTTCGCCCTGCCTGGAATTGAACCCAGGTGTCTTGCTTGCAAAGCAAGTGCTCTAACCACTGAGCTACAGGACTCCACAAATGATGCCAAGACACTGGAAGGACTTAAAACACAGCTGCATACTGTGATGGGAGGATGGTAGGCAGGTATTTCACAATGGTGAGATGAAATAGGCCAAAGAGGCTACTTCATCCAAATCTCTCGCGAACTTCAACTCCAATGTGTAAACACTCACTTCAATGACCACTCACAGTGTTTCACTGTGCTGTTCTGTAGGGATTACCAGGAGAACCGGGAATGCCGGGAATACAAGGCAGAAAGGGCGACAAGGTAATGTCTTACTTTATTTATGTCTTAATTCAAAGCACGCCTCAAGACGTTCCTCTTCCACCGCGCTTTCGTTCATCTTTCCAGCAGTTGCCCCAACACACTCTGCCTTGGCTCTTGCCAGGTTGTACCTAATAATCTCTGGAATTAGACAATTCCCTCCAGGGAAAAATTCCAATTCCAGCCATTCCAAAGCACATAATATCCAAGGTGGGATGCATGGAATACTCAGTTTGGTTCGGATACCCTTAAGCATGGTGGTGGGTTTCTGCGTGTGTCAGACAAACCCTGTTTGAAAATACTTGCAAATCCCAGAGATAGGTATCAAATTCCAGAAAGTGTTTGGTTCAGTTTAGACAAGAGCCAAGGCCTGGGACTTTTTGCAAATACTTGCAATGCATTTTAGGCTTTAGTTGTATAGCTTCTGAAATGCTAGAGATCACAACGCAGAGGTTGTCCGATGTCTTCCCTGTCTAGGAATGCAGTCCCAGTTTCCTGGGTGACAGATGGAGCTACTCACCACAACGCAATGAGGGGGAGCGCTGTAGGACTGACACACGCAGTCACTGTTGTAACCTGATGGTTGGGTCCTGTGGTTCTAGGGGGATTCCGGTGGAGCAGTCGGACCTCGCGGGGAAAAGGGAGACAAAGGAAACCCGGGAACTCCAGGAACATCCTCCCTTGGGAAGCAGGTGTGTTTTTACCGTGGGAGATGCAAGTGTGCAAAAATGACTTGGGAGTGCAAACGCAGGGCGAGAAAGATCGTCGCTCCACTAAACGTGGTGACTTTGACAGCACATGGCTAAACATAGTCTATTTGCATGCCAGGAACTTGCAAGCGAGCAAGGTTGGCCTTTTTTTTGCTTTCTTATTTGGCAGCCGACGTTCAATGCAACCCACTCTTATTGTTAGAGTTCACTTTGCGACTTGTTTGCTGTGCGCAAATTGTCTGCTGTGTTGGCCTACAAAATGCACAGTCACTTCACTCTACGGCAGTGGGGCCCATTGTTTCACACCATAAATCAAGAAAGTTTAATCAAGAAAAAAAAAGTGAAAGGCATTGAGTGATTGATCGAACACGGACTTACCTAGAATAGTGTGAATGTTTGGTGAGGGAAGGACACTTCTTGACAACCCCAAGGGCCACTTCTGGCCCACAGGCCACAGATTGACCACCAGTCCTTTTCAGTAATGTTCTATGATGTGCGTCGAGACATTCTCCCAATATGATAGGTGCTGTATCAAATGTAAGGATTATTATTATTATTATGGCATTAACGGCTCTCTGTGTAGCATCACTGGAAAGTGATCACAGTGGCTGTGCTTTATGGATTAATTGGTTTGGCTTAATTGCTGTCTTTTCATTACATTTAGGGTCAAATTGGACCTCCTGGTTCCAGAGGATCGCGAGGCCCCAAGGTACAGTAAAGAACTTGTCAATCACTATTAAGATGGTTTTAGGTGACGGTTTGGCTCAGTCCCATCTCTGAAAAAATCAACCCTTTGGAACTCCATTCCGGAATCCCTCCACCTCGCTCCCTCCCTTGCTTCCTTCAAGGCCCGTCTCAAGACCTTCCTCTTTGATAGTACTGTCAGCCACCCTCCCTCCCACCCCCTGCCCACTCTACCCTCTAGCCCCCTTCATGCCAACCCCCAACTAGGGTGGAAACCCTTAACTGTCCGACATGAAATGCGCAATATAACTGTAATTTTGTCATCATTGTTGGTTCAGAAGGTTGTGTGATCAAGCCCCATGTTAGCGTCTTTAAGATCACAGTTTATGCTGATACTCCAGCGCAGTGCTGGGTTGTCTGAGATGACATCCTTCAGATGAGCAATAACCCGCAGTCCTGTCTAATTGTTCAGGTAGATTAAAGATCCTGTGGTACTATTCAGAAAAGAGAAAGGGAATTTCTCCCGGTGTCCTGGCCAAAAATCCTTCAGATAAAAATTGGTTATTTACTTCACGGCTGGTTGTGGGACATTACTATGTACAAAATTGGCTGCTGTGTTCCCCTACAAAATGCACAGTCACTCCACTTCATATATAAATGCATTGTAATATGCTATATGAATGCAAGATATTGTTGTTGAATCGAGCCAACCCTCTGTGGTGGTCTTGGTAGTCCAGTTCCTGAGCCAGATGAGTCTGCACTGTTGATGACAACACAGACAGCCTGAATCATTCATTGCAGAACTTGAAGGAGCATATCAGTTACTGGGGGCAGTGAATCCTCCTACTCGCTCCCATTAACCTTGCAAGCCAAAGCCCTAATGTGGTCCTCAGGACAAACAGTGAGAAGGCTTGTCAGGCAGTGCTCTCAATGGCAAGTTATGCAGTTTTAGCTGAATAGACTCCAGCAGTTACCCCCCAACGCATACTCTGAGATTCCCAATCCTTGGTTTTTGACAGCCTGTGCCTATTACTCTCTGGAATAAAAATGAGTCCTCCAAGGAGAGAGTGTGCATTCCTTTCCAACATATTTGCGTTTCCATGTGTGGTTGGGATGCACATGGAGATGGGTTTAAGCATGTGTCAGACACCAGCGCTCCCGCCCCCCAAAATAAGATCAGCCATTATTTAATAGACTGCAGGCCCTGAATGCCCTCCTGCTGTTATCTATGTTCCTGACATTGTTTTGATCTTCCCAGGGTGAGCGTGGGCATCCTGGTCTTCAAGGTTTGCGGGGAGAGAAGGGGCCACCGGGATCCGGACGACAGGGGCCTCCAGTAAGTGTAGCGATTCCAGCAGAATTCCCATTCTTGTGCCTTGTTTGTGGAACCCGTTGGGGCTGAATGGGAAGGGAATGAAGGAACAAAGGCTGATCCCAAATTCATCTGCCTGTAGCTCAGTGGTTAGAGCACTTGCCTTGCAAGTGAGAGACCTGAGTTCAATTCCAGAGCAAAACCTTAGGCAAGTTTCTTTACTCCACACGCCTAATAATAATCCCTCCAAAAAAAAATAATAAATTACTCATTTTCAATCCACGACTGTTTGTGGGACACTGTTGTGCGCTATCGGCTGCCGTGTTTCGCCCACAAATATACGGTCAATTCACTTTACAGCATATTCTGTAAAGCACTTTGAGATGTCTAGAAGACGTGAAAAGCTCTATATCAAATGCAAGGATTATTATTATTATTATTATTATTATTATTCATAGAATCATAGAATCCTTCAGCACAGAAGGAGGCCATTTGGCCCATCTTGCCTGTGCTGGCTCTTTGAAAGAGCTATCGAACTAGTTCCACTCCCCCACTCTTACCCTGTAGCTCTGCAAATTTTTCCTATTTAAGTACCTATCCAATTCCTTTGGAAAGCTGCTATGAAATCTGTTTCCCCCCCAACGGGACCACATCACTCCCACCCTCGCTCGCCTCCACTGGCTCCCCATCCCCCAGAGGATTGATTTCAAGATCCTCATCCTCACCTACAAGGCCATTCACGGCCTTGCTCCCTCCTACCTCTCCAACCTACTATCCCCCTACCTACCTGCCCGTACCCTCCGTTCCTCTGGCTCTGGTCTGCTCCACGTCCCCCGCCCCAACCGCCCTACCATCGGTGGTCGGGCCTTCAGCCTCTCAGCCCCCAGGCTCTGGAACTCCATCCCCCAGTGCCTTCGCCGCCTCCTCCCTTTCCTCCTTCAAGGCCGGTCTCAAAACCTTTCTCTTTGACCGTGCCTTCAGCTCCCCTCTCGACTCTTTTCCCCCTCTTCGCTCCCTCCCTTCCCTCCCCTCACCCTGACCATTTCCCCCCTGCTCGGGTCATGACCCAACTGTGCAGCGCCTTGGGACGTCCTCCTGTCGTGAAAGGCACTTTATAAATGGAATCTTGTTGTTGTTGTTGTTTCCACCGCCATTTCAGGCACTGCATTTCAGATCGTAACAACTCTCTGGGTAAATAAATTTTGCATCTCCCCTCTGGTTCTTTTGCCAATTATCTTAAACCTGGTTACCTCTGGTTACTGACCCAGATGAAAACATTTCTCCCTATCAACTCTATCAAAGCGCCTCATAATTTTGAACACCTCTATTAAATCTCCCCTCTACCTTCTCTGCTTCAAGGAGAACAATCTCAGCCTTTATAGTCTCTCCACACAATTAAAGTCCCTCATTCCTGGTAACGTTCTTGTAAATCTCCTTTGCACCTTCTCCAAGGCCCTAACATCCTTCCTATAGTGTGGTGCCCAGAATTGGACACAATACTCCAATTGAGGCTTAACCAGCAATTTGTAAAGGTTGAACATAACTTTCTGGCTTTTATACTGTATGCCTCTATTTATAAAGTCATCTGCTTTTTAACAGCTTTGTCCTGCCACCTTCAAAGATTTGTGTGTGTGGACCCCCAGGTTTCTCTGTTCCTGCACCCACTTTAAAATTGTACCATTGATTTTATATTGTCTCTCCTCATTCCTTGTTTGTCTTCACTCTCTACAGGGTCCTCGTGGGCAGCCAGGCAATCTGGTAAGGTCTTCATGATATTTTCCGTCAGCCAAAGTGATAAGATATTGGTGTAATAATGCAATGCAAATTACATATTTATATTTATTCAGCACCTTACACAATCCTGGCTTGTTACCCGAGCTGAGGGGTGAGGGCCGAAGCGGCAATTTATGTTGATACAACCCCTTTCTTGTAAGAAACTACAGAAAAAAGGCTTTAAAGTCAAAATTGAATGCAACAATTTGACGAATTCTGGACCCTCTGAAAAGCTACATAAAGCTTGACCCTGATGGAATTTCTCCCTTGTAGATTGGAAATAATATATTTTAGGATAATTTGTAGGAGTTCAGATGTACCACAGTGGTATTTTCTGGTTCTGTAACTTCCTATATTTCTATAATAATCCCTCCAAAAAAAGGTTCACTCAATCCAGGACTGTTTGTGGGGCACTGTTATGTACAATTGGCTGCACAAAATACACGCCTACAAAATACAGTTAATCAACTTTACTGTATATCCTGTAAAGCGCTTTGAGACTTCTCAACGACGTGATAAGATGCTCTATCAAACGGAAGGATTATTATTCTTATATTTGCTTTAAAAATAATAGTTATAATCTTTACATTTGATATTGCACCTTTCACCTCAGGAGAACATCTCAAAGCACTTCGCTGGTCAAGAATCCCCCTAGATAAAATTGTTCAGTTACTTTTTGGCTGTTTGTAGGTCATCAATAATAATAATAGTCCTTGCATTTGGTATAGCGCCTTATCACATCTTCGAGACGTCTCAAAGCGCTTCACAGGAGATGCTGTAAAGTGAATTGACTGTATATATTGTAGGAGAAAAGCGGCAGCCAATTGCACACAGCAGTGTCCCACAAATAGTCGTAGATTGAGTGACCAAGTCATTTATAATTATTTTGAAGGAATTACTACCCCGGAAAATCGATCCGCCAATCGACTAACAAGTAGTAAAGAAACTTTCCCAACATTTTGCCCTGCCGGGAATCGAACCTAGGTCCCTCGCTTGCAAGGCAAGCGTTCTAACCACTGAGCCACAGGACTCCACATGAAAAAATTGGCATTCGGCTACAAAATACTCAGAAACTTACACTATATAGTAAAGCCTGTGAAGTGCTTTGAGACGTCCTGCCAATGTGAAAGGCCCTGTATCATATTCAAGGATTATTATTATTTATGCTACCTGTTAAATACTGACATATTCATCCTGGGTGAAAGGCAAAAAAAGTGCAAATTGTTGTGGTTGTACAGTTTCCCCACACTGTGCAGAGGGTGCACTTTCTCCCGGTGTCCTGGCCAACAATCCCCCAAATAGAATATTGATCACTCACTCCATGGCTGTTTGCGGGATATTGCTGTGCGTAAAATAGCTGCCGCGTTTCACCACAAAACACACAGTCGACCCACTTTACGGTATATCCTGTGAAGTGGTTTGAGAAGTCTCTGTGACGTGTTAAGGCGCTATATCAAATGCACAGTTTTTTATCATATGGGTTTATTATTTACCTCTCTACTCTCTACTCAATTCTAGGGTCTAAGAGGCTTGCCGGGACCGGAGGGAATCCCAGGTACTAAAGTGAGTAAGATACGCAAATGCACAACCCAGCAATTTGTTGTGACAAACCTTAGTGACCCCCCCTCACTGCTCACCCTCCTTCCTTTTATTACAGGGCATCGCTGGAAGGGATGGCCAACAAGGAACACGAGGCCCACCTGGGGAGCCAGTAAGTACAACACGCACCGCAAATCTGGCGTAGAGATGATCAATGTGCCAGAGGTGCCGTGTCTGCTGCTTAAAGCTTTAGGGGATGAGTATCTTGACTGAGCTCATCCGTGCATGTTTACAATGAGGAACTCAGAACAAACAGTCCTCGCTGGCCAGAATCCCTGCCCCACACACACACCGCGCCTCACAATCTGCGGATTTAAAGGGGCAATGTGGCGTCCCATTGCATAATGGTTAGCATGCTCGCCTCGCAAGCGAGAGCACTTGTCTTCGGTGGGAGTGACCTAAAGTGACCCAAAACTGGACACAATACTCTTATCTGTGGTCTGACTAACAGTGTATCTGTTTCCTTTCAGGCTGCACTTCCTCTCATGGGAGATATTGGTGCCTTCTTAAAGGTAGGTGCACCATTCAGCTGTGGTGTGACAGTGTGGAATAGTGGGGCACAAATCATAGGGAATACTTTACGGAAGCATTTGTGTAATTGCAAGAGGTGGCAAATCTAGTCGGATGGCCAATCAGTGCCACAATCCTCTCCGCTCCCCTACATTCCTACAGATCAGGACCTAACCCACGGGAGGGCTGCCTGCATTGATACAGTGGAGCCCCATGGTCATCGGGGATCCAATAAAATCCCACCCAGCGCCATAACAAGGCGTGATAGCGAAGTTTCTCTGCACATACACCACACGGGTCAGCTTGCTCCCTTATGGGACGATGTTGTTTGCAAATTGGCTGCTGCGTTCACCTACAAAAATACAGTCACTACACTTCACAGTATGTCCTGTGAAGCACTTTGAGACTTCCGCCCGACATGAAAAGTCTAATGCCAAACATAAGGACCATATTTATTAATAATAATAATCCTTGCATTTGATATAGCGCTTTATCAAGTCGTTGAGACGTCTCAAAGTGCTTCACAGAATATATTATAAAGTGGATTGGCTGCGTATTTATTTATCCTCAGCGGCTTCCTCAAGCCCATAACTCTTAGTGTTTAGAGTGCTGGCCTCGCAAATGAGAGGTCTCAGGTTCAATTCTTGGGCAGGACAAAACCTCAGGCAAGTTTCCTTACTCCACACGCCTCTGTTTACCGAGCAGGAAGTAGGAACCAGTTGTTCGTAGATTGGTGGATCGCTTTTCCGGGCATTCTAATCCCTTTTTAAAAAAAATAAATAATTTGGTCACTCAATCCACGACTGTTTGTGGGACGCTGCTGTGCGCAATTGGCTGCTGCGATTCACCCACAAAATATGCAGTCAATTCACTTTACAGCATATTCTGTGAAGCGCTTTGAGACGTCTAAATGATGTGATAAGGTGCTGTATAAAATGCAAGGAATATTATTATTATCATCCTCACCAAGCTGCAACCCCCCCACCCCCCTCCCATTACACCCATCCTCTGGGCTCCAATGACTCCCGACTCCCAGCTACCCCCAGCAGATTAACTTCAAACTCCTGCTCTCTACCACTTTGTGTGTTCATGTACGTCTCCTCTTCTCTCTGTTTAGAATGCCTGCAGCAGCTGTTTCTCTGGGCCCCGAGGAGGAGCATCAGGATTACCTGGAATGAAGGGAGACCGAGGTGTCCCAGGGATTCCCGGCACTGAAGGGAGTGATGGTGGTCAGGTAAAGGAAGCTTAGACTGGTCAACCGCATTGCAGGCTTTGTACATGGATGCTAAAATAGTAAATTTCCCAATGAATAACTCGACCTACGTATGCTGTAAGTCTTTCAAAAGTAATCACTGTGTATAGGGTCTAATTTGTGGCATTGGGATTTCTTAATATGTTGTTTATTATCTCTTTATAACAATTCCCTCCAGGCATAAATTGGTCATTCACTTCATGGCTGTCATTCAACATTCATTCAACTTCTAAGTATTGTCAAAACCCAGCCGTACTGGTGTAACATCGGGTGTCAGCCTGGCTCAGTTAGTAGCGCTCACATCTCTAGATCAGAAGGTTATGGGGCTTTGCACTCAACCATCTAGGCTGACACTCTAATACAGCACTGATATTGTATTGTTTGAGGTGCAGTAAGTCGTTACACCGAGGTCCCGCCCGCCTGTTCAGGTGGACGTTAAAGATCCCATTGCACTGTTTGAAAAGAGAAGGGAGTTTTGTCTGGTTTTCCTGGCCAACACTCCCCCAAATCGTAATTTATACACCTTGAGTTGAAAGCCCTAACATGGGGCTTGAACCCACAACCATCTGACTTGGGCGAGAGATAACTAAACCCTAAAGTAATGAGCTGTGAGATGTTTCAAGTGATCAAGCACAGTATTATTATTTATTGATTACACTGCACTGGCCATTTGCACCGCCTGTGTCTTGTTGAGAGCTGTGAGCACATTCTGTGCCGGAGTAGCTTGTGTAACTGTTGGAATTGACCCTTCTCAGATCAGAGTCCTGTAGGGTAGTGGTTAGCGCACTTGCCTCGCAAGCAGGAGACCCAGGTTCAATTCCCGGGCAGGGTGAAACCCTAAGCAAGTTTCCTTACTCCACACGCCTCTGTTTACTTAGCAGTAACTGGACCCCGGTTGTTAGTGGATTGCGGATCGCATTTCCTGTGGGTAATAATCCCTCCAGAAAAAATAATAATTTGGTCAGTCAATCCACGACTGTTTATGGGACACTGCTGTGTGCAATTGGCGGTCGTGTTTCGTCCACAAAATATACCGTCAATTCACTTTACAGTATATTTTGTGAAGAGCTTTGAGACGTCTCGGTGACCTGATAAGGCACTATATCAAAATGCAAGGATTATTATTAGGATTATGTTGGGCTTCATGAGTCTTCGTTTAATTGCAGGGCAGCCCAGGGCCAAGGGGACCACCTGGAATTCCTGGCTTAGATGGGAAAACGGTAAGTCTCAGCAACCGCATTCTTGTCCCTCGCCTTATCCGTCCACCATGGTCGGGTGGGCTTTCAGCCTATCTGTCCCCACCCTCTAGATCTCCATCCTGGAGTCCTTCCAACTTGCTCCTTCCCTGACTTTGTTCAAGGTCAGTCTCAAGGCTCACCTCTTTCCCCTCCCCACCTCCTCGGCTCCTACCCTCAGCTCGGGTACCCAGCCAGTAGTGTTAAGTTCTTTGGGTTGTCCTCCCAACATGATAGGCGCTGTATAAATGTAAACTTGTAGTGTAAACCCATCCCCGTGCTTAAGATTGTCCAAACCAGACTGAGAATTCCAAGTACGTACGCCACCTACACATGGAAATTACCAGTGTCACCACTCTTAAGCACAGTGACTGGTTTCCACATGTGTCAGACAACAAACACCTGTCTGATCAAAAATATGTATACTATGCGACTAATGGTCAATAGTTGCAGACTTTGTAACATTCTCAGGGTTTGTGTGACGCTTGGATGATGATGGAAGAGGAATTATCTTCCTGTCATTCACACGTAATGTATTTCTGTAACCCATGTGTTGTATTTTTGGAAGGGAAGCAAAGGTGAACGTGGATTTCCTGGGCCTACTGGAGAGAAAGGCGATGAGGTGAGTGTGTCCCAATCCTCTGGGACAAGTTGCACAAATGCTAAAGCCACTAGCTGAAAACATGTGTAATCAATCTGGTGCCAGCCTGGCTCAGTGTGTAGCACTCTCAACCTTGAGTGAGAATATAGTGGATTCAAGCCCACACCAAGACCTTGAGTTTATAGTCTAGGTTGACACTTCAGTTGGGGAATGCTGTATTGCTGGGTGCCTATTCAGCTGGATATTAAAGATCCTATGTTGCTATTCAAAAAGAGAAGGGAATTTCTCCTGGTGTCCTCGCCAACAATCCCCAAAATTGGTCACTCACATTGTGGCTGTTTATGGGACACATTGCTATATGCATTTTGGCTGCCACATTTGTCTACAAAATACACACGAGAAAGGCTCTGTATCAAGTGTGAGGATTACTATTCACCTCTAAATTCAGTAATCCTGTTTTATTTTTCAGGGACCTCCAGGAGTTCCGGGATTTCCTGGACCCACTGGTGCGACAGGACCTCTCGTACGTACTGATACCACTCATTACTTTCCTTCAGCCTTGTGGCTTTTGGTTTCTGTGCCTTCTCCTCCAGAAACAAAGAGCAGTGTCGAGATGAAGGAAGTGGGGGGAGGAGCGTGGGAGGAAGAGTGTAGGGGATGGAGGCTTTAGAGCCCGAGCTGCCTACCAATTGGGAAAATGTCTTCTGAGGTGAGGTACCAAGCCCCAAAGAACAGGACCGTCCTCAAAGTTGCAAAGTATAGGTAGACAAGATGAGATCCAGTACAATATATTTTACTTTCTTTCAGCGCCTTTCACATCAGGAAGATGTCTCAGTACCAGCTGGGCAACCGAACTAGGGTTGGAAGCCAAAGGGTGTTGGAGAGGAGAAAGATGACCGAAAGTGCTGTCAAGAGATAGGCTTTGAGGCATGTCTTGAAAGAGAGGAGAGGGGGAGGGAGCGAGTAAGAGAGACTCCAGGATGGAATAGAGCACAGGGAGAGGGGGGCAGAACAAAATGTGGTAGTTTGGCAACACCAAGGTTGAGGTTTAAGATCTTGTGGATGAGTAGGAGAGTGGTGACTGAGGGGTTCTCTAGTCTTGAGCTCCAAGGCAAGAATAGAGTTCCTTTTCGATCATGCCAATGGTCAACACCCCTTTCTCCCTGGCTCTACATCAAACTCTGCCATTGTTCAGAGCTATGAGGCCCTACCAATATGAAGGGCACTATGTTATTGCAAGTGGTTGGTGAGAAGCAGAGTCTGATGGGTTGTGAAAATACAGAGCAGGTGGAGTGGGCATGTCTTGCCAAACCAAGGTCAGCCCGTTGTAATTCCAGTGGCAAGGTTGATGACTGACCACTCATCTGGCTCATCAATGAGACGTGGAGTATACATCTGTCCTCCACCCCGAGAGCCAGTAATATTCCGAGACACTGTCTTGCGTGATGAGCGCTCTATAAATGCAAGTTGTTGTTGATGTTAATGGTTGAGATGGTCCTGGCTGGACAAAGACCCATGCTGTATATGAACCAATACTTATTGTCATTGGAATATTGGCTCTATTTACAGTGGAATCAATTAAAACCATGTCTTCCTTTTGTCCTTTTGTAGGGTCCTATTGGAAGACCGGGTCAACCAGGCTCTTCGGGTCATAAGGGAGAAAAGGTATAGAGTGATAGTGGATAGTCTATCACTAAAAGTGTGAGGATCTTGAAATGGATCGCATTCAAGATCCTCACACTCGTCTTCAAATGCTTTCATGTCATGGCACCTCCCTACTTCTCTGCCCTGCTTCCTCCCCAACCCACTGCCCGTTGCCTCCTCTCGACTGGCTCTGGCCTCTTTCTTGTCCCTGGTGCACTCCGTTCCACCATCGGTGGCCGCACTTTCAGCTCTACGCCCGAAGCTCTGAAACACTCTCGCTCAATCGTTCTGCCTTGCCCCCTCCCTTCCCCATCTTCAGATAGTGCCTGAAGACAATCCTCTTCGACCGTGCTCGCGGTCACCTCCCCCCTCGTGCTGGCTCGGTGCAGTGTCAAGCACTCTGGGACTTTACCCTGGGTGAGGAGCACTATATAAATGCAAATTGTTTTTGTAGTGATCGGTGAATCTTCCAAATCTGAGTCATATGGAGGACTGGTACAGTGTGCTGGAACACAGCACTGGACGAGCACAGGGAAAAAATGCTCATAACATTTCAGACAGAAGAAAATTGCTATGTATGTAGGAGCGTACAAAATGCTAGACAAAGAAAGACCAAGGTCAATCCAGTTCACCTTCCACCATCCTGGCAGCCGCATGCATGGGTCATGTCCTTAAAGAAATCTATCTGATTTGCATATGAAAGAATTGACATTTTCTGCTTCCATCGTCTCTCTAGGGAGCCTGTTCCAAAGATTTATGTGTAGGCATATCTGGTTTGGACACTCGTACGAGCGGTAACGGTTTTCTGAATGTGTCAGACATTCGGCTGGCCAAAAGAATATAAGAATTGCTAAACAAAAGAAGACCAAGGTCCATCCAATTCACCTTCCACCATCCCTACAGTCGCTTGTCATGTCACATCCCAAACTATATACTGTATCCTGAGATATTATTTCCTAACAGAAATCTGTCTCATTTGTTCTTGAAAGAATCAACACTTTCTGCTTCCACCTTCTCCCGAGGGAGCCTTTTCCATACGTTTCCTACTCACTCACTGAAATAGTGTTTCCGCAGATTTGTTCTGATTTTATGCCCCTTCAATCGCAGGCCATGAAATATAATGATGGTGTGATTGTGTGTTACAGGGCAAGGAAGGGGCACATGGACAACCAGGGCCTCCAGGACCTCCAGGACCTGCTGTAAGTCATAGTGACCTTTTCAGATGGAAACACTGGGGTCAAATTTGCAGCGTTCCTCAATGCGTTCCTTAAATTAGAGCTGGCATATATTGACTTAATCGAGGTTGAGGCTACTGCTGGGCCCTAGGCCCCCAACCTCAATTATAGATATCTAAAAAAGGAGCAGTTTTCAGGGGTATTATGGGCAGAGTGTGGAAGGAAGGTAAATAGAACTGAATGGATTGCACGTTCAAAGAGCCAGCAAACAGATACGATGGGCCAACCTTCTGTGTTTTAAGTTTGTGTGGTTCTATTTGCTAAACCGGAGAGATTATGATTTTCACCAAAGTTTTAACGTTTAGACATTTCAGGTGTGACTTCAAATTCAAGGATCATTTTTTTTCGGATTATTTTCTCCTCAATCCGCTGAATTAATTGGTCTCAATTTGGGCAGCAATTTGAAAGGTAAAATTGGCTTTGATAGTTTGCGGCAAGAAAAATCAGCCCATTCCTGTTCCTGGTCCCTATCTATAGGCCCAAACAATTTGGCCTCGAAGGCCACATCATTTTGGCTCAAAATTGATAAGTCACCAGGACCAGATGGGTTTCACCCAAGTTGCTGTGAGAGATGCAGGTTTCAAATAGCGGAGGCTTTGGCCATTATATTTCAATCGTCATTGGACACAGGAGTGGTGCCAAGAGACTGGAGAGTGGCTAATGTTACCCCACTCTACAGAAAGGGGCAGAAAGACAAGCCCGGAAAGCCGTCAGCCTAACTTCGGTAATAGGAAAGCTACTGGAGACCGTAATCCGGGACAAAATAAATCTCTACTTAGAGGAACACGAGATAATTAGAGACCCCCAACATGGATTTGTTAAAGGCAAATCTTGCCTAACAAATCTAATAGAATTTTTTGAAGAGGTGACTGCGAGGGTTGATGAGGGAAATACGGTGGACATTATTTACATGGATTTTAAAGAGGCTTTTGACACAGTACCGCATAAGAGGTTAATAACAAAACTGGAGGCCCACGATATTAAGGGGACAGTAGCCATTTGGATTAGGAACTGACTGAGTGGCAGAATGCAGAGGGTGGTGGTTAATGGGTGTTTCTCGCAATGGAAGGAGGTGTGCAGCGGTGTCCCCCAGGGATCGGTATTGGGACCACTGCTCTTTCTAATATACATTAATGATCTGGACTTGGGCATAGGGAGCACTATTTCCAAGTTTGCAGATGATACCAAGTTAGGTAGGGTAGTAAATAGTGAAGAAGATTGTGACGGACTGCAGGCAGACATACACAGAATGGTGGAATGGGCTGACATGTGGCAGATGGATTTCAATGTAGATAAGTGCGAGGTGATACACTTAGGTAGGAAAAATGATAGGAGGCAATATAGACTTGGTAGCTCAATCTTAAGGGGGTGAACGTACAGAGAGATCTGGGCGTTCAAGTAAGCGATTCATTGAAGGTGGCAGAGCAGGTAGATAGGGCAGTAAAAAGGGCATTTGGTGTACTGAGCTTCATTAGTAGGGGCATAGAGTATAAGAGTAGGGGTTATGGTTAATCTGTACAAAACACTGGTTAGGCCTCAGCTGGAGTACTGTGTCCAGTTCTGGGCACCTTACCTCAGGAAGGGTATTAAGGCACTGGAAAGGGTGCAGAGGAGATTCCCGAGAATGATACCAGGAATGGGGAACCTTAGCTATGAGGACAGGCTGGAGAAGTTAGGACTTTTCCCATTAGAGCAGAGAAGGTTACGCGGGGACCTGATAGAGGTCTTCAAGATCATGAAAGGTTTCGACAGGCGAGATAGGGAAAAGCTGTTTCCGCTGGTAGGTGTGTCTGTGACTCGTGGTCACAGTCTTAAGATATCTACCAAAAGAAGCAGAGGGGAGGTTAGAAGAAATGTTTTCACTCAGCGAGTTGTTAGAATTTGGAATGATCTGCCTGAAAGGGCAGTGAAGTCCGATTCGATAACAGCTTTTAAGAGAGAACTGGATAGGTATCTGGGGAAGACGGGTTTGCAGGGTTATGGGGAGAAAGCTGGTGAGTGGGGTTAATAAAAGTCAGTTGCTCTGTCAAAGAGCCGCACAGACTCGATGGGCCGAATGGCCTCCTTCTGTGCCGTAACATTCTATGATTCTATGTCACATGACCAACTATTGACTATCCTCTTTAGGGGATTTGGTAAATAAGATCCCCTTGGAGCTGAGTTGTCTCCAAGGTGATATACTTGGCAACAGAATATTGAAATCAAGTCAACTCCCTGTGGCAGTCTCAGTAGTCCATTTCCAGAGCCAGCAGATCAATAGTACTCCCGGGCACTGCTAATGACAGATCAGACATCCTGGTTCATCCACAGGACTTAGAGGGATAGTAGACCAGTTATTGGGAGACTCTTTTTCTCCTGTTAACCCTCCATCCTAAAAGCCTAAATGGTAGGGTGGCCTTAACTGGATAAGCAATAGAAAGCTTGCCAGAGAGTGCTCTCAATGATAAGCCACATGGTTAGAGCTAGTTAAACTCCAAATGTACTACAACGCACCTTCTGGGGTCTCCCAAGCTTTGGCTCTCAAAACCTTAGGCAACCTATGCCTAATATTCTTTGGAATTTGGTAAGCAGGGTGCGTCACTTCAGGGAAAGTGTGCATATTCCATTCCAGACACAGGGAAATTTCCATGTGTGGGTGGCATGCATATGTGGAACTTTCAGTCTGGTTTGGATATTCTGAAACATGGAGACGGTTTCCTCACATGGATTTCAGACACCCGATGACCAAAGGAAAAGCTCAGGCCCTAAAATTCAGTAAAGCAAACATTGGATCCAATTCTTTGCTGAACTGTTTCACTTTCTGATGTTCCAATCTGTTGTTCTGTAGATTACCACTGGCCATGAAGCAAATGGAATGGGCAGCATGTACAAGAAACAGGTACGGTCTTCTTTGCAGCTTGGCACAAATATTTGCCTTGATCCATCCAGCTATTTGCATCACACGGAGTCCCATAGTGTAGTGGTTACCGTGCTCGCCTCAAAAGTGAGAGGGCCCGGGTTCAATTCCCGGTAGGGCGAAACCTTAGGCAAGTTTCCTTTCTCCACACGCCTCTGTTTACCTAGCAGTAACTAGAAACCTGGTTGATATTCAATTGGCGGATCACTTTCCAGTGGCAATAATCCCTCCATAAAAAAATTGGTTACTCAATCCACGACTGTTTGAGGAACATTGCTGTACACAATTGGCTGCCGTGTTTCGCCCACAAAATATACAGTCAACTCACTTATAGTATATCCTGTGAAACATTTTGAGATGTCTCAATGATGTGATAAGGCGTTATATCAAACACTAGGCTTATTATTTGTTATTATTATCCTACACAGTATTCACGCAACAATGTTAAAGCACTGGCTTTGAAAAGGCCTGTGTTCATGCACCTGTTGGGGTTAACAGTGGAAAAGAGGGTCATAATTTGTGGTGTTCTTGAAATAAAACCTCTATTTTATGAATTAATCTAGTTTTTATTAACCCCACATTGACCGAATATCTTACAGGTATTCCCCGGTCCGCCAGGTCCACCGGTAAGTCCTGATCTTCATGAGATGCTCCTGAGATTTGTTTTGCATGATAAGATTACTGGGAGGGTTCACTGCTTGCTTTCAAAGCAATTATACTGCGAGCAATTGGCTGCCGCATTTCACCCCCAAAATATACGATCAATTCACTTTACAATATATTCTGTGAAGAGCTTTGAGACATCTCAATGACATGATCAGGTGCTATATCAAATGAAGGATTATTATCATCTCAAAGCACAATTAATTGGGCATCTGAGATTGGGGGAGGGGGCATAGAGCTGCCGAGGGTGGGCGGGTGGGGGGAGAGAGGGAAAAAGAGTTGTTGTTGTTGTTACCAGTAGTACAGTTGAAAATGTAGATTTCAAGGTAGTTCTAAAGGTGATAACCGAGGGGGCAAGGCATAAGGACACTGAACATAAGAACATAAGAAATGCTAGACGAAAATAGACCAAGGTTCATCTAGTTTGCCTTCCACCTTCCTAGCGGTGGTATACACATATGTCCCAAACTACCTATGTACTATATCCTACTGAATGGATTTCCAGAGAGGGTGGGGGCAGAATGGCTAAAAGCTTACTCATTGATGGTGGAGTGGGATGGGGCATGGGACATACATGAAGCAGGCTGGTGTTTGCTGAGTGGTGGGAGTAGTCGGAGCACTAAGCAGGAGGACGTAGAGGTAGAGTGGAGTGAACCAGTGAAGCATTAGAATATGAGCATTCAGCCATACAGAATGAAATCCCTGGGCTGAATGGTGCTGAGGTAGCTGATCACAGTCTGGACAGAAGTATTTGGGCGTTAAATTGGATGGTTTGCACCCGAGCTGGGGGTCGGAATCAGAAGAGGTTAGTCATTACTAGCGATGTTTCCCAGTCAGGCCCTTCAATCCTGTCAGGTAATGTAGATTTGCTGAGGGATTACCTTGGCTTTGCTAAGCATGTCAAGGCATCCACATATCCACTTGAGAAAGTTGCCTTTGGAAATGCAAGCACAGTTGAAAGATAAATGAGTCAAACTTTTCAGATGGACGTCACTAGAGTGAGGGGAAATTAGACGGATGGACTAGCAGAGAACAATAAGTGTCTCTTGCAGGGGCATATGTTTATTTTATGTGTGTAAAATCTGCTCTCAGTTTTGCTTATTTACCTTTCATAGGGCTTAAAAGGAGACCCAGGGAATATGGTAAGTGTTTAAAATTATAAAACGTTTGATAAGGTTAGCATAAATAGGCTATTCCCACTTGTTGGGGAGTCCATAACCAAGATACACAAATATAGGACCGCAACTAGGGGGATTTAAAAGAGAATTTAGGAGGAACTAATTCATGCAGAGGATAGTGAGATTGTGGAACTCGTTGTCTAAAGTGGTGGTTGAATCAGACAGTGTAGATGCATTCAAGAGGAAGTAAGAGGGAGAGGGGAATAGAAAAGTGTGGGTGGGAGTAAGGAATGGTGTGGATGAAGCTTGTGTGGAGTATAAACATGGCACGGACTGGTTGGGCTGAATGTCCTGTTTCCATGCCGTACAGTCTGTGTAAAACTATATTGATCTATGAAGGCAATACTGGGAGCAAGATAGGGTAGTCTGCGCTGGACAAATAGTTCTCTCAATGGCAAACTACGCAGATTTAGTTGGATAGACTCCAGGAGTTGTCCTCAATGGACATATGGAGATGCCAAGACTTGGCTTTTGCCAACCAGTGCTAATAATTCTCCAGAATTAGTTTAGAGGGATGCATCACTCTGGGGATAAAGTGCGCATTCCATTCCACATACAGAAACATTCCCATGTGTGGGTAGCGTGTGGTTGTTTCTGGTTGTCTATGAAGGGAGTTGAGGGGTGATAGTGTTGAGAGAATTTACCTGTAACATGAGGACTCACTGTAACTCTATTGCAGGGAGAGATCGGTCCAATGGGATTGCCAGGTTTAGAAGGTCTTCCAGGAGAAAAGGTACTTCTCTCTCTTTCTTTCTTTCTCTCTTTCTCTCTCTTCCTTCTGTGCAATTCTTCACTTGGCTATAATTCATCACTTGGCTGTTCCTCTGTGTGGGGAGGTAATTACACGGAAGGATTGCTGAGCAGGACATTCCCAAAGACATGGATTCTTCACAATATCCCACCTGAGGAACAGGCAGGCCTCAGTTTAACATCTCAGCCAGTACCTCACTGACGAATCCACTTCGAATTAGGAGGTCAAGACCAGACACGGGACACAAAAGCTGTAACCTTCTGACCCAGAGGGTTGTGTGGCAACTTAGTCGAGCTGTCTCCTAGAGCACCCCAATCTTCAGAGAATCGGTGCCTTTGAGGGTTGTAATGTTGAAGTAAGGGATGCTTCTAATGTGGGCTTGTGAAATTTGGATTCTGGGCTTATGTGTAAAAATCTTGATTTATTCCTAGGGGGATTCAGGAATGCCCGGCCCATCTGGGCTTCAAGGACTTCCTGGGACACCAGTAAGTACATTGAGGGAGCAGAGAAGAACTTCTGTTTAATAACGCAACAATTTGCATGCACTTGGGGCAGTGTCTTGGAGTGTTTAACACACAACGGGGAGAGGGGCCAAAGAAGTCGGTAGAATACCGACTTAAAATGTGTCCTTGAAATAATTTGTGTCTTTAAAATGTCCCTTTGGCTTCAGGTTGCCACCTCTGAGACACACAAAAAAATGGCCACCGTCGCCCTGGGCGGGTCCCACAGGTGGCATCTTGGTTAAAAACTGATCTGTAATGGAGGTGAGGGGATAGGCTGGCCATCTTGGTAAAGAGTGAGTAATGCATGGTGGGGGAGCGGGGAAGAGGAGAGGGAGATGCATATGTATCCCAGTATGATCACTGTAAAAAATGGCTCATTAAATGTTTTCACTGGCCACCGGCAAAGCAGTATAAAACCGGTTAAAACTCAGCCAGGTGGCAATCATAACTGAACTCAGTTTTTCTCTCTGTGAAATCCTTTGAGACATTTTTCCTACAATAAAGGGGCTGTTGTAAGCGCAAGATGTTGTTGTTGGAGGTTCTTCGAAGGCTTTTGGAAGTAAAGAAGGAAGGTTTTCTTTTCATAAGAGAAAGGACATATTTTAACTGCAATTTTCATCCATCTGATAATCATCATGTCACATATTACACACACACACAATATATTGACAACAAAGCTAATTGGTCCTTGAGTTGGCTGTGCAAAATGTGAACTGCATTATGCGGACTAACCTGTACAAACTGGGATTGTTCTCCTTGGAACAGACAAGGTTGAGGGGATTAATAAAGAAACAGAGTGGGGACGAGGAGAAATATATTTATCCAGAGAGTTGTTGCGATCTGTAATGGACTGCCTGAAACGATGGTGGAAACAGATTCGATCGTAGCTTTCAAATGGGAATTGGATAGGTACTTGAAAAGGAAAAATGTGCAGGGCTATGGGTAAGAGCGGGGGGGTGGAACTAGTTGGGTAGCCCTTACAAAGAGCGGGCACAGGCACGATGGGCCGAATGGTCTCCTGTGCTATAAGATTTTATGATTCTATGATGCTAACTGCAGACTGGACTCAGTGGTCTACGGACCTAAGTGTGCAGACCTATGTTTTGGTAAGTAACATAATAAAGAATAATCCTCTAGGGTTCAAGAGAGTTCAGCAAAAAGGGGAAAAAAAGCAAAATTTCAGCAATGAAATGTCAGAAACTGTCTAACAATTTTCTCCTTTCTTTTCTCTGTAATCCAAAGGGGAGGAACGGGCCACCAGGCCTGAAGGGATCAAAGGGCCTGACCGGGGAGCCGGTAAGTGAAGTAGTCACTATTATCCTGGTCCACATAGCACATAACTTGTCACACGTAGAAGGCCATTGTTATGCGTGACCGTATCCAACCAGACTGAGAGTTCCACCTGCCCCGTAGAAATTTGCCTGTGTCTGGATTGGAATGGACACACTCTCTCACCGCCGTATCACCATCCCCTCCAACAGCCTCCTTGTCTCTCCCCTGATCAATCCGAGTAACTAACAGGAGTCTAACCATCCTAAACTGCGAGGTTTGCCATTGCAAACATCAATCTCACACTGTTTATTAATAATAATAAAAAATAATCCTAGCATTTGATGCAGCACCTTATCATGTCATCAAAATGACTCTAAGCGCTTCACAGGATTTTACCGTAAAGTATAGTGACTGTGTATTTGTAAGCCACGCAGCCAAAATGCACAGGACAGTGTCCCACAAACAACCTTGAAAGGAACAATCAATTTGATTTGGGGGATGGTTGGCCAGAACACTGGGAGAAACTCCCTTCTCTGTTTTGAATAGTGCCATGGAATCAATAACATCCACCTGAGCAGCCAGACGGGACCTTGGCTAAGGTCGTATCTGATGGATGGAACCTCTGATAAATACAGCACTCTCCCAGCACTGAACTGAAGTGTCAGTCTAGACTGTGAACTCCTGACGTGGGACTTGAACCCACAATTTTCTGACTTAGAGGCGAGAGAGCTGAGCCGGGCTGAAACCTTCCCTACGTGTTATGTTTCAGCAACTCGGGACGTCCTCCCGCCGTGAAAGACGCTATATAAACGTAATTTGTTTGTTGTTTTCTTTCTGTAGGGATTAAAAGGTGAGCGAGGACCACTGGGAGAAACAGGCTTCCCTGGGCCTGAAGGACCTGCTGGAACTCCCGTACGTACAAGTTTGTGTTTGAACTTTTCTTACTAATTTGTTTTATTTTGTTACGAGAAATGTAAGTTGGGGGGTGGGATGGAGGGGAGGTATGTAGTCTGGCACACTTTCCCACTGCTTGTCCAGCTAGGGCCACCCTACCTGTTAGGGCTTTGGCTTGCTGAGATATCTGGATGATTCCTACTCCCAGTGACTGGTCTGCCCTTCCAAGTCCTGGCCGTTCTTTGATCAGCAGTACCCTGGAGTACTGCAGATCCATCTGGCTCACAAACCAGACTACCGAGACCGCCAAAGAAGATCGAATCAATTCCGAGAAAAGTCTCTAGTTCGCCATTTGACATCTGAGGCAATAGGGATGCAGCAATCTTGTGGAGTCCTGTAGCTCAGTGGTTAGAGCACTCGCTTTGCAAGTGAGAGACCTGAGTTCAATTCCAGGCAGAGGGCGAAACCTTGGGCAAGTTTCCTTACTCCACACAGAGCCTAATAATAATCCCTCCAAACCCAAAACAATAATAAATTGGTCATTTTCAATCTACGACTGTCTGTGGGACATTGCTGTGCGCAATTGGCTACCGCGTTCGCCCACAAATATACAGTCAATTCACTTTACAGTGTGTTCTGTGAAGCGCTTTGGGACGTTCTCCCGACGTGAAAAGCGCTATATCAAATGCAAGGATTATTATTATTATTATCTTCTCAACACTCAGCATTAAATGAAAGGATCTAAAGCTGGTTCTCAGAGTGTCCCAGTAGATAAGGAATGACGTACCATTCCTTACGTGCATCAAAGAACACTCTTAACTGCATCCAATGTTACCTTCACGTTTCCCAAAGTGGGATAATGATAATAAATGATCCCACCTCTAACACTGCCAAGTCACAGGGCACTGGGGAGTTATCCCACTGAGCACAGCATTCGTTTGTTCTTGAAGAAATATCACTTGATAAATATATTTCCGGAGCTCCAACAAACACATTGCTCCTATTTTATCTCCTAACAGGGGAAGCCTGGACGACATGGATTACCAGGAGTGGAGGTAAGGAACTATACCAGGTCTTTGATTGCTTGGTGTAAGGAAACTTTATATTTATAATTTAGTTAATGATGAAATAATGAAATCCAATTTAGATATTAAACAATTGTTTCCTTTATTATAGTTCAACTGTCAATTATTATACAAAGAGCAACAACCCACTATCGCAAGACATTTATAATGGTTGCAACCAGACTTCAGAGAATAAAGTATTGATCAGTCACCTATCACTTGGAGAGTATTAGACAGCTGGGAGTTCATCAGAACTGTATCTCACGGACACTCGCTAAAACACTTATACAATTTTACCCAAAAATCAGAATCAAATTTGCACATATCTTAGCAGTGTTCCCACCACAAAAATGCTCCCACACTTCAGACAACGAGTGGGGGTAACCCACATTCTAGTTGCAGTTTTGTTCGTTGCAAAATAACAAGATAACAAGTGATATGTAGTCACCTTCAGTACTTTCACACAATTAGCATTTTATTTTAACTCTTTCCTTATGTTAAGATGTGGAATGCCCTGGCTGGTGGTTGAGGCAGGTTCCATATTAGCTTTCAAGAGGGATCTGGATAGATATCTAAAAAGGAGTAATTTACAGGGATATGGAGGAGAAGTCGGGTAAATGGAACTGAAAGAATCGCTCTTTCAAAGAGCCAGCAGAGACACGATGGGCTGAATGGCCTTCCTCTGCTCTAGACATTTCTATGGTTCTAAATTTCTAAAACAATTCAACATCAGTAATGTGCTTTCATTAATGGCATCGTAAGGATCATTAAATGTGTGAAGTTTCATATAGATGCAAGGGTTTCCTCTGCTCTTTGACCATGGTACTGGACACACTGGGTTAGAACCCAAACCTACTAGCCCCAGCAGTGCTCAGTGCTCAACTGCAATGCCATTTATTTGAATGTAACAATCAGTAATATAATTATATATTAATACGATCAATATTCCAGGGCTCACCAGGCAAATCAGGAGACCGAGGTTCCAAGGGAGAACGGGTACGTAATCATAATTTTTTGTTTGCAAATGGCACCTTTGTGCAAAAGAAAGATAAATCATTTGACAAACTGTTTTCAGGCGGTGCGTGCAGTTAGAATGCGCGGAATGGGTTGCAGTGACCTGTTATAAGGTGCTTCATTACAGCACTGATTTGTTTAGGAATCAAGTGGCACATGGATTCCATTCCCTGCACATACGATATGGCTTTGGCTTCCAGTGTGCTAAAACATGTGCCGCAAGTGACATCAGCAGGTGACCTGATGACCCAGAAGTTAGCTATCTTTTTAGAGCAGTTGTACAGTGAACCCAGTTAGTGTGGGTAAGGTATAGGACAAATTAGGGTTTTATGGACCCCGACATCCCCATTAAAATGAGGCTTCACTATACCTACATTACAGTGTACACTGCATCCCGCTATCTGTTCACCCCTTCCCCCCCAGTGATAGCAGTACCTCACAGCCAAAGTGACAACCGAACTGTCCAATCTCATACCAACTGCTAAACTTTGTGCCAACGTTAACCCACAGTATAGGTGGGGAGACAGGGGGCAGTACAGAAAGGCTCAAATGGATCGACAGCTGGAGTTCAGCTCTTCTCCCTTTCTCCCAGTCTATCAAAGCCCTCACCTTCAATCTGTCCACTCCCTGGTATCCTCTATCGCTCTAATCTTTTCCTTCCCTGTGTCTCCACCTGTCTCCTCCACTCAGCTAACTCGCATTATTATTACACAAACTCAAGTTGTTGCGCTTGTGTTTTTTTGGAATCGTTCACACGGCAACCTGCCCGGCTCAAACACTTTCCTGTGTTCCCTCTTCTGTTGTGCAGGGCGATCCAGGAATCCTGGGAGACCGAGGCCCGCAGGGAGAAAGGGGAAAGGCGGGTAACCCAGGACTTCCGGGATTTAAAGGAATTGTAGGATCCCATGGCCCAAGCGGACCCCCAGGAGAGAAAGGTCACCCAGGAACTCCAGGTCACACTGGGACAGATGGTCGGCCCGGCGTACCGGTAAGATCATTAGTGAAGTCCTGTAGCGTAGTGGCTAGCGCGATCGCCTCGCAAGCGAGAGAACCTAGGTTTGATTCTCAAGTGGGACGAAACCTTTGTCAAGTTTTCTTACTCCACACGCATCTGTTTACTTGGCAGCAAGTAGCACCCCGGCTGTTAGTCGATTGGCAGATCACTTTCTGGGGGTAATAATCCCTCCAAAAAATAAATAAAAGTGAGGTCACTCAATCCATGACATGACTGTTTGTGTGACATTGCTGTGCGCAATTGGCTGCGATAAAATACACATTTAATTCACTTTGCGGTATATCCTGTGAAGCGCTTTGAGATGTTTCAACGACCTGATAAGGCACTAAATCAAATGCAAGGGTTATTTATATTGACTGCAGCTAAGCTTTAGCATGCAATGGCATGAGAAATGGTTGGGGGGGGGGGTAGGGTTAGTTTCCTTAGTGGGGGATTTGAACCGAACGGATGCCCCTGGAGAAACAACCCAAAATAACAGCGAGTGTTTGTATTTTTTCAGGGCGGCACAATAACGTTTGAGGAAATATCCCAGTTTATCAGGCAGGAAGTGCTCAGGGTTTTTGAAGGTAAGCAAGCGACGGAGGGAAAAACGGTGGGGTGTGGGGGGGGGGGGGCGGGGGTGAGGTGGGATCGGTCGGAGGAGGTGGAAGGGGTTGCTGATTGCAGCAAACACCAAAGGGGCTGATTGAAATTTGCACGTGTTAGGATTATTTTTTTTATTTTTATTATTTTATTATAAATGCAAGTTTGTTGTTGTTGTGACAGAATGCCTGCCCCACATTTGGTGCCCTCCTCCTCTCCCCGCTTCTCCTCTCCCTTGCCTCCTTCAAGGTCATCTCAAGAGGAGGGTCTCTCAAGAGGCAAGGGAGAGGGGGCAAGGCAGAGGGACTCCAGGATAGAGTTCCAGAGGTTGGAGGCAGAAAAGCTGAAGGCCTGACCGCCAATGGTGGGGTGGGCAGGGCGGGATATGATGGTTGTGCTGTGTGTGTTTTATCTTGATAATTCAATCGATTGCTTGTCTGTTGGTTTCTTTCAGAGAGACTCGCCCACTATCAGCTTCCCGCTGCAATGTTGGCTGCTCAGTTAAAGCCGGGATTGCAGGGCCCTCCAGGGAAGGACGGGTTACCTGGGCTTCCGGGATCCAGAGGAGATCCAGGAATTAAAGGGTCTAAAGGCAAGATTGATCCACAATTATTAAGCAGGCCATCATTTTTGTTTTAATGTATTCTAATAAATTTGTTCTTGTTTAAGCCGTTTTGAGAGATACTTCCGGCAATATTAATATTAACTGCATTGTCTTGTATATTCCTCTTGATTTAGATAAATCCCCCTATTTTTTGGTCTATTGTGGTTACAATCGTTTCTCATTTTCACCTTTCTCCCTGCTGTGTGCAATTGGCTGCCGAGTTTCACCACAAAATACACAGTCAATATACTGTGAAGCACTTTGTGACATCTCAACGATGTGATAAGGTGCTATATCAAATGCAAGGATTAGTATTATTATTACTGATGGCCAACAGGCAATTGGTCCACGACATATACAGTCAATTCACTTTACAGTATATTCTGTGAAGGGCTTTGAGACGTTTCGAAGACATAATAAGGCGCTATATCAAATGCAAGGATTATTATTACTATACATGCCGGACTTCCCTCAGCACTGCATTAGAGTCAGCATTGACTATGTAAGTTCAAAGCCCCAATGTGGGGCGCGAACCCACAAGCTTCTGACTCAGGCGAGAGTGCTGCCACCTGAGCCAAGTTGACATGCTTGAAGTGGAGAAATATTAATGGGGGAGGAGGCAGGAGAGGGAAACAAGATTAGGATTAGACTGTATGTCTCACGTGGAGAGAGAGTAAAAGCACCAGTGGAGAGTTGACGGGCCGAATGGCCTGCTTCTGAGCTGTATCTATCCATAATCCCACCTCCAACGTGAAAAAGAAAATCCTTTTTATTTCCCTTATAGGAAAGAGAGACAGAATGAGAGGGAAGAGCGGCAAGGCCGAGAGCCCTTAACATAAATGTTTGTAAGGAATATATCGGGGGATTAGCGAGGCGAGGAGGACGTTTCTGTTGAAATGCTGCTCGAGAGCAAGGACCGACCACGTGGGACAGCCTGGCAATGGGAGGCCTGCGCTCCGAGAAGACACGAGTTTCCCGAAGTGTCCGCCATTGTTGGGGGCATTCCCGGATGCACTTTGTTAACGTTCCGAGCACAGAATTTCCCTCTCGGGCTTTGCCGTCTGTGTCCATTCCTCACCCTGGCTCTTTGGACAACAAAACTCCAGATTTCTCCACAGAGTGAAAGCCATTTTAACCCTGGACGCCTGGACAAAACATCCAGCTCCGATTCATTTGTATTCTCACCTATTTTCAATATGCTTGTTAATTCAGACTAACATCCGGTTAATCCGATTTACAAAGCGCTTCAACTGTATTGAGAGAAAATCTCCTTCTTACACAAGCCTATGCTGGGTTTCTTGGACTTCTGTGGGCTGTTGCTGTTGGTTTCTCTGTGTTGTTTGGGAGATGTAAGAACCATCGCAGTTGTTATTCTATCCTGTGATTATTCACAGCTCATTCCATGTTTTGTACTTTCCGATGTACGTTTCACTGCATCATTTTGTCATTTCTCAGTAAAAGTTACGGATTTTTTTTTCCAACATTGCCTCCAGGTCAGTTTCTTGTTCAAAGTTCCTTCTCTACAACACATTCACACCGGAATCCCTGTTCCATTTAACCTCAGTGGAGTCCCGTTTCTTTGAGTGTTGTTTCCCCTTCCATATCTGACCTTTCTCGCTGCTCTTAGTCCCTCTTCATCCATTGACATCCATTGGCCTCTCATATCTCTTCTGAGTTAACTCAAACTTGAACTCAAAATCGAACCCTTATCTCCCGCATCGCTGAAGCTGCCTACAATTACTTATTTGATGACTTTTCTTTGCCTCCCTTCTCTCCAGCAACTTTTAAATCTCTGTGAAGCTTCCATGTCCATGAAAGGCTTGAGTACTGACCCTTATTGTTCTTCAGCCCCTCTCTCTCTCTCTCTCTCTCTCTCTCTCTTTTCTGGACTGGAGAGAACCAAAAAGCCAGGTGTCTGATGGCTGATTCTCCTTTCATCTCGACATCTTATTTTCTCTCTATCTTATTTTTTCTTATTGGACTTCTTGAGCGCCAAATACACTGCCCTACACCTTCTTCCTTCTCCCACCAAACCTCAAGCTTCATTGCACTCCAGTTGTCTCCAGCCACAACTCATTCATTCCCAGGACCTCAACAGTATGAAAGGTCTTCCCTTCTCCCTATAATCTTTAGGCTCTCAAGACCCAAATTTGGTGCAAATTAAACTCTACATCTTGATTCATCTCAAATCCTCTGCTTCTGTTGGTTCCAACTATTCCCTAGCCCCTTCAAATAGGTTCCTTAATAAAGTCCAACAAGACTGCAGAACCATAGTTAAAGAGATGTCATTGTCGCCTCATTGATGGAATTGGGATTGAGAAAGTAACTGCAGAACAGTACCCTCAGACACTCAATGAGGACACGTGAAAGTTGTGATGGGCAATTTCAGCACACGTTGAGGTGCCTCAAAGTGCTTCACAGGATATACTGTAAAGTGGATTGGCTGTGTATTTTGTGGTGGTGGTGTGTATTTCTATGGGGTGTCGGTGGGAGAGGGGGGGAAGGGGGAAGAAGAGAAGGGGGGGTTGTTATAGTGGAGTGGTCTTGGTCTGGTTTGGAGACTCTTTAGCAAGTGTCAGATCTGACTGACCAAAAAAATGTTTTATGTAATAACAATAATAATAATCCTTGCATTCGATATAATGCTTTACCATGTCATTGGGAGGTCTCAAAGCGCTTCACAAAATATATTGTAAAGCGAATTGACGGTGTATTTTATGGATGAAAAGCGGCAGCCAAGTGCGCACAGCAGTGTCCCACAAACAGTCGTGGATTGAGTGACCAGTGAGGAATTATTACCCCCAGAAAACAATCCGCCAATTGACTAGCAACTGGGTTCCTACTTACCGCTAGGTAAACAGAGGCGTGTGGAGTAATGAAACGTGTCTAAGGTTTCGCCCTGCCGGGAATTGAACCCAGGTTCTCTTGCTTGCGAGGCGAGTGCTCTATGGTAAATTAACGGGTGAATGCACGAGTGCCTTGATAGCAGAAAAGACTATTCCGATTTTCAGATTATTTGCTATTTTCAGGCATTGGATGTTCACCTCTTCATTTCTTTCGTCACCCGAGTGTCTTAGACATTTGGGAGCCCACTACCGTGCTTTAGAGTATCCAAACCAGACTGAGAGGATCCAGAGGTTATCAATACAGTGCAGCTTACCACACAACCCCTCACCCCCCCCACCCCCCCCATTACATGATGCTAGTGACAGCTTGCCAACACATCCTCTGTATTTCTGTGGACAGGTTTCCGAGGTCAAAAAGGGGAGCGAGGTGAACCTGGCATCGGACTGCCAGGTGGTCATGGTCCACGTGGGCTTCCAGGTAAGTAGCTACTTATTGTATGTACACAGCGCTTACACAGGGCTTACACAGAGCTTATAGTACATATACAGTGCTTACACAGAGCTTACACAGCCCTGATTGTACATACACAGCACTGACTGTACATACGCAGCACTGACGGTACATACACAGCACTGACTGTACTTATATACTTACAAAAACAATAACTTCAAAATTACATTTGTATAGCACCTTTCATGTCGGGAGAACGTCCCAAGGTGCTGTAAGATACACAGTGCTTGCTGTATTTTACAGCACTTTATGTATATAACACATACTGTACGTACACAGGGCTCACTGTATGTATACAGCAAGTTATTGTACGTATACGGCCTCCACACCTCAGGCACTGACAGCATCATCATCCATGGTTGCTCACTCCACCTTGCTAAGTCAGTCCAGGACCTGGGCTTCTTGTTTGACCCTCAACTATCCGTTCTCCGCCACATCCGTGCCATAACCCGCTTTACTTTTCCCCACCTCCGCAACATTGCCCGGCTCAACCACTGTCTCAGGCCGACGAGACCCTCATTCACATGTTCACCTCCTTGAGCTCCACTCTCTCTTACGCCCACCCCCCACCCTCCCCACCGCCGCTTGGGTCCAAATCCCTGACTGTCTTCCCGAGGTGAAAGACTCTGTACAAATGTAATATTGTATTGTATTGTTACTGTATTTACACAGCAGTTTACTGTAGTTACAGAGAAGCCCGTAACCCCACTCCGCTTCTGCCTTGTAGGTTTGCCAGGATCAGGGTCTCCGGGACCTCCAGGACAGCCAGGCTCACCAGGCCCCGTGGGGCCGAAAGGAAGGTGTAACCCTGGGGACTGTTACTACCCCGCCGGCTTTTCCCGATCACACATACAAGGATAGGGAGGGTGACTGTGGCGGGGAATCCGTCTGTTCCACATTAGGGTCCCGGTAGCCCGTGCTGGAGGGCAGACACGGGGAGAGAGTGGGACCCGTCATTTAACCTGGGTGGGTTTAAGGATAACCCCTACATACAAGTCAAACAGAAAACTCCATCACAGGGAAGATGGGAGAATGGTTCCTGGTGTTTTCACACCGCAGTGTGTGTTGGTCTGAGACAAAGCAAATCCTCTGACAACTTTTCGGCCACTGAACCGCAGGTGCTTACGATGCAGACCCATAATTTTTCCGGCTCGACCACCTGGAGGGAGAACCTTCCCCTTCGATGCACGTCTCCCACTGTAAATAGTTTTCTTTGTTGATCATTCATCTCCTCCTCCGAACTTTCTCCGGACATTGGGGCTTGTTTCTCAGCGAGAAGTGTGTGTGGTTTCGACACAATATTGGTCCTCGCCTTCCATACAGCGAGATTTTTTACTGTCAAGTGTAGTGACTGTGTATTTTGTTGGCAAACACGGCAGCCAATTTTCACATGGCTATGTCCTGCCCATAGCTGTGAAGTGAGCGACCAATTTTATTTGGAGGATTGTTGGCCAGGACACCGGGAGAGAGAAATTCCCTTCTCTTTTTCAAATAGCGCCGTGGGATCTTTAACGCCCACTTGAACAGGCAGTTGGTAACCAGGTTTATCGTCTCTTCCGAAGGACATCACCCCTGGCAAAACAATGCTCCCAACCAGCACCCAACCAGTCGGACTGTGTGAGCTCAAAGTCCTGATGTGGGCTTGAACCCACAACCTTCTCACCCAAAATGGAGAGTGCTACCGACTGAACATTAACATGGTTTTATGAGCATTTCTGATAAACATTTAGCCCTGTCTGTACAGCGAGGTGAACACCCATACTTGCTGGAGGGATATATATCTCTGGGTCCAGCAACACACTGTTCCCTCAGTTATAAGACGTGCTCAATCTTATTTTGTGTTGCACAGTCTTAAATTCAGTCTTAATCTCTCAAGCTGTTTCTTTTTCCTTTTTCTGCAGGTTTGTTTAAGAAAAAATAGCAAAAATAATATAATGCAGTTAAACTCACATTGGTCTGATCTGTATTGATCAGATAATCACCTAAGTTGTACATCTGCCTACGGTAATTTTTTTTTACTGTGAGGTGTTAGTCACGACCATGTATGTCTTTTGTAAACTATTGAGAGAATCTACCCGGCTTGAAGATTCTGCACTTTCTGAAATCATAGAATCGTAGAGATTTACAGCGCAGAAAGAGGCCATTCGACCCAACCAGACTGCATTGGCTCTTAGAGCAAGTTGTCCATTCAATATAATAATAATATAGTAATAATAATATTCCTTGCTTTTAATTCAATCCCACTGCCCTGCCTTATTGCTCTTAAAAGAGCCACCAGAGACCTGATGGGTTGAATGGCTTCTTCTGTGCTATAAATTTCTATGATCCTATCCTCACAACCTCTTCAAGCTTCTATCCTTCATACGCCTCTCTACTTGCCTCTTGCAACCCACAATGACGTGAAAGGATTTAGTTTAAAGTGTAGTGACTGTGTCATTTGTAGGCGAATCCAGCAGCTAATTTGTGATATCCCGTAAACAAGCCCCATGAGGTGAATGGCTGATTTTACTTGGGGATTGTTGGCCAGGACCCCAGGAGAAACTCGCTTCTCTTTTCAAATAGCTCCGCAGGATCGTTAACTTCCACCTGAACAGGCAGATGGGACCTCGGTTCAGCGTATCATTTGTAGGACGGCATCTCCGACAATGCAGCACACCCCCCAGCACTGCATTGGAGTGTCAGCCTAGATTGTAGGAGCTCAAAGTCCCGACGTGGGGCTTGAACCCACAACCTTGTGACTCAGAGGCGAGAGTGTTATTGTACTCGTGCTTCTCTAGTTATGGATAAGACAGAATTTTCTGTGACGTGATAACTAACATCCGTGTTTAACACATCCTGCATCGCAATTTTCAGCCTTGCCTTTAGTAAACTGTGCGAATATTTTTTCAGTTGGTCTCGTTGCCTCTCCCGCTGTTTTACTTTACTACAGTGTGTGCTCCCAGAATACACAACCTCCCTGTGCAAAGCCTGACCACTGTCTCTGATACTGTCTCTGATATTAGTAAATGTAATCACCCCCTCACCCTCATTTATCCCACTCATCGCTCACTCACTCTCATCCTCACTCACAGTCTCTCCCTCACTCTTTCTCCCCCTCCCCCTCTCTCTCTCTCTCTCTCTTACTCCATCCCCACTCTCCTCAAAAATCACCCCATTCCCTGCCCTTCCCTCTAAAGTCTGTACGCTGTGGCTCTGTCGAGTTGTAGGGCCCATTTACTGTGACATATAAGGAACCATCACTGGGAACACAGTGTGGATCTAAGTCAATTCCAAACAGTGCTATATGTATATTTTGAGCTCTCGATCACAGTCGTAGCAGACAGCTTAACCCATCTTAACCAATCACTCATTTGCCCATTGAAGTGGAGTCTGCTCGATCTGATTTTTTTTTAAAAGGAAAAAATTTAAAAAACCCACCTGCCCGCTAGATATTATTTTTTTTATAACCGCCAAAATCCTCGCCGTTTTATTTTCATATTGCGGGTGGTTCGCTGTTGTTTCTTAGTCATTTCTTATTTAAACCGGCGCCTGTGTTATTTTACTTTGCTCGGAGTTTGTTGATATTTGGGACTGTTCCTACATATTTATTTACTTGTTTTTTTTGTCCCTCACAATCCTGACTTACTTTAACAGGAGGTGATTTATGACAAGGGGCTTACGTAGAACCATAGACATTTACAACACAGAAGGAGGCCATTCGACCCATCGTGTCTGTGCTGGCTCTTTTAAAGAACAATCCTTTGATTCCCATTTACTTGCCCTTTACCCCATTCCCGTACTTCTGTCGTTCACGTGACTGTTTGATGGCCGGGTTGGGTGTGGGGGGGGAGGGAGGGGCGGAGATGGGAAAATTCTGGAGAAAGTCGGGAATCCAAACAGCCTTAGGGCTCGGGAGTTGTTCCCGTTTGTTTTCTTTCTCCCCTCTTCCCCAATATACATTTCAGGACAAGTACTCTTGAGGCTAAAAACTGTGAGGGGATTTAAGGTGTTTTTAGTGAAAAGGTTTAAGACGTTTCTACAGTTTAAATTTTAACACGAAAATGGTCTCACAGCTAAGACTGAGTGGAATTCTTAACAATATTAATAAGAATCTTTCCATTCACGTCAGAGCGTAGTGACTGTGTTTCGGCCGATTTCAGTTACGAGATATATTCAAGGTTCCCAGACCAGTCAGCCAGTCACCTCATAGCTTTTTGTGGGACCCACAAGCAGCTTTGAGGCGAGCGAGGCTTTTTTTGGTGGGGGGGTCAACTCAGCCAAGATGCCTTGATTTTGTAGCATTTTATGATTGATTTGATTTATTATTTGCCCTCAACCCCAAAAGGAATCTTGGAGTTTATTTTGGTTGATGCCCCTTTATAATGAGCTCGGGGGGAGGAGAGGCGAGGAGAGCTGACTTGGGGATGTGGGGAAATCCTCTCAAACATATTTGAATCTATAATTATGTAATGTTTCATCATATCATGGAAGGTGCAAAGTTACTTCCCCACACTATTTCAGTGAGCGAATAGCGTACCTGTGGAACAGGCTCCTTAGGTAGACGGTTAAAACAGGAAGTGTTGATTGCTTCAAACACAGATTAGATAGTTTTCTTTCAGGGAAATAACATTAGGGGATGTAGTACTTAGGGAGTTTGGGACATATGTGCATGCGACCACAAGGAAGGTGGAAGGCAAACTAGATGGACCTTGGTCTTTTAATTGTCTAGCATTTCTTATGTTCTTACGTCATGTTTTTACAAATACACCCCGTGCTGCTAATTAGTGGAATTAAGATTTATGTGACCTGTGTGTGTGTGTGCGGGTTTGGGCCCACACGTGTGTTTTTTTTAATAATTGCATGGCAATCATGTTGAAGACTTGGGTCTCTCTGTATGTCTGTCTGCTTGTCTGTGCAACATTAAGTTACAATTGGATTGGTTCAACCCTTTCTATAAAAAACGTTTGGTGACTCTCCGATTTAATAATATTAATAATAATCCTTGCATTTGATATAGGGCCTTATCATGTTGTTGAGATGTCTCATAGCGCTTCACAGGATATACTGTAAATTGGATTGATGGTGTATTTTGTGGGAAAATTGTGGCAGCCAATTGCCAAAGGGTTGTGGATTTGTTTGGAGGTTGTAAATAATAGCAATAATCCTTGAATTTGATACAGGTGGGGAGGATGTCTCAAAGCCCTTCACAGGATATATTGCAAAGTGTACTGACTTGTGTTTTTTAGGTGAATGCGTACATATATCGCAAGTTGTGAATATCTTTCTCTCTTTTTTTTTTGCCTGCAACAATGAACAATTCCTCCCTGGGCGCAGATTTACTCTATTCGTGCGGCTTTACAGAGAATCCAGAGTTCGACATTCTTAGGAAAATTTACCTTTATTATTAATTAATGATGAAATAATCATTAAATTGTTAAACAATTGTTTCCTTTATCATAGTTCCTCAGTCAATGATTATGCAAAGAGAGATCAATGACCCGCTATTGCAAGACGCAATAATGGGAGCAACCAGGTTATCAAAGAATTAAGTATTGATCAGTTACCTATCTTTGGGAGTGTAGCAGGCAGCTGGAAGTCAGTCATAGCTTGACTGAACTCTCTATTTTATCCCTGATCAGTTCTTGTATAAAGCACAGACTAATCAAATAGCAAATTTAACCCTTTGTGGTTAAAGCTAAGTGGCTAAGGGCATGTTTACCAGCAGTGTTCAGACCATCAAGTTGGTCCATATGATGGACGCAAACTAAAATATTTTCTTCCAAGTATATTCTTATCAGAAGGCACGTTCCTGAGGATGCCTCAAAGTTCACTGTAGCAGGGAACTGGAAGTTAACATTTTATGTTAACTCTTTAACATAAGACTCAATCGAGTCTTAACCTAAATCTCTGCTTCTTGGGAGAAACCCACAAGAAACTGGTTTGAAACTGTTACTTATGATTTTGCCAAATTTAGGCTGTACGAAATGCGGTATAAATAGAGTAAACCTGGCCCCGATGGAATTTTTATACCTTTGTTCGTTTGTAACACATTTCATCTGAATTTCTTTTTTGTATTTTGATAACCAAACTGATTCCCAGAAGTCAGTTTCCTACCTCAGTTGAGGATGGGTGTGTTGATGGGCGTTTTGATTACAGTGTTTGATGTGTTATTTATTTTGTATTGTTGTTAATAATCTTGTGTTTAGTGCACCGCCTTTCATGCAGAGAAGACGTCTCAAAGCGGTTCACAGGGCTTGTTGTGTAGTGCAGTGGCTGTGTGTTTTGTTGGTGAACACAGCAGTTAATTTGCGCACAGCAAAGTCTCCACAAACACAGTTGTGAAGCGAAATGACCAATTTATATTTTGAGGGTTTATTGCCCAGGAAGAAACTCCCTTCTGTTTTTTAGTAGTGTCAAGGGATCTATAACGTCACAGGGGAGCTCGACTGATTCACTGGGGTCAGGGAATCTTCCCACTCAGCTCCTGTTAACGCTGCAAGGCAAAGCCCTAATGGGTAGGGTGGTCTCAGCTGGACAAGCTATGGGAAAGCTCACTAGACAGTGGTATCAATGCAGTTTTAGCTGATTAGACTCCAGCAATGCATACCCTGGGGTCCCCAAGCCTTAGTTCTTGCCAACCTGCACCTAATAGTCTCTGGAATTAGGTAAACAGGATGTGTCCCACCAGGGAGAGAGTGCGCAATCCATTCCAACAATCTATCTCTGGGATTTCCATGTGTGGGTGGGATGCGTGGTATTCTCAGTTTGGTTTGGATGCTCTTGAACACGATGATGGGTTTCCACATGTGTCAGACACCCGGCTGACCAAACAAGCCCACACCAGTGTGCGATGGGGAGGAACGGGGTCTGAGCAGGTGGGAGAGGCAGGGAGGTGCCAAGGCACGAAGCAATTTGCTGGCGGGTGTGAGAAAGCAGGCGAGCCACCTTATCGTTTACCTCATTTCGATTCAACCTTACTGTTACTTCTTTTTGTTGTATTTTTTAAAGAAAGGACTTGGATTATTTTAGAGGAATTGATCTTATCGCTTTTTTTAAACTTGCTTAACTTCCCCACTTGACCTGCAGCGAACTCTGTCCCACTCTCTTCGGTGCTGTATTGTATATCTCGCGTAATAAAGAGGATTGGTTGCAAATGGTGCGTATTGTTTTACTCTATCTCCTCCCGAGGGTGGGGTGGAGGCTGGGGGAGGGTGATGTTTATTATTCTATATGGCGTTGCACAAATCATACAGCACAAAAAATCAATAACAACAACTTGCATTTATATAGATCCTTCATCCGGGCAGCGTCTCAGGAGTTTGACATTGAGCTGTAAAAAGAGGGGAGGTGGCCATAGGCACGGGTTGAAGAGGAAGGTCTTCAGATGTAGCCTGAAGATGGACATGGAGCGGGCTTGGTGAAGGGATTGAGGCAAGGAGTTCCTGTCTCCATGGGGCAAAGTAGCTGAAAGCAAGGCCACCATTCGTGGAGCGGAGGGGGCAGGGGGCATGCAGGAGGCCAGAGCCAGCCGAGCAAAGTTGGGTGGGTGGTAGAGGGGGTGTGAGCGGGTCGGAGAGGTAGGGAGGTTCCAGGGCGTGAAGTGATTTGTGTACGAGTGTGAGTAAAGGGGCCATCATTGAGGTGATGGGGGATTGGGGGGCGGCCGGGGTGGAGGGGAAGCAGGCCGAGGGAAAGCAGGATCCCAAATTAGTACTGAATTTAAGAATTTTCCACTTGTCACGTTTTCAGACCTCTGACCTTTGCAAACGTTTGGGTCAAGACATATATTCCCAAATGATAAACAATACCATCCCTGCAGTATTGTACGCCAAGTCGGGTTATGTGCAATACAAAGCTTTGGCCACAGGATGATGCTATTAAGCTGTGTAAATGTTCCTGCCCATTGAGTGGATGGAGAGGACTGGGGCTGCTAATATGTTCCTTGCATTAGATATAGCACCTTTTCACGTGATCAAGACATCTCAAAGCACTTCATTAGATTTTACTGTAAAGTGCAGTCACTGTGTGTTTTGTAGGCGAACCCAACAGCCAATTTTCACACAGCAATGTCCAACAAACAGCCATGAAGTGAACGACCGATTTGATCTGGGGATTGTTGGCCAGGACACCGCACAGTGAGAGGCGCAGAGATACACACAGACAGAGAAAGATACAGACACAAAAAGAGAGACACACGCACAGTGAGAGGCGCAGAGATACACACATAGATAGCGAAAGACACACAGCGACACACACGCACAGACATAGAGAGAGACAAAGAGAGACACACACAGACAGACAGTGAGAGGCACAGACATCGGGCTTTCCGAGGTACAAGACAAAACATGAGACAGATGTGTCCTGGAACAAGATGAGCATTTCAAAGAGCGCAAGAGAGAGAGAGAGCAAGGAAACAAATAACATTTAGCTAAATTCTTGAGTGACTGCAAATATAGTTTGATCCTTTTAATCCATAAAATCTTTACAAAAAGAAACTCAAAGCGAAAAAAAAATAACAAGTGTACGCCCCTCCCTCCCGGCACCACCCCCCACCTCACCCTTTCCGCAGCAAATCCGCCCACGGAAAGCAACACAATTATCTTTCAAAAGCAAATAAGATAGATATCTTTTAGGAAATAATATCTTCGGATACAGGGTATAGTTTGGGACATGACATGTCAAGCGACTGCCGGGATGGTGGAAGGCAAACTGGATGGACCTTGGTCTTCTTTCACCTTGGAATAATTATGTTCTTATGCTCTAACAGTGAAGAGGCGATGGGATGTGTGACAGAGAAGACGGAGAGAGAGTGGGGCGAGGGGAGGAGAGGGAGGTGGGTAAGGAGGGGGACTGGGGTGGGGGACGAAGAAATGGGTGATAAAACAGTTTCAAGTGGCCACTGATGAGAGAAAAAATAACATGCAGAGGTTTATCAAAGGTGTGTTTATTGTGTTGTTGGTTGTTTATCCCTTTGAAGTACAACAACAACAAAAAAGTTGCTTTGACGCATTCAAATAAATAATGTGATCTTTTAATCAGTAACAACAAGAGCCAAAAAAAAAAGACAAGAAAATTTCCCTTTACTTCTGGTTTTCGCTTTGGAATTATATATTTGTTAATTAAAACAAAAAAAAACATTGAATTGGTCGCCGCCTCATCGGAGGGAGGAGTGGGGGCAGGGAGGGAGGGAGGGAGGGAAGAAGGAGGGAGGGAGAGGGGAAACAGAAGGAGGGAGAGAGGGAAAGGCAGACTCTAGTGAGTTAGTGCCAGGAGCTCTGTTATAAGAGGAATTTCTTGACCCAATGTGTTTTTTTAAGTGGTGATGGTGGTGGGGTGGGTGGGGGCAGGTAGGCATTCAGTACTGGGAAAAGGTTATCCCGAAATATATATAGAGAGAACGAGAGAGAGAGGGAAAGCAAAAAATGCTTTTTCTTTGATTTTCCTTCACGTGCAACTGGGGACAAATTTACAGCGATTTACAGTGAGCGAGCGATGGAGCGAGGGAGCGGACTGACAATGAGTTCTGTACAAAGTAGTGGGTGGGTGGGTGGGGGAGGGAGAAGGCAGGGGAGAAAAGAATAAACTCCCTTTTCCGGGCTTCTCACCCACACGTTGGGTCAGATGTGTGATATCGTTACACACACAAGCTGGCAACTGGACCTAAAGGGTTGGACTTCACTGTTATCTGGAATGGGGCACCTCGGGGGGAGGAGGTGGGGGAGAGAGGGGGGGCTTCTGCGCTTTGTTGTTAGAAAAAGTTGCTCTTTGGCAGTCACGACTGTATTGGACTGAGGTAATAATTCACAAGACCCTTCGCTTTTATTTTTCTGGTTATTTATTTGTAACACGTAAGGGGGGGGGCGGGATGGAGGGGGCGTGTGTGTGTGTGGGTGTGGGGGGTGAGCAGGGGGGGGGATTATTGCTGTAAAAGAGTGATTTGTAAGATGAGAAAGAGGAGGTGTTGGTGGTGGTGGTGGGAAGCAGTAATGGAGAGCAAACTGGAGGGGGTAAGGGAGGGAGTCGTCCAAAAAAAAATGCACAGGCTCGAATTTTGGTCCATCTTCTTTTCCTGCCGTTCTTTTATTCTTTCAAGAACAAATGAGATAGGTTTCTGTTAGGAAATAAAATCTCGGGATACAGGATACAGTTTGGGACACGACCTGCGCCAGGTTGGTGGAAGGCGAACTGTGCGGGACTTGGTCTTTCGTCTGGCAAGTTCTTATGTTCCTTGTCAAGGAAGCGATGGAAGAAACAAAACGAAGAGATGGGGGAGGGGAGGGGCAAAGTCCGTGAGGTGTCCTAACTTGGGGTTAATTAACACAAGGAATGGCGTTAAGAAACGTCGCAAACTTTGGTCCTCTTCAACCCTTCATACCTACCCAACACACACACACAGTGTAATCACTGAGCACCGTCAATCAAGTGTTTTTTTTCTCCCCAGCATCAGCCCCTTGCGTTGAGATCATTTTGTTTCTGTTGAAGTGTCTTTCCCCCCCCCCCCCCAGGAGGTGAAGCTGTCTTGGATCGTCCATTCCCTTCGTCTGGTCTGGGACCTGGCTGCCGACTCCCCTTCTCCCCGTTCGCTCCCCACTCCCCGCAAGGTGGAGGAGGAGAGGAGAGGGGCGGGTGAGAGGGGAGGAGGGGAGGTTGCAGTCAATGTCGAGGTGCTAATGATTCAAGGTCCCTTGATGTTTTCAGGTGGGGGTGCTATGAGAGCCTGCACACAGGTGTCACAATATCCCGGGAGCCCGGCTCGGCCAGGAGGACCCGGAATTCCGGGCTGGCCAGTCTTTCCTGGAGGACCTCGCTCACCATCACGCCCATCTTTGCCAAAGCTATGCTTGCCCGGTTCACCTGTAACACAGCAAAGACGCTTAAAAATCCTTTGCATTTGATACAGTGCCTCATCACGTCATTGAGACGTCTCAAAGTACTTCACAGAATGTGCTCGGAAATAATATCGTGGGATACAGTATATAGTTTGGGACATGACATGTACAGGCAACTACCAAGATGGTGGAATACGAATTGGATGGACTTCTTTCTTCTTGCAATACTTATGTTCTTATATACTGTAAAGTGAATTGACTGTATATTTTGTGGATGAAACGCGGCAGCCAATTGCGCACAGCAATGTCCCACAAACCGTCGCGAATTGAGTGACCATATTTTAGGGATTATTACATCCAGAAAGCGATCTGCCAATCGATTAACAACCAGGTTCCTACTTACTGTTAGGTAAACAGAGGCGTTAGGAAACTTGCCTAAGGTTTGGCCCTGCCCGGGAATCGGATCAGTGTCCTCTCGTTTGCGAGGCGAGTGCTCTAACCAATATAATACCAATACAACCAATAAAAATAATAATATTAATCCTTGCATTTGATTCAGTGCCTTTAAATGTCAGGAGGACTTCTCAAAGCGCTTCACAGGATTATACTGTAAAGTGTAGTAACTGTGTGTTTTGCAGGCAAATGCGACAGCCAATCTGCATGCAGCAATGAGTCCCACAAACAGCCGTGGAGTGAGTGACTAATTGTGTCTGGGGAATTGTTGACCAGGACATCAGGAGAGAGAGAGAGAGACAAAAATAGGGGCAATGGAGAAATTGACTCTTTCCAACTCTTTCTAAGTTTTTCCAACTTCAAATTGGTTCTGAATTCCACTGCAATCCGAGATTTGCGAACGCAGCCAAGATGAATTCCCATGTATTCACCGTTTACTCCTACGTTCCTACCTCCTAGACCGTGTTGTCCCTGGTAACCTCTGGGCCCTCGTCCTGCCAGCCCTTTGTCGCCCTTTTCACCAGGTTCACCTGCACCGGGAAACACACACCAGCGTCAGACAGGCGAGCACTAACGTTTTGTTCGTTTTGGGATGCTTAACACAATTTTAATGGATTAAGTGCAGTACTAATTATGACCACAGGATGCTGCCATTGGGTACAGATTACCATTGTGCGCCGTTTATCCGCATGCCCGCTTATCCACATCGGGCTCCAAACCAGAACTTGGACATGGGTCTGAGATGTTGGTGGGAATAAGATCCTGGGAGGTGGCAGGGGGTGTGTGGGGGGGGGGTGGAAGAGTTTTGGTGGCATTTTCAGTGAGTAGGAGTGGAGTGTGAGGAGGTGAGCGATGTGGCGGAGGTGAAGTCTGTGTTGGAGACCGATCGCTTGGGCAGGAGAAAGGAGAGCGTGAGGATCGAACCGGATGCTAATAAGAATAATAATCTTTGCATTTGACGTAGCGATGTGGAGTAAGGAAACTTGCCTAAGGTTTCACCCTCCCACGGAATCGAACCCGGGTCCTCTCGCTTGTGAGGCGAGCGCTTTAACCACTATGCTACGGGATTCCATGCTGATGGTCTGAAGCAGAGGATGGCTGTAAGAGTCCCACAAACTAAAGACCGGGTGCTGTTATCCCCCGACCTTACCTTTCAGCCCTTTGTACCCAATGATACCAGGTGGGCCTTTGAGGCCAGTGAGGCCGCGAGGTCCAGGATGGCCGGGGTAGCCATTATCTCCCGACAGTCCGGGAGCACCAGGAGGCCCTGGTCGCCCTGGCATCCCCATCACACCAGACTCAGGTCGCCGGAGACTGGCAGCCAACTGAGCCAACTGTTCTGTAAGAGAATAACACACACACACGCAGGCCGTTACCTTCACACCGCACACACACACACGCAGACACACGCAGACACACGCAGGCACTAGCCCATCCCGTCTCCCCCACAGTCCACACCTGAATAATAATATAATAATCCCTGCATCTGATACAGCTCCTTATCACATCATTGAGACGTCTCAAAGAGCTTCACGGATATATTATAAAGTGAATCGACTGTATTTTGGGGGCAAAACCAGTGAGTGAAGAAATTCCGTTTAACTAATCCCTGGATTTTTCTGGCCACTGCCCTCCATTCCTTCCTACTTGTTACCGATTAAAGGAAAACCTTGGGATTCACTGAGTAAAGCATGAGGACACAGGTTTAGAATTAGAGTTGTAAGGGGCAATTTCAGGACAGGCATGAGGAAGTTTCTCTTTACGCAGAGGGTAATTAACTACTGGAACAGGGTTACCAGGAAGAGACCATGACACTGGGACTCATTTAAAAGGCAGCTCGATGCTGCGATGGGAGGAGGGTAAGGTGGATGTTCTGGAAGGAGGAGATTGGATGCCCAAAGAGCTTTCTTCACCCGAACTGAGCTTGTGACTTAGCTTAGGCCCCTGTCTACCCTCAAATATGTCTTATTGGGCATTTGGCTTGCACACCCAGTCACTTACCTTGCATTACTCTCATGCAAACTTGCCTGATGTGCTGGTCAGTGGGTTCTTTACCCTACGTGAGAACATTATAGATGAGAGAACAACAAGTTAAAAGCAATGGCTAAAGTATACAGTCAATACGGTCAGACTCTCGCACCCTCAGCACAACGGCTCTGAGTGGGGGGTGGAGGGGGAGAAAAAGGGGGTGTCTGTAAAAGCAGATCCCGAGTGACTTATAATGGGTCACGTTACAAAAGGACTCATCTGCTTCCTTAATTCTGAAAAAGTACTAGACACACGTTGGCAAGAGCCAAGGCTTGAGAACCCCAGAGTGTGCGTTGGGATAACTGCTGGAGTCTAACCAACTGAAACCACACAGCTTGCCATTGATAGCACTGTCTGGCAAGCTTTCCCATTGCTTGTACAGTTAGGAGCACCCTACCGGTTAAGGTTTTGGCTTGCAATATGTGTTGGGGGTAACTGCTTGAGCTGAGTAGGATGATTCCCTGTCCCAGTGACTGGTCTGCCCTTCAAAGTCCTGCCGATGAGCCAGCCTGGCTGTGCTGCAGTCAGCAGTGCCCTGGAATACTGCAGACCCACCTGGCTCAGGAACCAGATTATCGATGAGGTCTGTCTATGAGACGAGGAAAGGAGGAGACGAACTCTGCGCTTACCGCTGGGCCCTGCTTCCCGGGCAGCCCGGTCACTCCACGCTCCCCTTGCAAACCACGGGTTCCAGCAGAGCCCTGAGGACCCTCGGTGCCAGGCAGACCCCGGACTCCTTCTTTACCTCTCAGTCCAGGATCCCCTGCTTTACCAAGCTGTAAGACAGGAGGAGAGGTGGGTCTGGGCAGCAAAGAAGTGCGTGTATTTCTATGTGCATGTGTGTATGTGTGTGGATGCTTATGTGTGTGTGTTTGTGTATGTGTCCATGTGTGTTGGTGCATGTGTGTATGGTGTTGTGTGTGCGTGTGTCTACTTGTGTTTTACTGGAGTGTGTATGTCTAGGTGTGTTGGTGTATGGGTATGTGTATGTGGGTGTACAGGAGTGTACGGGAGTGTATGTGGGCATGTGTGTGTATGCAGTTGTTTTGGTGTATGTGGGTGTACGGGAGTGTACATGTGTGTGTGAGTGTACGGGAGTGTATGTGTGTGTGTGTGTCAGTGTATGTGGTTGAGCTGGTGTACATGAGCGTACGGGAGTGTTTAGTGGGTGTGTGTGGGTGTCGAAATATGTGGTTGTGCTGTGTACGTGAGTGTACGGGAGTGTATGTGGGTGTGTGTGTCGGTGTATGTGGTTGTGCTGGTGTATGTGGGTGTGTGTGCGTGTCGGTGTATGTGGTTGTGCTGGTGTATGTGGTTGTGCTGGTGTATGTGGGTGTGTGTGTATGTGGTTGTGCTGGTGTATGTGGGTGTGTGCGTGTGTCGGTGTATGTGGTTGTACTGGTGTATGGGGGTGTACAGGAGTGAACAACTTGCACAATACTCACTTTGCCCTTGGGGCCGGGCTCTCCTAGAACACCCTAAACACACAAAGAAAAAGCAAAGAAATGATGAGCAAGAGGCTGACCCTAACCCCAGGCTGGTCAATGGCCAAGTTCACCAAGTTCAGTCCGTCAACACCTCACTACACACGGACAATTCCCTCAGCCTTAAAATAACAAACCTCAGCAATAAAACACACACACACACACACACACACACAATGTAAAACAACAGGCTTACTCTCGAAGTGTCGAACAATAACACAACTTTATTTGAATATAAAAAGTCGCTCCGTCCCTCCCCCGTGTCTCAGTGGGTAATTCATTCATTAATTATTATTAGTGTATGGTGTGTGTGTATATGCCAGTGTGTCTATGTGTGAGTGTTGGTAAATGGTATGTGTGTGTATATTATTAATAATTATAATATTATAGTATTAGTAATTGGAGTAATATTGGTAATATTAGTAATTGGAGTTGAGGTAAAGATCAGCCATGATCTAATAGAATGATGGAACAGGCTCAAGGGGGTGAATGGCCTCTACTCCTCTTCCTATGTAACTGCAATCGCCCATAAAGATAGTTCATACTCTGCTCTTCCATCAGTTAGGGAGTGCGTATGGGTGTGTGTGTGTGTGTGTGTGTCAGTGTATGTGGTTGTTTTGGTGTACATGAGTGTATGTGGGTGTGTGTGTGTCGGTGTATGTGGTTGGTACACATCCTCACAAGCCTCTGTGTTAAGAAAGATCAGTTCTGATCATCTCGGTTCTGATTTTAAGATTATGCACCCCCACACCCCCCCCATAATGGATCCCTCAACCAGAGAGAAGAGTCATCCACTGTCTAACTTGTCAATTATCTTCCATTATTTCAATTATTTATTCCACGCCAAGTGGCATCTCAGAGCCCTCAACAATGGCGGAGCCTGAGGTCAAGCCAGGGGGAGAGAGAAGCACGACTTGACCTCCTCTGCTCTAAGGAATACATCCACAGTTTACCCAGCCTCTCATCATTACTAAACCCCTTAAACCCAGGTACTCGTCTAGTGTAATCCAAACTTGGTAATATCACAGCATCAGGACGTAGGAAAGCATGGACAATATGTTTAACAATATCATAAGGTGATCAACGAACAGTCAGTATCATTCTCCAGTGAAATGAATATTCCATTCCATCTTCACCACCACAGGATCCATGTTGTCCCAAAGGTTCTGATGAAAAAGGGCCTTTGGCCCATCCGATCTCATCCCTCCAGAACCCGCACTCGACCATCATCACAGCATCAAGCTGCTTTTTCAAATGAGTCCCAGTGTCCTGGCCTCAACCACCCTTCCTGTCGTGAATTACCCCTGGGTTAAATTAACACACTTCCTGGTATCTGTCCTGAAATTGCCCCTCACAACTCTAAAACTGGTGTCCTCTTGTTCTGCTGTCTCAGTGCATCCTAAAGAATTGTCCTGCGATCACTTTATCAATCCTATTTAGAACCTGAAACACACCTATGAGGTTCCCCCTTCTCTGAGACATCTCTCTTCCAGGCTGAAGAATCCAAGCTTGTCTAATCGCTGCTCATAGCTCTTGCCTCGAAATACTGGGAATTATCCTCCTCCCTTACGAGTCTAAATGCAATAAGACGTGATTGTATAGCAATCACCTGCTCTAGATACTGAAGAGGACTCCCTGCCTGACTCCTCCCTACCTCCACGGACTATTATCACCAAACCAACCTGTGCGTTCCCTCCACTCGGTGGGCACTGGCCTGCTTCATGTCCCCCATTCGGCCCGCCTCACCATTGGCAGTTGGGCCTTCAGCTTTTCTGCTCCACCCTCAGAGACTCCAGCATGGAATCCCTTCATCTCACCCCTTCCCTCGCCTCCTTCAAAGCCCATCTCAAGACGTTCCTCTTTGACCATGGATTCGGTCATCTTCCTAGCCCCCAGCCCCGTTGCCCTCCACACTCTTGGTTACAACCCCCAGCTTTGGTGCAAACCCATGACGGTCCAATGCCTTGGGACATCCTCCCGATGTGAAAGGTGCTGTATAAATGTAATTGGTTCTCGTTGTTTATTCAGACCAAATTCTATTCACAAAATGGTGTCTTACCGGCTCACCCTTTCGGCCATCAATACCCTCTCCACCAGCGGAACCCTACAGAGAACGGAAACCTTTTTTAAGAGCAGAACAATGCTGTGGCAACTTGTACATAGACACTAACCTCTTTCCCTCCCTCCCTCCCTTTGGATGAATGTAAAATCTCTCGTTTTTTTAAATGTAATTTTTTTTGCCTTTCGAATCACTTGTTGGCTTGTTTCACATTCCCCGCCTGACAACCCCCCTTCCACCAGCGCTGAACCTTTATCCATTCTAACCTCAACCACCCCCTCTCCGTGCCTTAATAAACCTGGCCTTAAGACCTTTCTTTTTGACCACTATTTTGTTTCCCACTCCCCGACCATACCACCACCACCGATTTCCTCAGCTCCCCTCGTCCCCCAGCTCATGTATAATTAAACACAGAAGGAACAAGAAGCCACAGGCTACTGTAACCTCACAAAATCTCCGAGCATCGGACTGACATTTGACAAAGTGTCATTCGATATCGCCCCCAAATCAAATCCAACCCTTAAACTCACAGCCCGGGCTCCCTTCAGTTTCTGAAGCTCCAATTCAGCAAATTCTTAAACCAAAGAAATGGACTTACTATTTCGCCCTGAGGTCCCGTCTCACCAACAGAACCCTAAATGAAATGGGGATAGGAAAAAAGACATTAATCCAATGCACTCGCAAAATGTATTTATGATTCCCATAGTGTAGTGGTAAGAGCGTTCCCTCGCTAGCAAGAGGACTTGGGTTTGATTCCTGGGGAGGGCAAAATCTTAGGCAAGTTTCCTTACTCCACACGCCTCTTTTACCTAGCAGGAAGTAGGAACTCGGTTGTTAGTTGATTGGCAGATTGTTTTCTTGGGAGAATAATTCCTCTCCCCTAAAAAATTTGGCCATTCAATCCACGACTGTTTCCTGGGACACTGTTGGTCGCAATTGGCTGTCGTGGTTCACCCACAAAATATTCCCTTTCAGCATATTTGGTGAAGTGCTTTGAGACAAATAAGGATTATTATATTGTTATAATAATAGTAATCCTTCCATTTGATATAGCACTTTTTCATGTCTTCTAAACGTCTCAAAGCGCTTCACAGAATATACGGTACTGTAAAAGGTGAAGAGGATTGCAGAAGAATGCAGGAAGACATAAACAGGCTAGCAAAATGGGTAGACGAATGGCAAGTGAAATTGAACATGGGAAAATGAGAAGTAATTCACTTCGGTAAAAAAAAAGGCGCCTTTTACCAAAATGGTAGAGAGGAATGGAGGATCAAAGAGATCTGTGGATTTAGATCCACAAATCTCTCTTAAAAAGAAATAACAACATAGGTAGCAGGGTAGATAATACCATAAAAAAGGTCAAAGGACTTTGTAACCGGAGGGATGGAGTATAAAAGTGAGGAGATGATGTTTCACATTATAAAAGGGTTTAACCAATTTTACATAAATAGGCTGTTCCCACTGGTTGAAGTAACCAGGGGAGAGGTATATGAACTAGCGACTAGTGGGATCTAAAAGAGAATTTAGGAGGAACTACTTCACACAGAGGGTAGTGAGATTGTGGAACTCGCTGCCTGAATCAGTGGTTGAATCAGACAGTGTAGATACATTTAAGACAAAGTTGGACCTTCACATGAGGGAGAGGGGAATAGAAGGTTATGGGAGGGAGTAAGGAATGTGTGAAGACTCGTGTGGAGTATAAACACTGGCACAGACAGGTTGGGACGAATGGCCTGTTTCTATACAAATGTAATTTTGTTGTTGTTGTTTCTATGCTGTACGGTCTATTCGAGTCTATTTAATTTGAGATCTGAGGGCATTTTATTCCTGGAGTCTCACATGAAGCTGAGAGCGTCTTAAAATGGAGAGAAATTCCCACCCACTGGTTGCTTCCGCATCCGGTGGAGTCCTTTAGCTCAGTGGTTAGAGCACTCGCTTTGCAAGCGAGAGACCTGAGTTCAATTCCAGGCAGAGGGCGAAACCTTGGGCAAGTTTCCTTACTCCACACAGAGCCTAATAATAATCCCTCCAAAAACCCCAAAAACAATAATAAATTGGTCATTTTCAATCTACGACTGTTTGTGGGACATTGCTGTGCGCAATTGGCTGCCGCGTTCGCCCACAAATATACAGTCAATTCACTTTACAGTGTGTTGTGTGAAGCGCTTTGGGACGTCCTCCAGACGTGAAAAGCGCTATATCAAATGTAAGGATTATTATTATTATTATTATTATCATAACATTACCGATCACAAGACCGTGTGAAACACGTCATTGCTGACATCCCCGTGCTGAAAAAAATGGCCATCGACCTCATTTCTTGTGATCGAAGCCGGAAGTAACATCGGTGGTGATCTGATGACCTGGAAGTCGACCATTTTCTTAACATGTGGGAAAGCCTACCACAGGGAGGGCAACTGTGTTATGAGCCATGACAAACCTTTAATAACAGGGGGCTCCACAGCAGTCGAATAAGCCTCAATGGCAGCTACAGTGGAGATGTTGGGTTGCCACCTGCCAGGATTGTCCTGGAATTTCCAGGAATTAATTTCCCGGACACTGCTACGAGCGACCCGGTAGATGACAGGGAATTCTCAAAGTGAATCTTGAAAGGTGAATCAGATTTAGCCCATTATCAGCTTCTCCGTTGTTTCACACACAACTGAGGACACTTAAAATGTCAAGGCAACACGGGCTTCTCACCCTCGCAACCATTTTACTAGTCTGCTGATGCTGCGGCTTACATTCTAACAATAATAATCCTTTCATTTGAACTAGTGCCTTTTCACGTAGTTGGGACGTCTTCAAAGCGCTTCACAGAATATACTGTAAAGGGAATTGACCGTATATTTTGTGGGTGAATCACAGCAACCAGGTATGGAGGAATCAGGAAGTGACATCAATGGTGATCTAGAAGTCGGCCATTTTCTCAGCACGCGGGAAATCCGTCCGCAGGAAGAGGTGAGACGCTGGCTCTTACCCTGTCGCCTTTCTCGCCGATCAGCCCTGCGGGTCCGGGGAGACCTGGATATCCATCATCACCTTTGGAGCCCTGGGGAAATGAGAGAAAATAACACACGGGAACATAAAAACAGGAGGAGGCCATTCAGCCCCTCGAGCCTGTTCCACCATTCTATCAGATCATGGCTGATTTGCACCTCAACTCCAGTTACCCACCTTTGCCCCATATCCATTAAGACCCTGACCTAACAAACATCTATCCACCTCAGTCTTGAAACTTTGAATGGATCCACAAAACACAAAGCAAGGAGGCAGAATAATAAGGACACACGGAAGCTTCTAGAATTCAGCGGCAACCATTTTTTGGGACGTGTCCTGGCTGATTCATTCCCACTCTCTATCTCTGAACTCTGTCTGAATTCCCGGGGAACAAACACTGGCCTCTTTCAGCTCAGCCTCTCTGGTATGCTGGCTCTCCAATTACTGAGCAAATAGCATCTGCTGGGAGACTCAATGGAGCCATTGATAGCACCTTCTCCGTTCATTCCCCCCAAGTCTACACTCAAGGTTACTCTTCCTCTCCAGGACACAAGCGACCTTCAGGATTATCACTGCGTCGAAAGTTTTATCCTAAACATCACTCGACCATTCCATGTCAATTCAGGCCCCCATCCCCTCATCCTGTAGGCCGCAGACAGGATTGAAATTCCCTGACCCATGAGCACAAGTGTTAACAGGAAAAAAGTGTCTCATTGATTCAATGGCATGTAGTGTACAATATACACATATCAGTAATGTGCCAATATATGTGTGTGTGTGAGACTGTGTACGTGTGCAAATAGAGGGTGAGATGTGTGATGATTATCACACGGTGTTATGTCACATTGTACAGTAAACTTCTGATATCTTTCCCTCCGAGGGAAAAGGGTTCAGTGACAAGTTATCCAGAGTGGCAAGTCATTAAATACAGTACATAAAAAAAACGGATATTGACAGCATGATGACTTCAGTGGTAATCACAAGTGAAGACAGGGTTGCGTTATCAGGAGTTGATGTACATTTCACCCCCACGCAGGTGTTTACGCGTGTGTGAGTTTGTGTACAAGTGAGCATGTTCGAGTATGGACGTGCGTGTTTGGATGTGTGTGCGGGTGTGTGGGAGAGTGTGTGCTTGTGTATATACTGGTGTACCCCCGGGCAGGGTAAAACCTGCAAGTTGCCTTACTCCACGCGTCTCTGTTTACCGAGCAGTAAGTACCAACCCTGTTGTCAGTCGATTGGCGGATCGCTCTCCGGGAATAATGGTTTCTGCGAGTGTGATTAGCAAGTGGTCTGGTCTTCTCGGATATTCCTCGACAGCAGGTTACACAGCTTGTGCACTAATAGTGTGGTTACTGTGCAGGCAGCAGTTTCTACTCTATATACAGATTCACGCACCCGGGTGTTCACATTGCGTGAACGACCATCTTCGGATACAAAGGGCAACCATAGTTGTGTGCGTTTGTGTATATCAGGGGGTGTATATGTGTACCTGTGTATGTGTGTGTGTGTGTCGGTGTGTGTAGTGTGTGTACAGACATAATCAACACATGTGTGAGGTTCAGTGAAATACTCACAGAAGAGCCTGGGGGACCATGGGGGCCAACGGAACCTGTTTCACCAGCGTCACCCTTTGCAAATCCAGAAAAAAGAGAAACAAAGGTAGTGAGTTTCTAGGAGTTTTCAGCGCAGGATTCCCTCAGTACAAGGAAACCGCAATACTTTGTGCATTTGATACAGCGCCTTTCACATCAAGAGGACTATCTCAAAGCGCTTCATTGGGCTTACTATAAAGTGTAGTAACTGTTTATTTATGTACACAGTGGACAAAATCCGGCCTTTTTTCTCTCCTTCAATTTTCCTCCCATTCCTTTTTTGCTTTCTTCAAAACCTTTCGATTCCTTTTACTTTCTCCATCAAGGGAAGGTGGGCACAATGATAACCCATGAGAGAGGATTCCAGCTGAGCCCAGATCCTAACCTCACTCTACACACACACACACACACACACCACCAAGCACACACAAACACCGCAACACACACACACACACACACTCCACACCAACCACACACACATACCACGCCAACCACACACCCCCCACCAACCACACACACACAACACACACCCCACACACTCACACCACACACAAGCACATCGTGCACCAATCACAAGACACACACACAAGCAACATACCAAACTCCACATCACACACCACATCACACACACGCACACAAACACTCCACACATACACACACATCCACTAACACTCTCATGCATGCAACAACAACAATAAATTACATTTGGATTGCGCCATTCACATCGGGAGGCTGTCCCAAGGCGCTGAAGATGCACATTCGTACATGCACACCCGGATATGCACACATACGTACAGAGGCACACACATGCACACACCTTGAGCAGGGAACCTCTGGGTAGTGAGGATCAGAACCTATGATTCCCCCCCGCACTCCACTGCTCCAAACTGCGTCTTCACCTGCCTGCCCACCCACCAAGGAGCTACCAGAAATCCCATTGTTATTCAAATTAGATTCACTAAACACTAAATAAGTAACTACCAGTCACTACACTTCAAAGTAACTCATTGTCCTTCATGTTGTTTTGATATATTACGATGCTATATAAAACACAACTATGACTTTAATTGTTTTTTTCTCTAAGCTTCTTATACCCAAGTGTTTTTTTTTACAATACAACACAATACAAATGTACATTTATATACACTCCTTCACTTCGGGAGGACGTCCCAAGGCACTGGAAAGTCTAAGACTTGCACCAGGGCTGTGGGGGGAGGAGAAAATAAGGAAGACACAGCATAGGATATGCTGCATGAAGCAAAACTAATCTTTGCACTTAGTATAGCATCGTATCACAGTGTTGGCACATCTCAAAGCGCTTCACAGCATTTTATTGTGAACTGTTGTGACTGTGTGTATTTTGTAGGGGAACGTGACAGCCAAATTGTGCACAGCAATGTCCCACAAACAGCCAAGATGTGAGTGATCCATTTTTTTAAATCTGGGGCGTGTGGGAGGGGAGAGGGGTGACCAAGAGACTGGGAGAAACTCCATTCACTTTCCGAATCGTGGCATGCGATCTTCAACAACAACCACTTGCATTTGTTTAGCGCTCACGCAGGGTAGTGTCCCAGTGCGCTTAACATCTGCCGACCTCGGTTTCACAGGTTATCTGAAGGACAGCACCTCCATCAGTGCAAGTCTGGACTGTCAGCAGAGACTGAGATCAAAGTCCCGACACTGAGTTTGAACAAAGAACCTTCTGCCTCAGAGGCAAGAGTGCTACTAACTGACACACAATGAAGGCTTTGTTGCGAGATTTAACATTTTTTGTTTAGTAATGAGACGTCTAAAAGCGAATATTCTCACAGAATATTTTTGAATCCAAAATAACCACAGAATTTCAGAGCAATTTCTTGTGAAGTACAATTGACCATAAGACCATAAGACTTAGGAGCAGGAGTAGGCTATTCAGCCCCTCAAGCCTACCCCGCCATTTAATAAGATCATGGCTGATCTAACCTAATTCCATTTACTCACCCCATCCCCATATCTCTTAATCCCTCTATCCTTTAGAAACCTATCAACCTCAGTCTTGAATATGTTGAAGGACTGAGCATCCACAGCTCTGGGGTAGATAATTCCACAAATTCACTATCCTCTGAGTGAAAAAATATTTCCTCAACTCAGTTCGAAAAGGCTGACCCTCAATCTTGAGACTCAATCCTAGTTTTAGATTCTCCAACCAGGGGAAACAGTCTCACGGCATCTACCCTGTTAAGATCCTCAAGAATCTTATAGGTTTCCACAAGATCACCTCTAATTCTTCTATATTCTAGAGAATATAGGCCTAGTTTACTCAACATATCCTCATAGGTCAACCCCCTCATCCCAGGAACTAACCTAGTGAATCTATGCTGCACCCCCTCTAAAGCAAGAATATCCTTCGTAAATAAGGAGACCAAAACTGCACACAATAGTATTCTAGGTACGGTCTCAACAAGGCCTTATACAACTGATACAATTGGCATATTTCATATTTATAGACACTAAATCAAATATAAGGGTTATTATTATTATGATCCCAAATCACTCCCAAAAATAGCAATGCGAATTATTCTTATTAATATAAGAATTATTAAGTTTGATTCCCTAATTCCTTATACTCTGTCGGGGGTGAAGAATGTGTCTGTGTTTTACTGACACAGCATCTTTCAGTCTCCGCACCTTCACCATCAACTATGGCTCTTGGAATGTTAGCTCATTAAGGCACCACTGGGGTGAAATTCCACCCACGTCAGGATTTAGTTTCTCTTTAGTGTTTTTCATTTCTCTTAGCACATGGCAACTTGTTGAAATGTGGGAGGTTGTGTGCAAATTGGCCCATTGTGATCACCTACATCATACATAGCCACAACACTTTACAGTGTATGTTTTGGAACTCTCTCCCTCAATCCCTCCGCCTTGGCCCCTCCTTACCCTCTTTTAGATCACGACTAAAGACCTTCCTCTTCAACCGCGCTTCCGTACACCTCCTCTCTCTCCCTGCAGCCCGGCGTCAAGCTCTGCCACTGTTAAGCGCTCCGAGACACTGCCCCGCGTGAAAGGCTCTATGTAAATGCAAGTAGTTGTTGGTGTTTGCATCCTGTGAAGCGCTTTGAGACGTCCTCTCAAGTGCGAGGATTATTATGATTCAATTTGAACTTTGACACCTGTTTCCTGTAGTTCTTTTTTTAAAAAAAAGGGTTACAGAAAACCGGCTTCAAAAATGAGAGGCTGTGTTTAAGAGTTTGACTAATTCTGGTTGCTTTGAGATGTTGCGTTAAGTGAGTTAAATCTATTCCCAGATGGCTATCTACCCACGCACACGCACACACCTCACCTTTCCTTGCCCGTGCGAATTATTAGAGCTCTCCTGATTTAATTTCTGCTTCAAATAAACATATTTAAATGAAAAGTTATTCTGATTTTGAAAAAGTAAACCCAGATCAAGCTGGGGAAGAGGAGGGCAAGGCGGAGGGATTGAGGGAGAGTGTTCCAGAGTTTCAGGGTGTAAATGGCTGAAAGCACGGCCACCGATGGTGGAATGGAGGGCACAAGGGACAAGCAGGAAGCTGGAGCCAGTTGAGGGGAGACAGCGGGTATGGAGTGGGGAGAATATAGATCTCAAGGCACTTCACAGGGGCCAGTGGATCACAAAGCAAGATGCAAAGGGGATTGTGGTAGGAAGGAAAGTGTACGAAAGCACGGTCGAAGGGATGGGCTTTGAGCATGTCTTTTGGAAAGCAGGGAGCGAGGACATTCCTTTTCATGTGACCGCCGGGCTCCGTCAGTGACTGGGCGAATAATCGAGTTAACAAATCCAATCATCTGATTAAGTAAGTTCCCTTTAATCCTCACAGCAGTGGTGCCAGCAGACTGTAAACACGTTTGAGGCTCTCTGCTGGGAGTGCTAGTGCTTTCAGCTCACAGTCGGTCCACCACCTTCGAAAGTGCCCCCACTCACCAGACTCACATCCTTCTCCCTCAAACCCCAAGCCTGGAACTGGTTTACCAGCGCTGCTTCCCCTGGGGCTGTGTGAGTATAGTGAATGCAGTGCAACAATCTCAACTACTTGCATTTATACAGTGCCTTTCTCTCAGGAGAATAATAATAGTAAAGGTCCTTGCATTTAACATATATTGCAAACTTGAACTTGTGTCCTCTTGTTCTACTACGTTGGAGAATGTAAAAATATTCCTCTGAGTTTACTCACTGCTCATTGCTCTACTGCTGGGCATAATCCTCATCACTCTCACTGAACCAGTATTGTAAGCGGTACTCTAGGCGTGGCTTAGTCAGAGAACTTTTCAGCTTGAGCTGTGAAGATTATCGGTGCTATCTCAAATGCAAGCAATTAACACATTTACTCAAACCTAAGGTCGATTTTAGAGGGAAGGCAAGGAAAAAAGAAGCTGAACTGTAATTCCAAGAACTCCCTGATTTTGAAAATACTTTTTCATGCCAAACCAATGCCTTAGATCCAAGTAAATTATTATTAAGGTTATTATAATTAATATTTTGCATTCACCTACAAAGAGTGGTTGAGGCCAGAACGTTCGTCCATCAAAGTTACACAGTCACTTGGCTTTACAGTAAAACCTGCAAACCACTTTGATACTTCCTGGTGTCTTACCTGAAGTTGAACTTTTCAAACCTGAGATACTCCTCTGACGTGAAAGGTGCTATATTAATTATTCCTAGTATTATTATTATAATAATATAATAATAATCCTTGCATTTGATATAGCACCTTATTACGTTGTTGAGACATCTCAAAGCACTATCACGACATACTGTAAAGTGGATTAACTGTGCATTTTGCGGGCGAAACAATTATATTACATGAAATGTGCAGCACAGAAACAGGCCACCCGGCCCTACCAGTATGTGCCAGTATTTATATTCTACGAATCTTCACCCATTCCTTACTTCTTCCAATATCCCTCTATTCCCCTCTCCCTCATGTGAAGGTCTAGCTTCCTCTTGAATGCATCTACACTGTCTGATTCAACCACAGCCAAAGGCAGCGAGTTCCACAATCTCACTACCTTCTGCGTAATGAAAAACCCAGTTCCCACTGAACAAAAATATTCCCGATCCAGGAACGTGCAGTGAGAGTGAGGAGGCGGCAGAGTTTAACTGTTACATAATTAGTTACTTACCAGAGGGCCCACAAGCCCAGGCTCCCCGAGGTCACCAATAGGTCCCTGCTCGCCCTGTTGAGGTCAAAACAAAACCAAAAAGCACCTTAAAGTCACATAGATACAGGGAGTGGAATCACACATAGATTGGAAGGAACAAACAAGGGCCTCATGGAGAGATATGTAGGTGTTTCGACATCCACATACATATCTCTCCTGTGTGCTGCCCGATCATTCCCTTCCTAGGGAAGGAAAAAATATTCAGAATGTTCCGTTTTCCCACACTACCGAAAAACTAGGCCAATGTGAGGAGAAATTTAGCTAGAAAAACTCTTCCGTGATTTCAGGAGTGTCTTTGGCTTGCAGGATTAAGAGGAGCTGAGTGGGAGGAACCGCTGAGCCCAGTCACTAGTCTGTCCTCCCAGGTCCTGCCAATGAGCCAGACTGGGCTGTGCCGTCATCAGCAGCGCCCTGGAATACTGCGGACCCGCCTGGCTCAGGAATGGGATGAATGAGATCGCCAGGGAGGGTGGGCTCAATTCCGACATTCCTTTGCTGAGCACATCACGTATTATTACATCTGGGGAAATGCAGGTGAAGAGATTTGATCCATTCTGTAACCCGCAGTGTAACTCCCTCAAAAAGTCCAATGAGCAAAGCTTTGTGAAGCTGAAGGATGACTCACAGGTTTGCCTGGAGGCCCAGCGAGGCCGATTAGGCCCACAGCGCCCGTATCTCCCTGTCACAGAGGAAACACAAACACAGGGTTAACAACAGTCCAGGAACACAAAACCAAACAGACCATTTCTCCAGAGAACTCCAAGTCTAACACTGCATTCAGTTAACCCACCCTGTACAAACAGCTGTTGTTTAACTTGCTTTTATAACAAAAAGCCCCCTCCCCATTCCCACCAGTTCCTTTTCCACCAACTCCTTCCCCTCCCCCACCCCACGAGCATCTCTCTCCTGTAAACCCCATCACCTCCCCCAATCCACTTGAGGCTAGTGAGACTAGTGAGAGTGGACAAGCAATATTGAAATTAATACTCAATAGATGCGTGGGCAGCGGAGCTATTAAGGAGGCATTGGGACTAAAAGCTCTGCCCAAATCTAGTAAAGTGGTGGAAGAGACAAGATGGGGCTGAATGGCCTCCTTCTTGGCCTGTATTGCTTTAAGTATATCAAGGTCACTCCAAAGCATCCTGGTAAAGACATCAATGTCACATACCTTTGCACCCAAAACACCCTTTAGTCCTGGAGAACCGGGTAAACCCTAGTTTAAGGAGAAAACAAAAGACAATGAATAATAATATTAAAATTTCCAATGAATATAATGTCTCGTCAGGTCAAACGTTTTAAAAGCGCTTAGCGAAAAGAGTCACTTTAAGTTGTAACGAATGTTCTTCTGCAGACAGACTTGGCAACATCTCACAAACAGTATGGAGAGGAGTGTGATATGCAATGGTAATATTAATCTTTGCATTTGATATTTGATTAGGCCTTGGACCTTAGTTAGTCTAACCTGACACTCTATTACAATGCTGAGGATGTGCTACATTGTCAGAAGTGCCGTCCTTCAGATGAGACATTAAGCTGGGGCCCTTTCTGCCTGTCCAGGCGGACCTTAAAGATCCTACAGCATTACTCCATAAGGAAAGGGATTTTCTCTCTCCCAGTGTTCTGGCCAACAATCCCCATGGCTATTTGTGGGATACTGGTTCTGATATATTTTTTTTTACAATAGTTAATGTGTAAATAATAGGTTGTTTATAAGATCAATCAACAATAGAAGCTAACAGGATTATACAGTCGTTCCAAATAGCTAAATCTACAGCATTTAACAACAACTACAACAAATTATATTTACACAGCGACTTTCACGTCAGAAGGACTTCCGAAGGCCCTGGACAGTTAGGGTTTTCTACCTGAGCTGGGAGTTGGAATCAAGAGGGTTGGAGGGTAGTGGGAGTGTGGGTGGGAGATTGCCGAAGACATGGTCAAAGAACACTAAGAACATTGCTTGATAAGCTCCACGTAAAACACGTACATACCGCCAAACCCTGAAGTCCTGTTTCACCTGGGGCACCGGGCTTACCAGACTCGCCCTGTGACAAGAGCAAGTTATTAAATTCACTGCATAAAACAAAGGACAAATAGTTGGCATCCAATTCAGTACAATACAAATGCACATTTATAGATATGCAGAAACCCATCACTACACTACACTCAAGAGAATTATGATCCAGTCTGAGAGTTCCACATACCACTCCACCTGCACATGGAAATTTCGCTGTGTTTGGAATGGAATTCACACTCTCTCCCTGGAGGGACACATCCTGCTTACCTAATTCCAGAGAGTATTAGGCACAGGTTGGCAAGAGCCAAGGCTAGGGACCCCAGAATATTTGGGATAACTGCTGGAGTCTAAGCAGCTAAAACCACATATTTTTCTAAAGAGAGCACTGTCTAGCAAGATTTCCTTCTGCTGCTTGTCAAGCTAGGACCATCCTACCCGCTTGGGCATTGGCTTGCAGCAGGAAGAGTCCCTGCCCTCAGTGAAGAGTTGTGGAGATGAGAGAAGGTGGCCGAAAGCACAGAAAGTAGGAAAGGGGTGGAGGCGGAGGGTTTGAGACAGTTCCAGAGGGTGACAGCAAAATGGCTGAAGCCCACCAATGTGGAGGGTTGGGTGGGGAGGATGAGGTAGGAGTCCTCCAGTCTTCTCTACATTAACGGGCTGATATACAAAAAAACGACATTGAGTTCTTTATGTTTACCTTTGATCCAGGCATCCCAGGGATTCCATCACGTGCATCCAGGCCGGGCAAGCCCTAGAGCAAGAAAGGCAAAGGTCTCAAGCAACGAGACAGCAGAGTTTTACCATCCCACAGAACTATTTTAATAATGATAATAATCCTTGTCTTTGATATCGCGCCTTAACACGTCATTGAGACGTCTCAAAACACTTTACGGATGATACAGTAAAGTGGATTGACTGTATTATGTGGGCAAAACGCGGCAGCCAATTGCACACAAACAGTAGTGAATTGAGTGGCCAATTGTTTTCTCCCAAGAGATTATTACCCCCAGAAAATAATCAGCCAATCGACTAACAACCAGGTTCCTACTTACTGGTAGGTAAACAGAGGCGTGTGGAATAAGAAAACTTGCCTCAGGTTTCACCCCACCCAGGAATCAAACCCGGGTCCTTTCGCTTGTGAGGCGAACCCACTAACCACACTACAGGACTCCTTTCCATTTTCTACCTGGAGTGTTTCTCACCCCTTGCTCTTGAACACTGCGCTCAACAATATGGCTGTCAACACTTACTGCCCTCTGCTTTAGGGCTGTGGTGGTCAATAATGGTGCAGATGGCTACACTGACCAACCTTCTCATCCCCTCTGTTCAGCCTTCACTCCCAAAATACCCAATGAACATGTTCCCACATACACATGCACGCCAAAACATCTCACAATACAATGAGAGGTGCAAACCTAGACACTTGGATAATTTGTTTTGAATTGATTTGGATTTAGCCAGGTTTTTTGACGCATCACAAGATTACAAGATCGGTTTGAATCAAGAAGGCCGCTTAGCCCTCTTGATCTCATCTTTCCAGAATCCCCACCCTATCCACCCTCTTATCACAATATCAAGTTGTTTTCTAGGAGGCACAGGACATATAGTAACTGCAGTTGCTTGGAAGAACTAGGCAACTTGGGATCTAAGGTTCCCAAAGCTTTCCACTCAGTCGTGGACTAATCCATACAGAATTAATTGTTATCAACATCTCGACCATTGTAACATGTGACTATAGGATGGTAGAAGGCCAACTGGATGGACTTTGGTCTTTTTAAGTCTAGCAATTCCTATGTCCCTACGATCTAAATGAGTCCAATGCTCTGACCTCAACCACGCTCTTCCTTGACAACTTTAAACCTGGGTCCTACTGCCTTGGCGTATCTGAAAGTATAGTTTTAGGTTTACTTTCTTAACAATTTAGAGTCTTATACACCTCTATAAGGTCCCCCTCTGATACATTGTTTCTCCAGACTGAAGAGCCCTAGCTTGTCCTTGTCTTATCACTACTCAAAGCTCATTCCTCTTAATACTGGCCATCATCCTCATTCCTCGTGACTCTAAGCACAATAAGAGGTGGCTGACTGGACCACAGCCTGTTTAATGCTACATGTAGATTCATAGACAGTACAGCTCAGAAACAGGCCATTCGGCCCATCCAGTCCGGCTGGTGTTTATATTTCACATAAGTGCCAGCCTGTCCTCGATCCTATTCCTAGTACCACATTCACCCTCCATGCATTCCGTTATGCGTGAGCTCCAAGTCAGACTGTCTGTCGGGTATGCAACGAGCATATCATTTCGGGGCCTGGGGAAGGTAATTTTTATCATCCAAGTGGAGGTGGGGAGGCGGGGGAATTGGGGGAAGAAGGGAAATAATCACCCACCGGTTCTCCTTTGGACCCTGGAGAGCCTGTAATTCCTCTGGGGCCCGGCCGACCCTGGAAAATCAAAGTACACAACAGCTTCAGAACACAAATACCCAGAGGCATAAAGGAGAAAACTGCATTTTGTTTTGTTACTTCGAAAGAGTGTGAGGCTCTCGAGGAAAGAGTACGGGGACTGAGCGCAAATCATCTTCAATACAAATTACAATATGGCGCACACAACACAAATTTACATCTACACAATGCCCTCCACATCAGAGGACATCCCGAGACATGCTTAACGATCCTGGCTGGGCACCAGAGCGGGACACGGGAGCCAAGATGGGATGGCGAGGGGAACGATGACCGAAAGCGCATTGAGAGGAAAGTCTTGAGGCGCGCCTCGAACCATTGGCAGCGGAACCGGGGGAGTTGGGAGGGGGCTGGTGGGCATCAGGAATGAAAACGTCAGCCTGGCTCGGCGCAAGTGTCCCTGTAACTGTTGTTTATTTGGCTTCATTCCACATTAACCAGAGCCGGGCGGGAGTCAGTTTCATCTAGAGGATGCTGTCAGCGATGGTGAGGATGGACGCATCAAAGGAGCTCGGCGATCACTCTGGCATTTTTGGTTATGATTTTGAACCCCCCCCACCCTCCCACCGTAAAAAGCTTTCACTACCAATGGCTTGAACGAGGTGCGGGAGGAAGCTAGTCGAAGGAACTATGGGTTGGAGTTCCAGAGTCATCGCAGATTACCTGAAAGCCCATCCGCCGATTGTGGGGGTGGTGAGTAGGGCAGAGGACATGAAACAGGCCGGTGCCTTCTGAGCGAAGGGAACGGCCTGGTCAGTAGGGTTTAGGTAGGGAATCCATCGAGATGTTTTCCATTGCAAATTGGGTTGTCTTAGTGATGGGTTGGGGAGGTGGTGGTGGGCGGGGGGTTGGTGAGGAGAAGAGATTTCCCCATTGCTACCATTGCCCAGGTTTATATCAGAGAGATGATACACACAGGGATTCATACTACTTACAGAATCGCCTTTAGGGCCGGGTTCACCCAGAGGACCTCGAGGACCAACATCTCCCTGAAAGGAGAGAGAGAGAGAAAGTGTCACACCTCATCTCCAACCCTCGCACCGTCACATAAGGCCACCCAGCAATAATTCTTGTATTTGATACAGCGCCTTTCATGTCATTGACAAGTCTCAAAGCTCTTCACAGAATATATTGTAAAATGGATCGACTGTGCAGCTTGTGGGCGAAACGTGGCAGCCAATTGCGCATTTGCTGTGAAGTATAATGACTGCATTTTCTAGGCGATATACATAGATATAGAGGGAGAGGATCAGAGAGACTCAGAGGGAGAGAGAGTAAGAAAGAGCGAGTCAGAGAGAGAGAGAAAAAGCCACTGCGAAAGAAAGACTGTATGGGGGGCAGAGAGAGAGAGAGAGCGAGAGCGAAAAGGAGAGAAAGAGAGAGGGACAGAGTGAGAAAGATAGACAGAATGAGAAATATATGCAGAGAGAGAGTGAGAAAGAGAAAGTCAGAGTGAGAAAGAGAGAGAAAGAGCGGCAGTTTGTGGTGGGGGAATGGGGCAGAGTGAGAAATAGATATAGAGTGAGAAAGAGAGGCAGTGTGGGGGAGAGAGAGAGGGGGGAACTGAGAGACAAAGTGGGAAAGAGAGAAAGAGAGAGAGTGAACGTCTGGCACAGTGTAGAACTACAGTCAACGAATAACTGCTGATGGAAGAGCGTATAGTTTTAGCAATGTCGTCAATTTGTGTTTTGCGTGATCTCCAATTAACGTTGGATCTCCCATGTGTTTCACACACAAAATATACAATCAATTCAATTTACAGTCTATTCTGTGAAGCTCTTTCAGACGTCTCGAAGAGGTGATAAGGTGCTATATCAAACTCAAGGATTATTATTATTAACCACACTGGGCAATCAGTGAAAACTTGTTCAGAGGTGTGCTTGACAAGCTATTATTATTATGAGCCAGGGGGTGGGGATGCGGCTGCAAATAGCAACCTGAGCTTCTAGTTTCTTGTCACTTCAACTCTCCCTCCCACTCGCACTCTGACCTCTCCATCCATGGTCTCCTACACTGTTCCAATGAGCCACACCGGAAGCTCGAGGAACAGCACCTCATCTATCTGCTGGGGACCTTAAAGCCCTCTGGCCTCAATATTCATTTCAATAATTTCAGCCCGTAACAGCTCACCTTCCCCCTCCCCCTCTTCTGTGAACATTACCACACCATCTGGGTCCCAGACACGCCTTTTCTCTCTCTCTGGTCTGCCTGTTTTGTCGCAATTTCCCCCCTTCCCCACCTTTGTTTTGCATTATTAACACCTCTTTAACCCATCATCCCTTGTCCTCTACCCCATTTTCTCCTTTGTTTTCCTTGTCCTGCCTCCCCCTCTCTGTTAGTCCTTAAAAGCCTCGCCCTCCCAACATGCCCCAGTTCTGACGAAGGGTTGTGGACCTAAACTGTTGACTCGCTTTCCTTTCTCCATAGATGCTCCTGACCTGCTGAGGTCCCAGCGACTTTTTTTTTAATACACCAAGAGACTTTATAGCAAAAGGATTGTTACTTACCAATGGACCAATGGGACCTAAGCCTCCTGGCACCCCATCAAGCCCCCGTATCCCCTGGAAAAAAACAAACCCAGAGAAGATATCAGTAAAGTAAGACCCCAAACAACAACAACAACTTGCATTTATCCAGCACCCCTCTCTCAGGGTAGCATCCCACAGTGTTTGACAGTGGCAGAGCTTGACGCTGAGTTGGGGGAAGAGGGAGGTGACCGGAGGCATGGACAAATAGGAAGGTCTTAAGGCAGGACCTGAAGATGGGGAAGGAAGCGGCAAGGCGGAGATATGGAGGAATAGTGCTCCAAAGTTTCGGGGCATAGTGGCTGAAAGAGCGGCCACCAATTGTGGAACGGAGGGCATGAGGGACATGCAGGAGGCCGGAGCCATCGAGCAGGACAGTGGGTTGTGGGTTGGAGGATAAGCAGGTCGGAGAGGTACGGAGATGCCAGGGCATGAAGGGATTCGAAAACGAGTGTTGGGATCTTGAAATCGATCAATTCAGTGATAGGGAGCCCCTGGAAGAGTGTTTCGGCTGCATCTGGGGTAAGGTACGGTTGGAGGTGGGCAATGTGGCGGAGGTAGAGGAAGGCAGTCCTGGTCAGGGACCGGATGTGGGGAAAGAAAGAAAACTGTGGGTCAAACCTGACACGAAGGTTCAGTAAGTCTGAGGGATAGGCCGGGGAGTTTGAGGAGGTCAGAGCCACAGGATAGGAGATGTTGTTGGGAGCCAATGAATATGACTTCCGTCTTGCCAACACCTAGTTGTAAGAACTTTTCACTCATCCAGGCCCTGATTTCCAAAAGATAAACTGAAAGAACATCGGCGAGCCTGGAGTCGCAGATGAAGGAGGAGAAATAGATTTGTGTGTCATCTGCAAACATGTGGAAGTTTATTCCATGTCTGTGGATGACATCATCAAGAGGGAGCGTATAGACGAGGAAGAGGAGGGGGCCGAGGATGGAGCCCTGGGCACACCACAGGACCAGGTGGGGGCGGGAGGAGAAACCGTTTGAGGAGGTGAAGTGGAGGTGGTTTGTTAGTAGGACTGGAACCAGGCAAGTGCGATCCCACTGAGGTGGATGAGGGAGGAGAGGTGGTGGATGAGGATGTTGTGGATAACTGTGTTGAACGCAGGAGGCAGAGAGTGTCCTGGTCACAGAGAAAGAGGACGTTGTTTGTGACCTTGACAAAACAACAACAACAACAAAATTGCATTTGTATAGTGTCTTTCACATCGGGAGGACTTCCCAAGGTACTGGACAATCAATGTTTCGGATCCGCGCTGGGGGTCGGGATCGGGGAGGCTGGAGGGCAGGGGGGGGAAGGAGGGGAACCAAAGGTATGGTTGCAGAGGAGGGTCTTGAGATATATCTTGAAGGAGGCAAGGGCAGAGGCAGAGGAACTGCGGGGTGGAGTTCCAGAGGGTAGGGGCAGAGTAGCTGAAGTCCCGCCTGCCAATGGTGGGGCAGGAAAGATGGGTGACATGAAGCAGGCTGGAGACCGCTGAGCGGAGGGAGCGGGCAGAATGGTAGGGGTTTAGGAGGTCGCGGAGGTAGGGAGAAGCAAGGCATGGAGGACCAGGAACGTGAACTATATCCTCTGTGTGATGGAGTGGAGTCAGACGAGCGTGGGGGAGATAGGGTCGCGGATCTGGTGCGGGAGAGGAAGCACTATAATCTCTGCTGACAGACAACAACAAAAATTACATTTGTATAGCGCCTTTTACTTTGATTAGCAATGGAGTCTGCTTCCAGCGCCAGATGATGGTCAGTGAATAGCGAATTACTATAACAACCTTTCATTCCATCCATCACTCGCTGGGATGGTGCGGAGTCTATGCTCAGCCCTTTCCCATTGGGCCTGAATGAAATCAGGAGGGCAGCAGGTTAGGAGACCTGAGCTGACACATCTGATCTAACACCTCACCACCTTCAGCCATGTGTAACAGGTAGGCTAGAGCCCACCATCTCAGGTCCGCTGACTTACTCTGTCACCCTTCGGTCCTTCCATTCCAGTGAATCCTCTTGGGCCTTGAGTACCCTAAAGTTGAAAAACCCCAAATACACCTCTGGTTAAATAGGCAGACGATAAAACAGCAGAATAATTCCTATGACCCACAAAATGCCGCCACCCCCCCACAACAACATACACACACAATAGTCTTATATAGCACAACACTCACATGTTACCATCCTCTACATTATCTCCATATGGCAAACTTGCTCCCTCCCTCTCACCTCTTTCAAATACTTTTCTCAAGACCTACGTCCTCGATCGTGGTTTCGGTCATCTTTCCACTCCTCACCGAATACGCACGTAACTTAGAATTCCTAAACTAAAAGCTACAGTTTTCAACCTTACAATGTCTGGACAAAAAGGTTTTCTTCCTGAACTCTCGAACCCCTAAAAGTGACAGAAATGTGTGTGTGTGGGGGGGGTGGGTGGGGGTGGAAAGCTAATAACAATGATCAAGTGCATTTGATGAGAAAAATACTTTACTGGAAGGCCTTGTAAACCTTGCTCTCCAGGAGGTCCCTGTTCACCTTCTTCACCCTAGAAAACAAGAGCAAACAGAATAACATAGATATTACTAAAACACCACCAACAAAAAATTACATTTGTATACCACCTTTTGCATCAGGAGGACATCCCAAAGTGTTGGGATAAGTCAAGGATGTGCACCCGACCTGGGGGTTGGGATCAGGAGGGTAGGAGGGCAGGGAGGGTGAGGGTATGAGGGTGCTCGAAGGCACAGAAAAAAAGGGCGATCTTGAGAATTTGCTCGAGCATTAATTTTATGACATACAGAATTAATATCTCAGCAGCACTTAGACAAGCCAGGGCTCTTCACTCTTCAGAGGAGACAACCCAGAGGAGACCTCATTGAGGCGCACGCAATTTTAAACTGGATTGAGAAAATAAACACACAACAACATTTTCAGACTCACCAAGACAGCAGACAAGAGGACATACAATAACAACAAATTGCAGTTATACAGCTCCTTTTGCGTGGGGTAGTATCCCAGAGCACTTAGGACGTCCCAAGACGCTGGATTGTGAGGGGTTTGTATCCGAGCTACATGTTGGGATTCATATTGGGATTCTCCGCCACCCCCTTGGGTGGAGGGCAAGGGGGTGGCGGAGGAGGGAAGATGACCAAAGGCCAGGTCGAAAAGTAATGTCTTGAGATGGGCCTTGAACGAGGTAAGGGAAGGGACAAGGAGGAATGGCTCCGGAATGGAATTCCAGAGGGTGGTATAGAAAGGCTGAAGACTTGACCAATAGGCAGGGTGGGAGACATGGAACAGGCCTGTGCCTGCAGGTCAGATGAAGTGGACAGGTTGGTGAAGGTTTAATAGGTCACAGAGGTAGGGTGGAGCAAGACCATGGAGGGCCTTAAAGGCGAGGGCAAGGATTTTGAGCCTGATCGTCTGGGGGAATGGGAAGCCAGTGAATCTGGGCAAGGGTGGGGGTGATCAGCAAAGAATTAGAGATGTAATCAGGAAATTTCAGTACAGACACTAGGAAATGTTTCTTTATCCAGAGGGTAATTAATGACTGCAACAGAGTTACCAGGAAGGGATTTGAGACCAGGATACTGGGACTCATTTAAAAAACAGCTTGATGGTGTGTTGGGAGACAGCAGGGTGGGTGTTCTGGAAGGATGAATTTCATCAACAGTACCAATCTTGTGATTTTATGGATAATAATCACCATCCTTTGATATAGCACCTGATTGTGTCTCAAAGCATTTCAAAGGATATATTGTAAAGTGGTGTGACTGTATGTTTGTGGGCAAATACCTCAGCCAAAATTTGACACAGAAACCTCCCACAAACATGGAGTGACTGATCAGTTGTACTTGGGGGATTGTTGGCCATGATACCAGGAGAAACTCCCTTATCTTTTCGAGTAATAGCACACAATCTTTAACGTCCACCTGAACAGGCAGATGGGACCTCGGTTTCAAGTCTCATTTGAGGATTGGCATCTCCAACAACACCCCCAGCACTGCATTGGAGTGTTAGGGTAGACTATATAGGTTCAAATTCCCAATGTAGGACTCAAATCCACAATCTTCTTACTCAGTGACAAGAGTGCTACCAACTGAATCAGGCTGACACTCAAGTCACTGAGTCCCTTGGATATTGGTTTTGAACTACACTGATTATTTGGTCCCAGGAATATAGGACATTTTTTTCAGATAAAAGATGATGTAACTCGATTTAATTTGCCTCCCATGGATTACCAGGGAATTTGGAAAGCTATTTGGGAAGTAAGGGTTGTAAGGAGTGCAGGGAAAATAAAATTAAAAGAGCTCAAGTGATCTAATAAATTGGTGGAACAGACTCAATCCATTGGAAACCTATACGCACTGATTTGGGCAGAGTCCATTGTTGCATACAGCGAACAAATCAGGAACCCCAAATTTCACACATTCTTAGACCATTGTCTTAAACATTTAAAACGAATTTCAGAAAATATTGGCCTTAACCAGGAAACCAATTTTCCACAGTAGTGCTCGGGAAACCAGCTTCCAAATAACAAAGGCTGAATTAAAGGTTGTTTAACAAAACACCACACAATCTTTAACACAATAGTCTTGAGGCTAAGAACATTGAAAATTGGGCCCTCCCTCCCTCACTCTAGTTTGTTCTCATTGAACACGTCTATTATAATTTCTGGGTTCAAGCCCCACATCAGGACTTGGAACTCATATAGTCTAAGATGACAGTCCAATACAGTGCTGGGGGTACATTACATTGTTGGGATTGCTGTTCTTCAGATGAGACGTTAAAGATGGGACGCCCCATCTGCCTGTTCAGGTGGACGATAAACTACTATTCGAAAAGAGAAGGGAGTTTCTCTCTCCCGGTGTCCTGGCCAACAATCCCTCAAATAAAATTGGTCATTCACTTTATGGCTGTTTGTGGGACATTCATCTTATGGCTGTTTGTGGGACATTGCTGTGCACAAATTGGCTGCTCCATTCGCCACTAAACACATAGTTACTGCACTTTACATCCAGTAAGACCCTTTGGGATGGCCTCCCGACATGAAAGGCACTGTACCAAACGTAAGGAATATTATTTGTATTATTATTTGCGTGGTAGGAAATATCCTCTTACCTTATGCCCTTGTTTCCCTGGTTCGCCGGCTTCACCTTTTACACCTTTGTGTCCCTAGTGATCGAAGGAGACGGAAAAAAAAGTTCAAAAGCAAGCTCTCGGTCCAAGCGTCAGGCAACTGCATTTGTTCTTCACGCATTTACAACACAGCTCCATTTGAACGTGCTTCATTAGAGCGCAAATTTCGTCAACGACATCACTACCTGCTTTGCGAGCAGCGACATAGGAAGTGATGTCGTCGGCGACCCAACGGCGTGGAAGTTTGCCCAATTTTTTTTGCTCTTAACACAGGAACCGGCCGACAGACAAGCAAGTCAGTTGGCTGCGCACATGCCTAGTCAAGACGTCTCATTCGAGCAAGAGTTGAGATTTTATGGATCGAAAACACTGCATCACTAAGACTCCACTGCATCTTACGTCTTCAGAAGAAAATACTTACTTTCATCCCAGGGAGACCAGTGTACCCGGGCAGGCTGGGAGGACATGAACTGGAGCACTGAAAGCAAAGAAATACCCTGGTTAATGAGCTCATTGTGGGGCAATACCCAGCTTTGGGCCAAACGCACGAGTATTCCCGAGAGCTCCGAGCTTTTCTCCCCTGGAGTTGAGATAAACTCCCCTGGAGTCCTGTAGCTCAGTGGTTAGAGCACTCGCTTTGCAAGTGAGAGACCTGAGTTCAATTCCAGGCAGGGCGAAACCTTGGGCAAGTTTCCTTACTCCACACGCCTAATAATAATCCCTCCAAAAAACCAAAAACAATAATTAAATTGGTCATTTTCAATCTACGGACTGTTTGTGGGACATTGCTGTGCGCAATTGGCTGCCGCGTTCGCCCACAAATATACAGTCAATTCACTTTACAGTGTGTTCTGTGAAGCGCTTTGGGACGTCCTCCCGACGTGAAAAGCGCTATATCAAATGCAAGGATTATTATTATTATTATTATAAATGAGAGTGGATCTGATGCAGGTGTTTGAGATCGTGAAAGGATTCGATAAGGTGAACGTCGATAGGCTGTGTCAACTTGTTGGTAAGCACTCCAACCAGAGGGAATAAATACGACACTGATAGATTTTTAAAAAATAGAGGGATTAGGGGCTATGGGGATAGAGCAGGTAATTAGAGTTAGGTCAGAAGATCAGCCATGATTCTTATTGAATGGCTGGGCAGGTTCGAGGGGCTGAATGGCCTACTCCTGCTCCTAATTCTTATGTTCTTATATAAGATGACCAATGAAAGACCTAATAAGGAGTTTAGGAGGAACCTCTTCATGCAGAGGGGGAAGAGAATGTGAAACTCGCTGCCGGAAGCTGTGATTGAAGCAAAAAGCATCAGTGTTTTTAAGAGAATACTTGATGCAAACATGAGGAAGAAGGGAACAGCGGGGCGTAGGAAAGGGGAGGAGGAGGGGTGGGGGCTTGTGTGGAGTATAAACACAGGCACGGACTAGTTGGACTGAATAACCAGTTTCCATGCCGTATCACTCTATAACTCTATGTAACTGTGCATTTAAGAGGAAACTTGATATGTGTAGGAGGGAGAAGAGAATAGAGGGACGGAGGCTTGTGTAGAGTATAAACACTGGCACAGACTAGTTGTCCGAATGCCCTATTTTCGTGCTATAAAGTCCAATGTAACTTACCAGGACGTCACCACTGCTGTCACCGTGGAGAAGTCCAGGAAGCCCCTGAAAAGGTTTGCAGATCGAGACAGTGTTAAAGATGACAACAGACAGGAATGAGTTCAAACAACAACAGCAATTTGCATTTACATAGCGTCCTTCACGTAAGGTAGTGTCTTAGAGCGCTTAACATTAGTGGAGCTCAATGCCGAGCCAGGGAGAGTGAGGGGGTGATTCTAGGTACAGTTAAAGAGGAAGCTTCAGGTGTGATCTGAGGATGGGTAAGGAGCTCACAGTCTGGGTTGGCGTTTACTTTTAATCCTTGCATTTCATATAGCACCTTGTCATATCATCAAGACGTCTCAAAGTCCTTCAGAGGCTATACTGCGACAGTGTGTATTTTGTGTCGTCGTTGTTGTTGTGGACAAAGGAGTGGGGGTGTGTGAGCAGCAGACCAGAGAGGAGTTGAGGGAGTTTTTGATTTTTAGAGAAGATTGCAAGATTGATAGGGTTGGAGATTATTGAACAGGGCTGTTGGGTGCACAGGAGTTGAAGAGCAAAGCAAGACTAGTCTATATCTTATAATCCAGTAAAACTCACATAGGTTTGAGTAATCTTTATAAATCGTATAAACGCCTAAGTTGTACATTCACCCGAGTCCCATTCAGTTTCCTATCAAAACCGCTTAGATTTCTTTACACTGCTCATATTTCTCACCTCCTAATTTGTAACACCGCTCCCGCTCACGTTATTCAAGTGATTCCATGCTTGCCGTTAAGTGTACAAGCAGTGATGGGTCAAGATCCACTGAATCAAGGGAAATGTAGTCTTAACCCGTCACCGTGTGCGCACATACTGGCTGCATTGAATTACACATGTAGATTATTAATTAAATCGGATTATATATGACTTCTACAGTTTGCCTGCAACTCGGACATCACCTAAGTCATAGTAAACGTTATGGCCCAGACTGATATGACTTATGTAAGTTTTACTGTAGTCAGATCAAGTGAAAATATTGAAATAATAATCAAATAGTGAATGTCACGTACCCTGGGTCCAGGTGGGCCTGGTGGTCCCGGTAGTCCTGGCAGCCCTTGATCGCCCTGGACATATAAACAAGCAGAGAGGTCAACACCAATACACATAGTAGACAGTACAGCTCAGGAGGTCAACACTCAGCTCATCAGCCTATTGTGGTGCTTGCTCCTCCCTGCCCTCACACATCCTTTCTTGGTGCCTATCCTTTACTTGTTCATAATTTCTCACCAGTAATGACACTGCACATGATACTTCGGTGGAGAGAGAACAATAATAACATAATAATAATAATCCTTGCTTTTGGTGTAGAGCTTTTCACATCTTCTAGACGTCTCAAAGCGCTTCACAGAATATACTGTAAAGTGAATTGACTGTATATTTTGTGGGCGAAACACGGCAGCCAATTGCGCACAGCAGTGTCCCACAAACAGTCGTGGATTGAAGTGACCAATTTTATTATCGCTTTTTTTCTTGAGGGATTATCATCAGGCGCGTGGAGTAAGGAAACTTTCCCAAGGTTTCGCCCTGCCGTGAATCAAACCCAGGTCAATTGCTTGCAAGGTGAGTGCTCTCACCACTGAGCTACAGGACTCCAACAAGCAAGGAGAATATCCTCCCAATAAACATGCATTGGAGGTCCTTCGCCATCCCCGTCAGCTCCCATCCCCCAGCTCGGCGAGCATTTGACTGCCTTGTATTCAGACTTTGACGGCTTGAGATTCTCACACTGGCATTCGCAAACCTCATCACAAGCTTGGCAAAACCGTGAGCCATAAACCTGGTGGCTGAAATTAACACAAGGCCTCCGGACTGAAAGACCCCAGATTAGGTCCCAATGTGAAAGTGATTACATGGGACGCTTGAAATTTCTCATGGTCTTGGGCTCATGATTTAAATAACTGCCTTGTGATAACACAGTGTTTGGGATCCATAAAATCCCAACCAACTCTAAAGCTAAAATCCCAACTACTGCTTATGGAAGAAAAAAAAAAGGCTCACTTCCGAGTCATCGAGTCTCATCACCAACATCACTTCCTGTTTGTGATGTGACCTGATGACCCAGAAATTGGTCATTTTAGCGCAATAGCCGACTGGTGCACAAAGCGTGATCAGGCTGGTCACCCGCCTGTGCAGTCAATGGGGCTTGCACAGCACAATCGTGTTATAATGCAACTCACACTGTAAAGATTACAAAGCTTTACAAAGAACATACAGCATCAAAACAGGCCATTCACCCCCAACCAATCCGTGTGGGTATTTATACTGCCCCTGCTCCTTACTCCCTCCCTTACCCTCTGTACCCCTCTTCCTCGTATGAAGGTCTAGTTTCTTCTTGAATGCATCTATACTGTCTGATTCAACCACCGCTTCAGACAGCGAGTTTCACAATCTCACTATCCTCTGTGCGAAGTAGTTCCTCCTAAATTCTCTTTTAGATTCCCCCCTAGTTGCTAGCTGATGTATGTGTCCCCTGGTTACAGACTCCTCAACCAGTTGAAACAACCTACTTATGTTAACCTAATCGAACCCATTTTTTAATTTTAAACACCTCGATTAGGTCCCCTCTTAAACATCTCTTCTCTAGCGAAAAAATCCTAACCTCTCCAGTCTATCCTGATAGGAGTAACCTGCCAGCCCTGGCATTATCCTTGTAAACTGACGCAGTACTCTTTCCATCGCTGCTAAGTCCTTCTTATATTGTGGAGACTTAGAAATGGACACAAATGTTGTCTAAACGAGGGTTAGTATAAATGCAACATCATCTCTTTGTTTTTATATTCAGTGCCTCGATATAAAGCTAAGACCCCATTGGCCTTTACAAGATGTGTGTTATATATAATGGGGCTGTACAATGTGAGGTGGTGCAAAACTGGAAGATTCTAGAATTTGGTCTTAATTTGGGAGCCAGTTTCCACATATAATAACAACATAGCATACGTGATATAGCACCTTATCACTTTGTTGACACGTCTCAAAGCGCTTCAGAATATACTGTATATACTGTAGATTTTGTTATTATTTTGGAGGGATTATTACCCCCAGAAAGTAGTAGTAGTATAAGTACTTCGCCAATTGACTAAAAATCGGGTTCCTACTTACTGCTAGGTAAACAGAGGCGAAAGGAATCTTGCCTAAGGTTTAGTCCAGTCCAGGAAATGAACCCGGGTCCTCTTGCTTGCAAGGTGAGTATTAAAACCAATACACTACCGGACTCCATCAGAGAACTTTAGGTCAGAAGTATCGAGAAGAGTTTTTTTTTAAAATCACTGAAACGAGATGAAGAGTGAGAAGTACTTACAAGAGATCCAACTCGACCAATTTCACCAGGAAGACCGGCTGCACCAGCAAGGCCCTAAAGAGAAGTGATATGTTAACAACAACAACAAATTGCATTTATATAACGCACTTCACGTGGGGCAGTGTCTCGGAGCGCTTAAGGGTCGATCTACTTACAGGTGATCCAGGGGTTCCCTCACCCTGCGAAGCAAACCCAGACAGCAACAATCAGAATAAAACCAGAGACTCTCAGACACTGAACACATAATGAAGAGCTCAAGAAGCCTCTTGCTTATACACAATACTATTTATACTTATTCTACTACTAAAAATAATATTTCTTGCATTTGGTGTAGCGTCTTATCATGCCGTTAAGTGAATTGACTGTGTATTTTGTAGGTGAAATGTAGCAGCCGTTTTCGCATAGCAGTGTCCCATAAACAAGTCGTGGATTGAGTGACCAAATTGTTGTTGTTATGTTTTTTCAGAAGGAATTTTTTCCCCTGGACACAACAACAACAAAATTATATTTGTAAAGCGCCTTTCACATCTGGAGGACATCGCAAGGCGCTGGACAGTCAGAGTTTCAGACCCGAGCTGGGGGTCGGGATTTGGGATGGTGGAGGGCAGGGGGGGGAAGGAGAGTGTTCGAAAGCACAGTTGAAAAGGAAGATCTTGAGATGGGTCTTGAAGGAAGCAACGGAGGGGTCGAGGTGAAGGGACTGAGGGATGGAGTTCCAGAGGGTGGCAGAAGACCCGACCGCCAATGGTGGGTAGGCGAGGTGGAACGTGAAGCAGGCCGGAGCTCACTGAGCAGAGGGAGCGGATAGGATGGTAAGGGTTAGGAGGTCGCAGATGCAGGGGGGAGCAAGACCATGAAGGGCTTTGAACGTGAGGGCCAGGATCTTGAACTATATCCTCTGTATGATGGGAAGCCAATGGAGTCGGCCGAGGATGGGGGTGATAGGGTCGTGGAGCCTGGTGCAGGAGAGGACACAGACTGCAGAGTTCTGGATGATCTGCAGCCTATGGAGGGAGGAGTTGGGGAAAGTGATCCAAGTAAGAAAATTTATCTAAACTTTCAACCTGCTGGGAATTGAACCCGGGTCCTTTCGCTTGCAAGGTGAGTGCTCTAATAAATACGCTACAGGACTCCATTTTACAGTGCCTTTCACATGGGGAGGACATCTCACACTGTGTGACACTGGGCTGTGCTTGGCTGGGCATCCAAGCTATGGGATGGGAGTCAAAGGGGGCAATGAGGAGAAAGATAACCTTCTAAATTAAATTAAGATAGATATCTTTTCGAAAATAACATTTTGAAATACAATCCATGGGTAATTTGAGACACAACATATATAAGTGTAGAATCGCTTAGAAGAACCAGGCAAATGTGGATCTATGGTTCCCAAAGCTTCCCACTCTGTTGAAGACTAATCCATGTTAGATCTTCACTATCGTAGCATGCGACGACCCAGTATGGTAGAAGTTGAACTAGATGAACCTTGGTATTTTGACGTCTACAATTCCTATGTTCCTATGCCTAGGTTTATTTTATTTTCTTGGCATTTGAAGCATCCAGAATACGTCAATTTCTCATCAGCAGCCGGTTTGAAACCGGTTTAAGTTGAAGTTCTTTTTTACGAAACTACAGTGAATCGGCTTCAAAAATACAATCAAATTAGCCACATTCTGGAAGCTCTGAAATGCTCAGAAAATACAGGGCATCCACAAAGTCCTGTTACTCCCATCTCTTTTTTCTACAGTGCACTGACCATCAAGTGAACCATGTGGAGGAATGATGATAATTGTGTTTAGAAGTACTTAATTGTATTCAGTACAAGTGTTTAACTGTATTTAGACATCCAGAGGATGGGTGTGAATGAATGCCATCATTTTCATAATAATCCGTCACCATGTTCGGTGCAATATGTTCCATAACATGGTTGAAGTGAGGAAGAGAAATATATTTCTGACAGCGTGTTTCAGCTCCTCCATAGTCTCATATCACTGTTTTGTAGCAGGAGGTAACAGAGGGTAACAGGACTTTGTGGAAACCCTGTAGAGTAAACCTAACCACAGGTGGATTTTGTTTTTTTCCCACCACCCCACCTCCAAATATGTTAAGAAATCTCACAATTTGCAAATTAACATTTTACGTGCAGTTCACATGTTTTGTGCACAATTTTACATGTGGTCTACACGTGGTTTGTGGACAGTTTGCACATGGTTTGCACATGGTTTACACACACATGGTTTGCATATGATCCAAATGCCATTTACCGTACAGTTTACACATGCCAACATAACACACACCAATGGATTGCACAAGCCCACAATGATTGTGCCCGAGTCCATCGTGGATTAGCACTGTATGCCCCTGCAATGAATGGAAGAACAAAACTTCATATTTCTCTTATTTCATATTGAAAACTGATTTGGACTCACCGCAGGTCCTGGGCTTCCAGGCAGCCCTGGCTCCCCCTGAAAATAACACACTGAATGAGTGATTCCTGCTCACACAGCATCACAGAGTCATAGAATCTTACAACATAGAAGGAGGCCATTCAGCCCATCATGACTTTGCCGGCTCTTTGATGAAAGGACTATCCAACTAGTCTCACTCCCCCGCTCTTGCCCCATAGCCCTGCAGATTTTTTCCTTTTTAGGTATCTATCCAATTCGCTTCAGAAAGCGACTATCGAATCTGCTTCGATCACCCTTGTCAGGCAGAGCATTCCAGACATCTCACTCCTCTACCCACCCACCTCACCCACTGGCTCTGGCCTTCTGTACGTCCCTCGTCCCCTCCACTGTTTGCCATGTCATGAAAGCTTCATAACATCAACCTGAGCCGGCAAAGACAAGACCTTCCGCCCAATTACTCTGAAACTCTCTGGGTCAATCCTTCCACCTTGCCCCATCATTGGGTCTTCTGATTGCACCTGAAGACCTTCCTCTTTGATCGAGCTTATAGTCTTTACCCAACATGAAGAGCTTTGATATGGGGCAACAGGATTGTTGGAATGGAATGCGTACTCTCTCCCTGGAGGGACACATCCTGCTAACCTGATTCCAAAAAGTTTTAATTGCAGATTGGCAAGAATCAAGGCTTGGGCACCCCAGACTGTGGGTTGCTGGAGTCTAACCAGGTATAACTGATAGATTACCATTGATATTGCTGTCCGGCTGTTTTCCAGCTAGGATCATCCTACCCATTAGTTCTTTGGCTTGTAGGGTTACCAGGAGCTGAGTGGGAGGATTGCCTGGCCCCAGTGACTGGTCTGCCCTTCCAGGTCCTGCCAATGAGCCAGTTTGACTGTGCTGGTCATCAGCAGTGCCCTGGAATAATGCGGACCCATCTGGCTCAGGAATCGGACTAGAGACCACCACATTCCGACTTCCATGGCCAGACAGATCGACATTCCCCGCTCATTAATTACCTTTGATCCCGAAGGCCCAGTGGATCCCTGTGATCCAATCTCTCCAATTGCTCCCTATGAATATAAAATGAAAAGAAGACATGGTAACAAGTCCCACTGGTTATTGTCCGTCCGCAAAAAGAGTTGGGAAAGAAAATTTAAAATACAGGGAATGTGGGGAAAAGGCAGTTAATGGGATGAAAGGAAACATTGCTCTCAAAAGCAAGAGGACCTGGGTTTGACTCCCAGGAGGGGTGAAACGTTAGGCAAGTTTCCTTACTCCACACTCCGCTGTTTACTTAGCAGCAAGTAGAAACTCAGTTGTGAATCGATTGGCGGATCGCTTTCCAGGGGTAATAATCCCTGCCCCAATTTTTTAAAAAGAAATCCTGCTGGCAGGTTCCTCTGTATGTGTATCTGTGTGCGCGTATCTATGTGTGTGTGTGTCTTTGTGTGTGTTTGTCTGTGTGTGTGTTTGTCTGTGTGTGTTTGTCTGTGTGTGTGTGTCTGTGTGTGTGTGTGTCTGTGTGTGTGTGTGGCTATCTGTGTGTGCGCGCTTCAGGTGAGTACAGGATCAGACACCACTGTCATGAATTAACGATAATCATCCTTACATTTGATATATTGCTTTTTCAGGAGTAATAATTCCTTTGAAAAAAAATTGGTCACTCAATCCACGACTGTTTGTGGGACACTGCTGTGACTGTCAGGTTAAGCCCACAAAATACACAATCAATTCACTTTACAGTATATTCTGTGAAAAGTTTTGAGACGTCTCGAAGACGTGATAATGCACTATATGAAATAGAAGGATTATTATTATTATGTGAAGCACCTTGAGACATCGCCATGACATGATAAAACATTATATCAAATGCAAAGATTATTATTATGATTATTATTATTATTACCCCATCTCAGCCCGGGCAGCAGATTACGGACCATAATTGATCTACAATGCCCAAAGGTTAAGAAAGGAAAAAAAATCAACCAAGCTATCTGTCCTAATAGCTCTGCAAAGAAGCCTTTTACCCTGTTGGAAAATGCCTCTACATGTGTCTATGTATGTGTGTGTGTGTGTGTGTATGTGCACTTTGGGTGAGTACAGGATCAGACTCCATTGTTATGAATTAACAGTAATCATCCTTACATTTGATATATTGCTTTTCCAGGGGTAATAATTCCTTAAAAAAATAATAAATTGGTCAATCAACCTACGACTGTTTGTGGGACGCTGCTGTGCACAATTGGCTGCCGCGTTTCGCCCGCAAAACATGCAGTCAATTCACTTTACAGTATATCCTGTGAAGCTCTTTGAGACGTCCTCCTGACGTGAAGGGCACAATATCAAATGTAAGGGCTGTCTTATCCATCCGTCCATCTATTCCTCCCTCCTCCTACATCTCCTTCCTCTCCCTCCGCCCACCCATCCCTCCACCCAATTCCACTGTAATATTCCACTCGATGTATCGAATAGGCTGCAAGCAGGGGGAGCAATGTGCAGTGATTTGCAATGAGAATCCCAAATATTATTAATAATAATACTCCTTACATTTGGTATCGCGCCTTTCACATCAGGAGGATGTCCCAAAGTGCTGCACAGGATATACCGTAAAGTGCAGTGACTGTATTTTGGGAGCAAACACAGCAGTCAATTTGCACGCAGCAATGTTCCACAAACAGCCAATGAAGTGAATCAACCCTCCAGGTACCACTTAAATAATAAAATACAGGGGTCCCAGATAGCTCCAGGCTTCCATGAAACTGTGATACCCTTCCCCACCCACCCCCCATCTTTCTAGACAACAGTTGAGATGGACCAAATGACCTGTTTTAGTGCTGTAACAATCTATGTAATAATAATAATAATAATCCTTGCATTTGATGTAGTGCTTTTCACGTCGGGAGGACGTCCCAAAGCGCTTCACAGAACACACTGTAAAGTGAATTGACTGTATATTTGTGGGCGAACGCGGCAGCCAATTGCGCACAGCAATGTCCCACAAACAGTCGTAGATTGAAAATGACCAATTTATTATTGTTTTTGGTTTTGGAGGGATTATTATTAGGCTCTGTGTGGAGTAAGGAAACTTGCCCAAGGTTTCGCCCTCTGCCTGGAATTGAACTCAGGTCTCTCGCTTGCAAAGCGAGTGCACTAACCACTGAGCTACAGGACTCCGCAATTCTAAGCAATTCTAAGCTAAAAAAAAACTTGCTGTGCCAGTACGAATTATTGTCATTCAAGCTACTTCTTTTGGAAAGCCCAGTATTTTTCATTCACATTCACTCACTACATCTATTTAATAATAATCCTTACGTTTGGTACAGCGAATCCCAAAGTGCTTCACACAAAAGCGCTGTAAAGTGATGTGATTGTGTATTTTGTGCGCAAACACCGCAGCCAATTTGCAGACAGCAAAGTCCCACAAACAGCCATGAAGCGAACGCTCAATTTTATTTGGAGGATTGTTGGTGTTTTGTGTGTAGAGGGCATAGTTCACATTCTGAGTGTACAGGGTTGATGGGATAATAATAATAATAATAATAATAATCAGTGTATTTGGTAAAGCGCCTTTCATGTCGGGAGGATGTCCTAAAGTGCTTCACAGGATTTACTGTGAAGTGACTGTGTGTTTGTGGGCGAATTTGTCAGTAATATCCCACATACAGCCATGGAGTGAATGACCAACCTTTATTGGGGGTTTGATGGCCAGGACACCGGGAGAAACCAACAGAGTGTCAGCCCTTGGTAGCACTCTGGTCTCCAACTCCGGTTCAAGCCCCACATTGGATTCTGAGCTCATAGTCTATGCAGATACTCCCAATACAGTCCTCAGAGTGGGCTGTCAGAGGTGCCATCCTTCAGATGAGACATTAAATCAAATGGCATCTATCTGCCTTTTAGGTGGGCGTTAAAGATCTCATGGCAATATTCGAAAAAAGAGAAAGGAATTTCTCCTGGTGTCCAGGCCAACAATTCCCAAATAAAATTGGTCACTCACTCCACAGCCAGATCATTCCTCCAGATCAAATTAATTGTTCAAGGCTGTTTGCAGGACACTGCCACCCACAGTCTGGAAGCTGTGTTGGTCTACAAACACACAGTCACTTTGCTTCGCAGTAAAATCCTATGAAGCACTTTGAGATGTTTCAATGATGTGATAAGGCGCTATACCAAATACAAAGATTAGCATCATCTTAAGGATACCAAAAGCTCGAAATTTCTTATGGTCTTAGTCTCCAGAACTTGGAAATCTGGATTATAAATTGAAGAAATTTCCAAAATCTTAAATTTTAAGACAATGGTTATGACCACGAGAAATGTGGGGCCCAAATTGACTGTAGCACTTATTTTGGTCTGACTTATTTTGATAAAAAACACAGACTGAGAGCCATATTATTAATAATAATAATAATAATTATCCTTACATTTGATGTAGTGACTTTCATGTCGAGAGGAAATCTCAAAGTAATCCACAGGGTTTTTACTGTTAAATGTAGTGACTGTGTGTCTGCAGGTGAATGCGGCAGCTGAGTTGCATGCAACAATGTCCCAAAAACAGCTCTAAGGTGAATGACGAGTCATTCGATTGCTTGTTCCTTGCTTTTTGAGCCGAACCCGGTTTCCAAATAAAAGGGGTTTAACAAGTTGCCTTGGATGTGTCTGGGAGAGAATTGGAGAGACGGGGGTGATAGGCTAAGTGGGGTTTGCCCCGTTTTTGTCAGTCTCTCTTTGCTCCTGCCTTTTCTGGGTGTAGTGCTTTGAGACGTCCTCCCGATGTTGTTGTTGTTGTTGTAAAAGGCTCAATGCAAATGTAATTTGTTGTTGTGGTTGTTGTAACGTGGACGCAATCCAATGGCTACAGAGATGCACATTTCAAGAGCCGTCCATGTGTCTGGACAGCACAATCTCAGGCTCACGTCAAAAATCACTGGAAAAAGCAAAACATTTGCCTGCAAAAGACCGCAGTCACTGCGCTTTACTCTAAATCCTCCGCAGTCTTCTGAAGTGAAAGGCGCTATATCCAATTCAAGGATTACTATTATATTCAGATTTTATATATATATTGTACACAATAATATACATTATATAATATATCCATGTAATATAATAGATTATTATATAACATGATAGTACATGTATAATAACATTATATATTATATCTCAAGACCTTCCTCTTTGACCGTTGCCTTTGGTCACCCTCCCACCCCTCTTGCCCTCCATCCCTCTTGACTCTAGCCCATAGCTCGGGTGCAAACCCTCCACTGTCCAGCTGCAGCTCATCGGGATGTCCTCCCGACGTGAAAGGCGCTGCATAAATGCCATTCGTTGTTGGGTAAATTCCTGATAATTCGTCACTCGGGGGTGAGGGAAAGAGCTGAGTGACGAGTTATCAGGAGTGGGGAGTTAGGCACCATGGGTAGACACGTAAATAACTGTGGCTGGGATATTGGCAGCAAGATGACCTGAGAGGTAATGACGACTTAAGTCAGGGTCGAGCTATCAGGGGTTTACCGCTCCTCTGCTCACCCCATTTGCTCAGCTAATACAGACCCGCTGCGTCTTCCTCGACCCCCTCTGTGCCATCGTCAGTGGCCGTGCCTTCAGCCACTATGTCTCCTGACCTCTGGCCCTCCAGAGCTGCCCCTCCCCACCTCCCCCACTTCCCCAACCCCGCTTTATCCATCTTTAAATCACACCCGAAAATAATAACCCTTGCATTTACGATAGCGCCTTATCGCATCGTTGAGACGTCTGAAAGAGCTTCACAAAATATACTGTAAAGTGTAGTGACTGTGCATTTTATGGCCAAATGCGGCTGCCAATTGCACACAGCAGTTTCCCCACAAACAGTCGTAAATTGAATGACCAAATTATTCGTTTATTTTTGGAGGGAAAAACACCCCCAGAAACTGATCCACCAGTCGACTAACAGCTGAGTTCCTATTTACTGCCGGGTAAACAGAGGCGTGTGGAATGCTAACCACTACACCACAGGGCTCCACAACCTCTAAGCTATGGGACCTCTCCTCCCATCGTCTCTGCGCTGGTGAGAAGCAGCGCAGAGAGTAGAAAGACAGAAAGATGGCACCACTGATGACCCATGTTGCAAAATCTGCGTCCACCACTGGTTATAGGCTCTTGCTGTATAAAATTGCTGGCCTGAGTTCCAATGCTTCCAAAGCTACTCTTTCCCTCACCCTCCCCTCCGTTCCTCCCTCCCTCCCTCCCTCCCCAACCCCCACTGAACTCCACACAGTAAAGGCGCTGTTTAAGGATGAAGTCCTGGAATTCACCGCTTTTCTCCCAGAAGAAATCTAGTGCAGGAAAGGTTTTTTTCCTAGGAAATTTTCCAGTGGTGGCGGGCGGGAGGGGCGGTGGTCTATCTTTCTCTCTCCCCGCTCCCCACTTCACTCCTCCACCTTTCCACTCCCCTCTTCTCTCCCCCTTTGTAAACTTGCCAGAGAAAGAAAGACAGATAAGCTTTCTCTCGCTCTCTCTCTCCCCCTCTCTTCCCCTCTCCCCCACTCTCGCTCTCGCTCTCCCTCTCTGTTGGGTCACCACCTACTCCTGTGGTGATCAACCTGGGAGTTAAGAGAAGAGTTTGCAGTGGGAAAGGGAAGCTGATTGAAGCGGGTGAAAGGCTTCAGGACAAAGAGAGTCGCTGTTCAGTGAATTATGCTCTTATGGAGGCAGATACCTATTTTCCTTGGAATCATTCTGTGCTGGCGGGGTGTGTGTGTGTGTGAGAGAGAAAGAGAGAATAAAGAAAAGCTTGTGAGCTCTCACTTACATCAGCTCCAGGTATTCCTACTAACCCGTCCGATCCAAGTGGACCCGGCTCACCTTTAGGACCCTAGAGTTTACAAGAGAGAAGATCTGTCAACTCGTTGTGATGTGCTGGGCGTTGTGCTGTGCTGTGCTGGGGGCTGTGCTGGGCTGGGGCCGTGCTGGGCTGGGGGCCGTGCTGGGCTGGGGGCCGTGCTGGGCTGGTGACTGGGCTGGGCACTGGGCTGGGCACTGTGCTGTACTGGGGGCTGTGCTGTGGAATATGCTCGGGGCTGGGGGCTGTGCTGTGCTGGGGGCTGTGCTGGACTGGGGGCTGTGCTGGGGGCTGGACATTGTACTGGGGGCTGGACACTGTGCTGGGGGCTGGGAACTGTGCTGGGGGCTGGGCACTGTGCTGGGGGCTGGGCGCTGGGCTGGGCTGATAGCTGGGCTGGGGGCTATGCTGTGCTGTGCTGGGGGCTGTGCTGGGCTGGGGGCTGTGGGCTGTGGGCTGTGCTGGAGGCTGGGTGCTGGGCTGGGGGGTGGGAGCTGTGCTGGGCTGTGTGTGCTGGGCTGGGGGCTGTGCTGGGCTGGGGGCTGTGCTGGAGGCTGGGTGCTGAGCGGGAGCTGTGCTGGGGGCTGGGGGCTGTGCTGGAGGCTGGGTGCTGGACTGGGGGTTGGGAGCTGTGCTGGGCTGGGGGGTGGGAGCTGTGCTGGGCTGTGTGTGCTGTGCTGGGGGCTGTGCTGGGGGGTGGGTGCTGGGCTGGGGGGTGGGAGCTGTGCTGTGCTGGGGGGTGGGAGCTGTGCTGGGCTGTGTGTGCTGTGCTGGGGGCTGTGCTGGGCTGGGGGTTGTGCTGGAGGCTGGGTGCTGGGCTGGGGGGTGGGAGCTGTGCTGGGCTGTGTGTGCTGGGCTGGGGGCTGTGCTGGGGAGTGGGGCTGGGCTGTGTGTGCTGGGGGCTGGGCTGTGTGTGGGTGGTTGCGGAGGATATTAGCTTTAAGGATGAATATTAGGGATCGAAGAGGGGGAAGAATTAACACCTACCGGTGGGCCGGGGTTGCCGTCCTCGCCTCGCTCTCCCTTAAAGACAGCGAAAGAAAATTCAGATCACGTCTTACTGAAGACCTTCCACTTCGACCAACCGTACTTACAGTCACCTCCCCTCTCTCCCCCCTCTCCACCCCGACTCGGAGTCAGACTCCGCCACCGTTAAGTGCACCGAGATGCTACTCCGCGTGAAGGACGCTGTGTAAACGCAAATGGTTGTCGATGAAAGAAACCTTCGATTTTTTTTCCCCATTCCGAAAAACACCTAAATAAATCCGGGTTAATGCAGGGTTTAACGGGGAAAAAAATATTCCCTCCTTCTCTTCTCCCCTTCCCCCCCCCCCCCCCCTCTCGTTAGATTGTGGAAAAAAGTTCCTCATCACTTAAAGCGATGCTCTCCGTGGGTCTCGTGAGCAAAGGTCTTGTTAGCAATCAATGGCAGCAAAGTTGCTCAATGATAATAGTAATCCTCACATTTGATGTAGCGCCTTATCACGTCGTTGAGAACTCTCAGTGCGCTTTTGTGGGCGAAATGCAGCAGTCAGTTGCGCACAGCAGCATCCTACAAGCCGTCATGGATTGAGTAACCAATTTTTAAAATGTATATTTAATATATATATCTATACATACCAAATATACGGTCAATTTACTTTACAGTATATTCTGTGAAGCGCTTTGAGACATTTACAAGACGTGATAAGGCGCTACATCGAATGCAAGGTTCATCACCATCATATATATATATATGTGCATATTATAATATATGTTTTGTCAACTTGCAATCGCTTCTTATAAAATAATAAATGGAAGTGTGCTTCTTCTCTTTACTTCTTGCACTTTGTTGGGTTGTTGTGGTTTTTTGGGGGGGAAAGGAGGGGGGAATTAGAGAGAGAGAACTAGATTCTCAACAGAGTCTCTACCCTCCCCTCCCCCTCGCCCCCACCCTCGCCACCCCCACAACTTTCAAGCTGATCCTTCTCCCCGCCCTCGTTGTCCCAAGTGAAACTTAAGAAACCACTTACACCGATTCCGTCCACTCCCGGAACTCCTGCCACTCCAGGGGAACCCACTGGCCCCGGGTCTCCAGGAGGACCCTATCATTTCATAAAATAAAACCCACAAAACAGACGGCGTGTCAATTCCCAGGGAGACGCAAAAGTGAACACAGCTCCTCGTCCATATGGCGCAGTATTTTTATTTTAAAATCCCAGGTAAATGCCAAAGGAACTTTAGCAAACTGGACTCATACCTATTGGCCGGTACCGAGCAGACTTACTTTTTTTTATTAAATTAAATCAAAATTTAAATACGCTTAAGTCCTGGGATTATTCGGTGCTCTCCCCCACCTCCCCTCACCCTACCACCTCCCCAACAACACACACACACTCATTCCCTTCCCTCTTCATTCCACTTACACTCTCTCTTGCTCTCTCCCTCACACACACATACACACCTCAAGCCCATTAAGCAAGGGTTTAACCCAGTCAGTCAAGCTTGACTCCACTTCTCAGACAAAACCCCTTTATATTATTTTTATTGCCCAGCGACCGAAAATAACACGAGACACTGCAATTAATTACGGGATTAATTAAAAAATGTAGTGCAATAACAGGTTTCAATTCCCCCTCATTAAAAAAAAAGTAAAATTACTGAATGATTCGGTGTGGGGTAATTTTTTGTTGGCAACATTAATTCATTAGAAGTTGTAAAATCTTTTCCGACAATCCATCCAGTGAGTCTAAAATGCAACTAACTAAAGTTCTCCAACATTAGGAACTAACTTGCCAAATTACTGCCCTGAATTGTAAGAGGTACTGTAAGAGGTTGTAATTGTAAGAGGTACTGAGACTGAGAAAGCTAAGGGGAATTCTTTTTTTGGTATGTTAAAAAAAAGTATGTTAAATGTCCAATTTGTTGNTTTTTCCTAAAATGTGAGGCGTTAAAGAGGTAGGAGTTTACAGTGAAAGTGCTGCATTCAGGGCAGCTTTGTGCTATAATATTCACAGTGCAGAGAGAGAGTAAAAGAGCGACTTGTTCAGATTTCAGGTACGTCCACAAGCTACAGAAATAACAGGAATTAAAATATAAATCTGCAGTGGCTGTCGTGTGCCATATTTAAAAAAATATAGAAAAAAAATAACACTTGGAATGCCTGCATTGGCTGGAGTTGCGATAAAGTTGATCTGTTTACGTGACGAGACAAAACTAGGTACGGTATTGAGAAAAAAGCACCTTTACCTGCAATAGAGACACACTTGTCTGAAATGGAATAAACAGCGTTAGCCACAGCAATAAGAAAGGTCTACTTACTTGACCTAAACCGAGGCGCAATATCTGCAGAAAAAACACCAAATACAAGAATCCTGATCGCCTTAGGAGAGGAGAAGGGCTCGCCATGATTTCCCTATGGCTGAGATGGACTTGCTTGCCTCTGCTCTATGGGCTGAATAGCAGGGACCCCCCTCCAAGCCCAGATCCCCTGACACTGAATGAAGACAAGCCCTTGTGTCTATTAACACGCCGGTGGCAGAGAGAGCAGACGATTGGAGAGCCTTGCAGTGAGTGAGGGAGGGACAAGCAGACAGAACAACCTTCTAGCCTTCACTTCACATCACATCACACAACCCTGTCGACCGGCTACCAATCGCCTCGTTGGGTAATTCAAATAACACACAATAATATTTTATGCTAATAAAATAATGTAAAATATTATATCTTATGAATATACTGCTGTGCGCAATCGACTGTCAAATATACAATCAATTCACTTTCAAATCCCTGACTGTCCAACGCTTTGGGACATCCTCCCGACGTGAAAGGAGCTATGTTATACATAAAGTAATTTTGTATTGTATTGTATTCTATGAAGCGCTTTGAGACGTCTCAATGACGTGATGAGGCCCTATATCAAATGCAAGGATTATTATTATTATTTGGGAGCCATGTAGTGGAAGGAAGGTGAGAGGCTGTGTAACGTATATTTGTAAGTCTGTCTGAGTCACCCATTGAAGTGGGGAGCAGCAGAGGATGGGAATATTGGTTCACCATCCAGTAAGTGAGGCATGGCAGAGCTAGGACCAGCCAGAAGTGTAACTGTTCCTGTAGATAAAGGCAGCAGAATAATAATAACAATAATAATGATAATAATAATCCTTGCATTTGGTGAGGCACCTTATCACATCGCAATGATGTCTCAAAGCGCTTCACACCATTTATTGTGAAATGGTGCGACTGTATTAATAGGCAAAATAAATACAGTTAACAAATAAATATGAACAAAACAACAACAAATTACATGTGTACAGCGGCTTTCACATCAGGAGGACATCCCAAGGCCTAGATAGTCAGGGATTTGGACCGGAGCTGGTGGTTGGGATCAGGAGGGGTGGAGGGCGAGGAAGGTACAGGTAGGAGGGTGACCGAAGGCACGGTCGAAGAGGAGAGTCTTGAGATGGACTTGAAGGAAGCGAGGGAGGGGGGAGGCAAAGGGAATGCGGGATGGAGTTCCAAAGCGTGGGGGAAGAAAGGCCGAAGGCCCGACTGGCGTTGGAGGAGTGGGTCGGGCGGGGGACGTGGAGCACTCGAATGGAGTGTGAGGTGATGTGGCCACCACAGGTCCATTGCTGTTTGTAACGGGTTGTGAAAGAGTCGCTTTTTTTTGTTACGGGTCTGGTTTCATAAGACAAGTACTATATATATTTAGTTAAGAAAAAGAGGGTGAGAGTGTATGTGTGTGTGTGTGTGCGTGGGACAAAGGCGGAGACTTTTCCGAAAGTTGAAAAGTGTTTGTAAACTGATAACTGTGTGAAATCACTTCATTTTTAATTAAAATAAAATAAAAAGCGTTTTCGTTAGTGTCTTCGCGACCGGAGTGGCTTTACTTACCGATCTTCCGATGGAAAGTTCTGGACAAGATTCCCGTTGGGCTCTGTAGGGGTCGCAGTGAATTATCATCCATTGGACATCAAACTGCAGAGGACAAAGACATTCATTCACACACTTTTTATTTGATGTACCACACAGCGTGGTTTACGTTTATACAGCGCCTTTCACGTCGAGAGGAAGGACATCTCAAAGCGCTGCTGGCTGGACCCCCGAGCTGGGGTTAGGGGTCAGAGCTGAGGGTGTGGGGAAGGGAAAGATGACGAAAGCGATCAAAGAGTTGCATCTTGATACACATCTTGTTTTTAAAAAAATTATTACAGACGCGCACACCGAGATACCTTGTATTATTACACACACTCGTTGAGATACATCTTGTGTTATTACACACAGACGCACACTGAGATAATAATAATAATTCTTGCATGTGATATAGCGCCTTACCATATCATTGAGACGTCCCAAAGCGCTTCACAGAATCTACTGTGAAGTGGAGTAACTGTGTATTTGTGGGTGAAAAGGTAAGCCTTGTATTATTACAGACACAGAGTTCACTAGGACATAAAAGAGTACGACTAAAATATACTTCAAAAGTCTTTATAGATTCCAATAACCCTGTATCCACCAATGGACTGGACGGTCCTAGCTGGACAAGCAGCAGGAAGTTGATCACACAGCGATATCAATGGTCATCTGGGCAGCTTTAGGGTTCAAATTCCAACAGTAACGGATATTCTCGGTTGCCAAAGCCTTGGCTCTTGCCATCCTGCAACTAGTCCTCTCTGGAATGAGGGGACGACAGAGTGCGCGTTCCATTTCAGCCGCAGAGAAATTTTCGCATTTAGGTGGCACACATATACGGAACTGTCAGTCTGTTCTGAATAATCTTAAGCATGGTGATGGGTTTCCGCACGTGTCAGACAGACACCTGGCTGGTCAGAGAAATATAGTGCCAAAGAGCAGAGCTCTAAGAATCTTTTAGTATTAATATAAGCACCAAGTGGACACGGGACTATAATTCATTGTCTCTAAGCGTGTAATATACTTGGTGTTTTGTGTTTGTTCAGGTTAAAAGTTGCTTTGAGAAAATTAGCTTCCGTCACCTCATGATACTTTTAAATTTAATACAATCATTTCGTTCAAAGTTTTGATAATATATATGGACTTTAGGCATGAGACCAGTCCATCCAATTTCCCACAAGATTTCCCCGTCTCTGATTGTGGGTTCACGTCAGGACTCTGAACTAATAGTCTAGTCAGACACCCCAGTGCAGTGATGGGAGAGTAGTGCATTTTCAGAGGCACCGTCTTTCTGACGAGACATTAAGCTAAGATTTTATCTGCCTGTTTAGGTGGATGTTCTGGCACTGTTTGAAAAGGAAGGGAGTTTCTCATTGTGTCTTGGCCAAAAATCCCCCAGATAAGAATTGCTCATTCACTTCATAGCTGTTTGAGGGTCATTGCTGCGCAGAAATTGGCTGCCGCATTCACCTACAAAAATATGCAGTCACTACACTTTATCCTGTGAAGAGTTTGAAGACGTCTCAATGCTGCGATAAGCTGAATTGCAAGTGATTATTCAAATCGAACCACCATTAATCCTTTCAGCTGACTTGAAAATTGACTAGTTCCTTATTGAAACCTTTCAGAGCTTTTCATACCACAAGTGGTGCTGATACTTTGTTCCACACAATGTGCGCCCTTTTGCTAAAAAAAACCCTTCTACATTTCTTAATTCACACACACACAATTATTCATAATATTAATCTTTGCATTTGATATAGCACCTTATCACGTTGTTGAGATAAACAATAACAACAACAGCAACAACTTGAATTAATATATGGCGTCCCAGAGTTACCACAGCTGTGCTTCAAATACTGATGTGCGCAATTGGCTGCCGCATTTTGCCTACAAAAATATACAGTCAATTCACTTGAAGACGTGATAAGGCGCTATATCAACTGCAAGTATTATTATTACAATAACCGGGATAAAATGCAGCGAGATGACCCTACAATCTACCACCAATTTTGTTCGATAGCAACGAGCAGACTGAAATAATATTGAAAGTGAGTGGAATTTCAGTGTCTGGGCTAAGTGGACACTGTCCTCTCTCAGTGAGGGTCTTCTGTGTACACGCGACATTTCACACCACCTCAAAGAAATTAGACTACGCTCCCTCTCTCGCTTTCCCTCAGGCTTTCCAGCGTGCATGGGTGAAAAGCACCTTCACACCTATCAAAACTGATAAATGACCATGGGTGAACTTCAGAGACAAGGAGCAGACAGAGAGAGGTGTCCTTTCACAGGGGGATCCGTGGGGAGGAGTGAGAGGGTGGGGTGGGGTGTCAAAAAAAGTTGCTGAATGGGATTATTTCAAGGAAGGTCCAGAGATACACCTGGAATAGTAAGATATTTGGCTCCATCTGTTGGGCAGTTTTGAAATTTTCTTTATCCGTTTCACCCATAAAATATGAGGTCGATTAAATTCACTTTACAGTATATTCTGTGAAGCGCTTTGAGATGTCTCAACATTGTGATTAGGCACTAATTAGTTTGCACGGCTGTTTATGGGACACTGCTGTGTGCAATTGGCTGCCACATTTCGCCCACAAAATACACAGTCAATTCACTTTACGGTATATCACGTCAGGAAATCCTTCACTATACAAATGTAATTAGATGTTTGTTTGTGGTTATATCCTGTGAAGCGCTTTGAGACGCCTCAATGACATGATAACGCACGATATCAAATGCAAGGATTATTATTAATTACCTCCACTGAAGACTTGAAAGTCCTCTTTTTGCCAATGGATGCAAAAGTACACGGAGGAATTTCAATATTTTACGTTAAAAGGGAATTCAACTTCAGTGGAGTTTTCAAGCATTCCCTCCCCCCTCACCTGGCGCACGGACACACATCCTGGGTTCCTGAGCCTTGGCTCTTTCCAACCTGTGCCTGATGTTCTCCAGGATTAGGTTAGCAGGCTGAGTGCACATTCCATTCCAGGCACAGGAAAATTCCCATTTGTAGATGGTATACATATAATAATCCTTGCATTTGATATAGCGCCTTAACACGTCTTCGAGACGTCTCAAAGCGCTAACAGAATGTACCGTAAAGTGAAACTCCCTGAACTCGTGCGCAACTTAGGTGTCAGGTTCGACCAGCAGTTATCCTTCCTTAGTAATTCCTGTGAAGCGCTTTGAGACGTGTCAATGACGTGATAAGGCGCTATCTCAAATGCAAGGATTATTACATATCCACACATGGGTATCGCACGCCACTTATCCCCACAGATAAAATTGGTCATTTACTTCATGGTTATTTGCAGGACGTCACTGTTGGCAAATTATGTGCTGGTTACACCTACAATAAACACACTCCGCTTTACGGTGAATTTATGCGAAGCGCTTTGAGGTGTCCTCTCGTTGCAAAAAGAGCCTCATCGAATGTGAGGCTTATCATTATGTTCAAAATGCTTTAGGCGGCTATCCCAGTGAAATACTGGCATCTAAATTGCGGTATTTCTTGACAGATTTCTTAATAAGAAATGTTTCATCACCAAAATCTCTAAAAGCGGAAAAGGCAAAATACATTGTTCGGCAAATTCTGTGGTTCAGAAATTGGACAAGAAACAGCGTGAAATTGGAGCCCATTGTGGGTTAGGAGTAGAATTGTCACAATTCTACTCACATGACTTGCAAACCGCAGGTTTCTGTGGCTGCCAACCAGATATTAATCTGCAATACCGTTCCGTCACATTAATATCAATAGGTTTGACAGTTTGTCAGCGTGAGACATAGCCTAAGCTAGGTCAGTGAGCTCCAAGCTATTCTCTGTCTTGCTCTCCCCACCTTTTCCAGACTACCGCACCCTGATATGCAATGTGAGGCATTCACTGCGCTGGCAATTGTTGGTTTAACTCTGCTCGGCTCTGCTGCTAACTCATGTATCAGAAAACGCATTCAGCCAAGGGCAGAAGGAAACGCTTAGAGTAGAACTCACATAAGTCGTATCAGTTGGGACCATAGCATTTAATTTAACTGACACAAAATCCAAGTTGCAGGCAAACTGCATGAATCGTAGAAAACCTGATTTAATCAATAATCTACACTGTGAAGGTGGAGTCCTGTAGCTCAGTGGTTGGAGCACTCGCTTTGCAAGCGAGAGACCTGAGTTCAATTCCCGGCAGGGCAAAACCTTGGGCAAGTTTCCTTACTCCACACACCTAATAACAATCCCTCCAAAACCAAAAACAATAATAAATTGGTCATTTTCAATCTACAACTGTTTGTAGGACATTGCTGTGCGCAATTGGCTGCCGCGTTCGCCCACAAATATACAGTCAATTCACTTTACAGTATATTCTGTGAAGTGCTTTGGGACGTCCTCCCGACGTGAAAAGCGCTATATCAAATGCAAGGATTATTATTATTATTATTCAATGCAACCGGTAGGTGTGTGCATGCTGTGATGGGTCACGACTACTTTTTCCGCGATTAAATGAGTCTCGACCCACATCGAATTGCGGAAACTGAAGTACGACTTAGGCGATTATGTGATTTATGAAAAAAAATTTGATAGAGTTTTACTGTATTGCCGATAGCAAAAACAGCACATGTCAGACACACCACACCACAAGTTTAAAGCCAAGGCATACCGAGACTGGAAGGATTGGGATATTTTTTTGCTGCAATAAAAAACGTTGAGTGTTGACCTGATCAAGGTATTTACAATGATGAGGGGTTTTGATCGTCAATAGGGAGAAAATATTTCCACTAGTTGGTGAATCAGTTGCTAGAGGACATCCATTTAAGATAGAGTAAACTTCTCATATCTTGACTCTGGTTTAACTTGTCACTACCACTTAAATCATCATGCTGTCAATATCCCAGCTGTACTTATTTATGTAGTTTTACATATGCCTAATCTCGTGGCTCTGGATATCTCTGAGCCCTTTTCCGTAAGAGTGATGAGTTATCAGGAGTTTTATTGTAGTTAGCAAATAAGCAAACGGGGAGATCAGGAGAATTATTTTCACACACAGATATGGAATGTCCTGCCGGGAGCAGTGGTTGAGGCAGAATTCATATTGGCCTTCAAAGGAGAACTATAATAATAATAATAATCCTTGCTTTTGAGATAGCACCGAATCACGTCTTTGAGACGTCTCAAAGCGCTTCACAGAATATACTGTAAAGTGAATTGACTGCGTTTTTAGGTGAAACGCGACAACCAATTGCAGACAGCGAGATCCCACAAACAGTCGTGGATTGAGTGACCAAATCTTTTGAAGGGATTATTACCCCGGAACGTGATCCGCCAATCAACTAACATCCAGGTACCGGCTTTCTGCTAAGTAAAGAGGCGCGTATAGAGTAAGGAAACTTGCCTAAGGTTTTGCCCCTCCTGGGTCCTCTCGCTTGCAAGGCGAACGCTCTAACCAATACTCTACAGAACTCAGTAAAGTGTAGTGACTGCGTATTTTGTAGACGATCGGCACAAATAATTTGTGCACAGCAGATTTTAGCAACCGAATAAGGAAAAACAGCAAAGTTTTGCTTACCGGTACGGACACGGTGGGATTATCGCTGAGTTTCCCCAGAAACGTATCTCCTTTAGTGTTGATGATCCCTCGGGGATTGATTCTTTGAGTTTCTAGCCTCTCGCAGTCAATGAAGAGGGTCACGGTGTCGGCCTGTACACTGATCAAAACCTTGTGCCACTGGGAATCATAAAGAGTGGACACAGGAGAAAAGGTAATGGTCTGGAGGGCACCATCCACTCCCACCGCAAAAAACTCCACCGACCTGCTCCCACCGTTCATCCGGACCCCAACCTGGTCGTTTCCAAGGGGGTCCTTGATTTGCCAAATGTTCCAGTTTTTATCCTTGGTGCTGCCGTTCATGCGGAAGGTGGTGACAAAGGAATATTCCAAGGGTAATCCGTACGGATACGCAACTCTGTTGGAAAGACAATTTGTTTTTAAATGACTGTAAATTGTACTGGCTTCTGAAAGGAGAATTTATTGGTGCAATGATGACCCACTAGTCACCGACCACCCTCCTGGGGGTGGGGGTGTGGGTGTGGGTGGGAGTGAGGTGGAGGTAAAGCAGTGCCCTCTTGGAGTTTAAACTGGCTCCAAGGTGACATGCTTGACAACAGATTGGCGGAATAGAGTCAATCCTCTGTGGCCGGTCTCAGTAACTACAAGTTGGCGATCATTGTGCAATTGAGGAAAAGTCTTAGGTTCTGCCCCGTATAAAAGTTTAAGACAAAATAGTTTTAAGGGCTGAGATAAAGGACCGTTACCCCACCTAAGTGCATTTTTTCTGCCTCGTGGTTGCCTAACCAAGCCATGGGGAGTGAGTGGGCCAAAATTCCAACCAAGACTAGATATACTCTTATCCTTAGCAGTTGCAGAATTGGGCAAATCGTTGAATTCAGCCTTAACAGTTTTTTGCTGGCCCGCCCTTAAAAGATGACATACAGAAAACCCATCCGCGAATTCAAGGCTGTGTTTCAGAAGTTTACCCAAATCCTGTCTCGGACGCCCAGAAAGGCTAAGAAATTGAGAGGAGAGTAAATCTCTACACAAGAGTGGGATTTCTCTCTCCATGGGGCGGAGCTGGTCAGCTAATGTTCTGATCCCAGAGAAGACAGTGTGGCTTTCCCTGGTTATGTGATAGAAACACATCATTGGGGGCTTCACTTTACACCCACACACTGCAGGTCCCAGTCAACAGGCTTGACTTTAACAAGGTGCTCAGTTGCCAGCTTCGCCGCAGGTAAGTTTAATGGGTTCAAAGTCCATTCAAGACAACAAAAGAGCAAATGGGTCGGAATTTCGAAACTCTGTAACACGAACGCTTTCTTTTTTTTCCTCGAACATGCAATTATGTAAAAGATGCCAATGCGAGTTTCGCTGTGTGTAAAAAGATGTGAGTAATGGATACTCAGACAAATGTATTGTGTTTCATTTATTTACCTGGTGGGTACTCGGAAGAGCCCTCCTTTGCCCAGTCTGTAAGCCACCTGCAGAGGTGTGGATCCCAGCACCTTGTGGACCCCACTCCGAGGGGAAGCCACGTCCAAATGGAACTGTGAGATGATATCAAACCCTGCACCACGACACCCGTGAGTTTGTTACACAAGCAAAGAACATTGTTACTAACCGATCGGGAAACCTGATTGTCACCTCCTCCCACCCCACCCCCGGCTCGGCATCAGGCTCCTCCACTGTTAAGCGCTCCGAGACCCTGCCCCACGTTGTTGTTGTTGAATCAGAAACAGTCATTCAAGACGTTTTGTATCGCGCGCGATCCTCAGAACTCAAATATTTACGCTTGGTTGCTGTCCTGTGATCTGACTTTGTTTTAGATTTCATATTTAAAAAAAATACTGTCAATTAACTCAAATTTAACAGCGCTAAAAACTATTTTACAATAAGTAACGTTTTACCAATTTATTAAAAATAAATAACGTTTTACCAATTAAAATAAATAGCATTTTAAGTAATGTTTCCTCTTGAGTAAAGAGTTTTGCTGGTTGCTAACTGCTTAAATCTGCTCCTATTGTTGTCAATAAGTGGATGTTATCTTTATTAGAAGACCCAATAAAACAGAGCGATTTTCGGGACTCTTATCTTGATTTAAAGGGGTTCACAAGGTCCTGTTACCCCATGCTTTTTTTCTGCACTGCACAGACCAACAACTGAACCATGTGAAAGACTGATGATAATTGTGTTTAGAAGTACTTAATTGCATTCATTACAAGTGTTTAACTGTATTTAGAGGTCTAGAGGATGGGTGTGAGTGAGCGCATCATTTTCATGGCAGATAAAGATCTGTCGCCGTATTCAGCTGCCACATCTTCTGTAATATAGACTCATAAAATTATACAGCACAGAAGGACGCCATTCGGTCCATCGTGTCTGTGCCAGTTCTTTGAAAAAAGCTATCCAAACCAAACCCACTCCCCTGCTCTCTTTTGCTTACAAGTCTCTTATGTGGCACTTTATCAAACGCCTTTTGAAAATCCATATAAACTACATCAACTGCACTACCTTAATCCACCCTCTCTGTTACTTCATCAAAAACCTCTGTAAGGTTTGTTAGACATGATTTGCTTTTAACAAATCCATGTTGTCTGTCCTTTATTACCCCATATTTTTCTAAGTGAAAATTTACTTTGTCCCGGATTATAGTCTCTAAACGTTCCCCTACTACTGACGTTAGGCTGACTGGCCTGTAGTTCCCGGGTTTATCCTTCTGCTCCTTTTTGTACAGGGGAGTAACATTTGCAATCCTCCAGGCCCTTGGCACCACCCCGGTGTCCAAGGAGGATTGAAAGATTGTGGCCAGAGTCTTCCCTCAGTATCCTAGGATGCAACCCGTCCGGCAGGGTGACTTATCTACCTTGAGCACCGACAACCTTTTTAGTACCTCCTCTCGGTTTATTCTTATCTTATCCAATTTCTCTACTCTCTCCTCCGTTACTGTGGCATTGGCTGCATCCTCTTCTTTTGTGAAGACAGATGCAAAGTACTCATTCAGTACCTCAGCCGTGCCCTCTGCCTCCACAAGAGGATTTCCTCTTTGGTCTCTAATTGGACCCACCAAACCTTTCACTAACCTTTTATTCTTTATATGCTTATAAAATACCTTAGGGTTCCCTTTTATGTTACTCGCTAATCTTTTCTCATACAATCTCTTTCCCCCTCTTATTTCCTTTTTCAGTTCTCCTCTGTACTTTCTATATTCTACTTGATTATCTTCTGTATTTTGGACCTGACATTTATCATAAGCCTCCTTCTTCTGTTTTATTTTAATCCCAATTTCTTTATTCATCCAGGGAGGTTTGATGTGCTACCTTTCCCCTTTGTGGGAATGTATTTGTTCTGTCCCCAAAGTATCTCCTCCTTGAAGGCTTCCCAATGCTAGTTAGCTGTTTTACCTGCCAATCTTTCTTTCCAGCACACCTTGTCTAGGTCACTTTTTAACTCTCTGAAATTAGCCCTCTTCCAGTTGAGTATCTTCATCTTTGATTGCTCTTTGTCCCTTTCCATAAGTACTTTAAACCTCATGATGTTGTGATCGCTGTTGTCCAGATGCTCTCCTACTAAAACCTGCTCCACTTCATTCCCCAGAACTAAATCCAGCACTGCTTCCTTCCTCGTTGGGCTGGAAACATACTGATCCAGAAAGTTCTCCATGTTGGGTCGTGGTCCATGCTGGGATCCATGACATAGGGAAGAGTACAGGGACAGTATCAGAAGCTAGGGAAAAAGTTAAAGAGTAGAATCTCAAAGGTGGTGATTTCTGGATTACTCTCAGTGCTTTGTGCAAGTGAATATCAAAATAGCAGGATCAAACACATGAATGAACGTCCCAGCACCTTAGGACGTCCTCCTGATTTGAAAGGCGTTATACAAATGTAATCTTGTTGTTTTTGTTGTTGTTATCCTGCACACATTTCAGGAATCTTTCCCCCTCCTTGCCCTTTACACTGTTATTTTGCCAGTCTTTGTTAGGGTAATTGAAGTCCCCCATTATCACTAACCTATTGGTTTTGCATCTGCTTACAGATTTGCTCGTTTATCTCCTTCCCACTATCTGGTGGTCTATAGTATACACGTAACAGAGTAACAGCTCTTTTTCTGCTCCTTAACTCTAACCAAATCGATTCTCTTTTGGGGCCCTCGAGCACACCGTCCCTTTCCAGGGCTGTAACCGTGTTTTTAATCAATATTGACAAACCCCATCCTTTTTTTCCTTCCCTCTCCCTCCTGAATACATTGTAGCCAGGAATATTCAGCTCCCATTCCTGCCCTTGTTTGAGCCAGGTCTCCGTTATTGCCACTACATCATAACCCCATGTGGCAACTTGAGCCGCAGCTCACCAACCCAATTTGTTACACTCCACCCAATTACGCACACGCACTCCAAGACCAACTTAGTCTGTTCTGCATTTCTTCCCCTATCTAATCCCTCCATTTTCAGGATTTCTCCTTATTACATTGCTATTTGTCTCTCTGAGCCCTCTATGTAACTTGTTTGTCCTCTCTAATTTAACATCCTGATTCCCTTCCACCCTCGAAATTAGTTTAAACACTTCCCCACAGCACTAGTTAACCTCCCTGAGAGGACATTGGTCCCAGTTCTGTTCAGGTCCCACCTGCCCCAGAACCGGTCCCAATGATCCAGGAACCTGAAGCTCTCATTTCTGCACCATTTCTCAAGCCATGTATTCATGTGTTTGATCCTGCTGTTTTGATGCTCACTTGCACGAGGCACTGGGAGTAATCCAGAGGTCACCACCTTTGAAGTTCTACTCTTTAGCTTTTTCCCCAGCTTCCCCTGTACTCTTCCCTACATCATGGATCCCAACATGGACCACAACTTCTGGACGTTCCCCTTCCCCGTGTAGAATGTTTTGCGCCCGTTTCGTGATGTCTTCAACCCTGGCACCTTCTTCTTCATCTACATCTTCATCACGTCCTCCTGACGTGAAAGGCGCTTTATAAATGGAATCTTGTTGTTGTTGAGGAGGAGAAATGTATCTCTGACGGCTTGTTTCAGCTCTTCCGTGGTCTCATATCACTGTTTTGTAACAGGGGGTAACAGGACTTTGTGGACAACGTTGCTGATTTGGCTGCAGAACACACTGTTAGCACTAACCTGGTAAGTCATCTTGGCCAATCTTAATCTGGGGACATAACCCCCTCTCGGCGACCTCCACATTAGACCCTATGTGACATTTTAGAGAGATTTTTTGGGGGAAAAAAACCAAAAGTTAGTTCAGAGCGATTTTTGATTAAAAATTTCACAGATAAAGCAGAGAATTAAAAGAGAGAGAGAAACATCCTTTGTATCTATTGTATTATCAGTCATTCGGATGAGACGTTAAACCAAGGTCCCGTTAAAGATCCCGCGGCGCTATTCGAAAAGAGAAGGGAGTTTGCCCCAAATAAAATTGGTCACTCACTCCATGGCAGTTTGTGGGACACTGCTGTGTGCAATTTCGCCCATAATTATTTTTATTATTATTATTTGCTTTGGGCATTTATAAAGTTTAGGAATTTCCTGGTAAAACAGCCATGAAGTGAGCGTTCAAACTATTATTATTATTTTATTTTTCTTCAAGGGATTATTAACCCCGGAAAGCAATCCACCAATCGACGAACAACCAGGATGCTACTTACTGCTGGGTAAACAGAGGCGTGTGGAGTAAGGAGACTTGCCTGAGGTTTCGGAGAATATGGGGGAATAAAGCTGGAGGGTATATTCTTTTGCATGCAAAATTCTTTTTATCTGCTTACATAAACCCAGTCTAGGATTATCTCAGGAGGTCAGAAAAAAGACAAAAGCATCTTTCACAGACTGGGGCACCTGCCGACCCATGGCTTTAATGTGAGGTCCCGAGAGGTTAAGTAAGTCGAGGCACATTTGTTGCAAAGGTGGAAAGTGGTTATATCAACAGTGTCCCAGAGCTGTGTTACATTTCACACTAAGGTGCAGTGCAGCTGTGTTGAACTTTGCCCAACCACATCTACTGCTGCTTACCCTAAAACAAGTCTATTTTGTCCTCACCGTGAAACAAGTCTTCTGTGTCTGCTTGAGAAACTGGGAATTTTTAAAGTACTGTAATAATAAGACTTTGATTTTGATGTAACGCCCTATCACATCATCATGATAGAGCACCGTACCAAATCAAGGATTATAGGATAGAAGTGCCGCACAGGATTTTACTACAAAGTGCAACAACTGTGTAGTTGAAATGTGGAATTCTCTGCCACAAACTGTATTTAAATTATTATTTTAAATGGGAATTAGATCGATACTTGTAAAAGGGAAACTGAAAGGTGGGAATGAATTGAATTGGGTGGCCCATGTGGAGTTGAACACCCAGGATTTGATGGGCCAAATAGCCTGTATCTGTGCTGTAACATTTTATGATTCTGCACTTATTCCAACTGTAAAATATGTCTGCCCAAGAGGGGAATTATATAAGCATTTGAAGACTAAATATGTAAGAGTATGAGGAAAGAGCAGGGGAATGGGGATTAGAGTAGAGGGCTCCAGTGGGGGAACGAGAACCAGCACAGACACGATGGCCAAATGATTTCCTCCTGTGCTGTAATTTCAGATGAGAAGTTAAAATTAAGGTATCGTCTGCCTGTTCAGATAGAGTTTAAAGATCCCATGATACAATTCGAAAAGAGAAGGGAGTTTCTTCCAGTGTACTGGCCAACAAATCCCCCAAATAAAATTGGTCACTCACTCCATGGCTACTTTGTGGGACACTACTGTGCACAAATTGGCTGCCACCTTGGTCTATAAAAACAGTCACTGCACTTCACAGTAAATCCTGCCAAATGCGTGGAGATGTCCTCCCTGCGTGAACGGTATTATATCAAATGCAGTCATTATTATTATTATTATTATTATTATCATCATCTCTATGATTCTAATCTGCCGTGTTTCTCCCACAAAAAACGCACTATCCATCCATTTTACAGTGTATCCTATGAAGTGCTTTGAGATGTCTCGATGAGGTGATAAGGCGCTATATCAAATGCAAGGCTTATTATTAACAATAATATTTTTGCCCATAAAATATACAGTCACTCCACTTTGCATGTATATCCTGTGAAGCTTTGAGACATCTTGAGGAGGTGATAAGGCGCTATATTAAATGCAAATGTTACAATAATAATAATCCTTGGATTTTATATAGCGCCTTATCATGTCTTCGAGAGTCTCAAAGCGCTTCACGGGATATATTATAATGTGGAGTGACTGTATATTTTGTGGGCGAAACTTATCAAAATTATTATTATTAATAATTATTAATTATTAATATTATTATTATTATTATTATCGGAGTCCTGTAGCTCAGTGGTTAGAGCACTCGCTTTGCAAGTGAGAGACCTGAGTTCAATTCCAGGCAGGGCAAAACCTTGGGCAAGTTTCCTTACTCCACACACAGCCCTAATAATAATCCCTCCAAAACAAAAAAACAATAATAAATTGGTCATTTTCAATCTACGACTGTTTGTGGGACATTGCTGTGCGCAATTGGCTGCCGCGTTTGCCCACAAATATACAGTCAATTCACTTTACAGTGTGTTCTGTGAAGCGCTTTGGGACGTCCTCCCGACGTGAAAGGCGCTATACCAAATGCAAGGATTATTATTATTATTATTATTATTATTAACATCATCAGTGCAAAAGAGTAGTGCCCAGAGATCAGGACAGCAGAGTCCACGATTACAAACACATAGCCTAATGGAGAGAGATCAATCTGCAATGCTTGAACCTGCAAACACCAAGACCTGAAGATGGAAAACCCCATAAGAACGTGCAGCTTTATTTTGCTTTAAAAAAAAGAAATTACTTACCCCTGAAAAACTGCCCTGTGGTAGCTGCAAGGCTGGTTACCAGGGCACTGAGGTGAAACCAACACACCAGCACTTGCCATCTGAAATCAACACATCACAAAAGTCAGAAACGTAACCAAGAAAATCACCTTAACAATCTCAGCACAATTCAATTAATACAAAAAATAATCTTTGCATTCGCCTTGGTGAACCTTAACACATCTCCACAAGCCAATCAATATAATGATCCTTGCATTCGCGTTGGAGACATCACAGCGTGAGGAACACAGCTGAACATTCAGACTTTATATTAAAGGAAAGTTTTGTAACTTATTAAGACAGTTTGGGGGAAGTTTTATAACTCTTAGGAAAGTTTAATAACTTTTTAGCGAAGAGGTATAACTTTTAGGACTAAACCAAGCCAAACTCCTGAACAATGTAAAAGTTATGAAACATTTATTTATAAAAAAATGTTGTTTTGCTTAAATTAATTTTCTGAGATCTTAGCCCACCCCACTCCTTGATCTTTTCTTTGGAGGGCTTTCCCCCTCATTTCCCTGTATAACGTTACTCCCTTAGCTCCCAATTCCACCACAGTGTTATCAAGATCGAAACAGAATTAAAGAGAGGAGTGGAAATCCTACCGACTGAACAATGACCCATGAATTCCCATCTTCATGTTTTTCCTGTTTGGTGACTGATCACGGAGTCTGGAGTTACTGTATTATCTCACGTTTGTGCTGGCGATGAAGCGACTCACGGGGGTGCGTGAGAGAGGGTGAAATAGCTTTCAACGCGCCCTGACTTCTCTCTGTCTCCTCAACCCACGTCCCAAATACAGCAAGGAGTCAACTGAGAGTCCAAGCTCTTTCAAGGAACCTTCTGGTGTCTTGCTCGCACAGCTCAGAAAGGGCTGGGCTGCTTTTATTTACACGTCGAGAACCCTTGCTTGCTCGTCTAGGAGGGAGGGAGGGGGGGGGGGGGGGGGGAGGGAGGCATTGGCAGCTAACGATAGGGTTTCTTTTCACATTGAGGTAAATAAAGTGAGTGTGTGCGTGGAATTCTTTTGTGATTCCATTTCCAACCGAGGTCACGGAAGGTCGAGTGAAGAGTCGCAGCAGGACACACGGTGCATTGGAGAGAAAGGTCACTCTTTTATTTTTTGCTCAGCCACATGTGGAAGCCCATCACCGTTGCTTAAAGGGTCACCAAACCAAGCTGAGAATTCCCACCCACACAAGGAAATCCCAGGGAGAGATTGTTGGGATGGAATGCGCACCCTCTCCCCGGAGGGACGCATCCCGCTGACCTAATTCCAGAGAGTATTAGGCGCAGGTTGGCAAGAGCCAAGGCTTGAGGACTCCAGAGTGTGTGTTGGGGTAACTGCTGGAGTCTAACCGGCTGAAACCCATCACTAATAATTATGATCATTAACTAAATTAGGGAATGCTTAAGGAAGACAGCAACATTTTCGCACAGACACAGCACAGTGGCATAATAATAATAATAATAATAATATTCCTTGCATTTGATTAAAGCGCCTGCCTTATCGCGTGGCTAAGATGTCTCGAAAGTGCTTCACAGAATATTCTGTAAAGTGGATTGATTTTGTATTTTGGGGACAAAACACAGCAGCCAAGTGAGCACAGCGATGTCCCACCACCAGTTGTGAATTGAACGACCAAATTTTCTGGTCGCACAAAGTATAAACGCATAAAGTGCAATACACAATTTCGTGGCTTGTGCTTGGTAACACTATATGAATGCAAGTTGTTGTGTAATTGTTTCTTTAATGTGATATCTAAAGTGCCACATAGTGTAGCCATCGTATAATTACAAGCAAAAATTCAGTACATGCAACATTGAATGAAACATCAGCTAAACGCAGGTTTCCGTAGATCAGGGTACTGTGATCTCTTAAGTGCTGGTTTAACAAACAAATACAATATCATATGCCAGTTATAATCTATTGCTAGCTCTTAATACCTCGAAGCAACAGAAAAATACGCTGAAATTTGTAGCCCTTTACCCTCTCTGCCACTACACCAGGAAAATATACACAGTGCAAATTAGTCTGTCAGTAGAAAAACAACGTATGAAAATAAAAAACAGACATTTTGCCGTTATTATAAGATAATAATAGTAAAAATACAAAGCTTTTCCTACCTGTCAAGCCCTGTACAAAACATGATCTCAGAATTGATGATACCTTAAGTTTGGCAATTTTAACAATTTTTTAAGAATTTTACCGAATATTCTTAAACATTTTCTTAAAACAGCATATTTTTCCTTACAGACAGCGAAATGAAAACATCGGTCTCATAACGGCTCTCTGCGAACGTCTCTTGCGCTTTATTAATCCACCACTACGGAAGAGTTTGGGTTTCTCTAATTCTGTATGTTTTACCCTCTCCTTGCAGCGGGGGTCCCGTGATTGGCATTTTTTTTCACTGGCACAGACAGCCAGTAACCATTGCCAAGTGACTGTTAATCTCCGGTTTGCAATTTTCACTGGCATCCACTTGAGTGGACACATTACATGGTTGGTACATTTCTTTGTAGTCTCCCCCATGTTGAACAGCCAAACCAACTCCTATCAATAGTAATCAAAAACCCTACAACTGATATAGTGGCTTTCACTGCAGGAGGATGTTCAAAGTGCTTCACAGGATTTCCTGTAAAGTGTGGTGACTGCATTTTGTGGATATTGCGAGTTGCCCTTTTTTCTTTTATTTCCCAAACTCGACGAATGAATTTTTTTAAACAAATTTCCGATTCAATGCACTGAGACTCCTTTTCTCAAAGTGCCCATGAAGTAACCTGTGGTGAAAGGTCACCATTTATTTTGGCACATTTCTTAGTGACTGGACTCCACATGTGGCACCGCCGTGTCAGATTTTGTGAACCGAGAACTTTGAAAAGAGTTTTTTTTTCAGCTAAATATAGTGAAATAGCTATCTGGGGAATAGGGCTGATGCTGTCTATCAGTTAGCTCAGTAAAACAGGTTTAGCACTTGGGGATGAACATTTGGTCACGATTTTTCCAACTGTGTTCAACGACTATTGAATTTTTCCAAACCAGTGGAGGTGCTTTTAAAGCAGAATTCACAATTTTGGATTCCTCACATGACCAACCGAGAGAAAATAATCTCAAGGAAGTTTTTTTTCCCAATAATTATTATTACAGTATTAACAATAATATTAACAATAAGAATTTAATTATTACCCCGGTTAGCGATCTGCCAATCGACTAACAACGGGGTTCCTACTTACTGCGAGGTAAACCAGAGGCGTGTGGAGTAAGGAAACTTGCCTCAGGTTTCGTCCTGCCCGAGAATTTTGCACAGCCTTAAATTTTAAGATACTTTATGTCCTGGAAATTGCACATTGCGTTTATTAGCCTGCAATACTATGAATTTCTCCCCAATGATGCCTCATCATGCACATTCTTTCCTTAATGCTAACATGAATGTCCCGTTAAATCCATTCTATATACAGAGGCTTTTGAATCGAATATCTGATAGTCCTTTGAGTGAACAAAGAGGAATAAAAATGACAAGGTTGCGATGGTAAAGCACAAATTATTAACTCGTATGTCAATGGACAGGAACAGGGAATCAGGAGAACCCAGCTGTTGAAGATACTTTGCAGTAAAATCAGAGAGGGCTGATGTGGCAGATTTTAGTGGAGTCCTGTAGGGTAGTGATTAGAGCACTCACCTCGCAAGCAAAAGGACCCATGTTCAATTCCCGGGCAGGGCAATCGCTAACCTAGGCAATTGGCTCCCGCATTTCGCCCACAAAATACACAGGCAATCCACTTAACAGTATATCCTGCGAAGCGCTTTGAGACGTCTCAACGATGTGATAATGGCGCTATATTGAATGCAAGGATTATTATTATTATTTTATTCATATTAATACTATTATTTAGCAGTTCACCTACAAAGCACACAGTCACTACCTTTTACAGTAATAGGCACAATATAAAATGCAAGGATTATTATCATATTTTATTCACATTATTTAGTGTTATTACTTGCTTGTTCTACAAAATACATAGTTGCTACACTTTATATCCTGTGAAGTACTTTGAAACAATCTTATTATGTGATAGGCATTATATCAAAAGTAAAGATTATTAATATTTTATTATTATTTGGTACTATTATTTAGTAGCATTTTAGTAGTATTATTTGCAGTTTTCTGCTTGGGATTCAAATTTTGTTTGGTTAATTGATAATTGAAGTACAGTAATTTGCATCATGTGGTCAGACACAAGCCAGAGGTATGTTTGCTGCCCTCTTGTGCTAACAGAAATAAACAAAAGTTTATTTGGTTTGAAGGTTATGCTGTATCCTTTGAAGGTCATTTTTCCAATGACCCTTCTTGATCTGTTGATTCATTGCACCATTTTATGGCCAAGAAAGTGGACGACAGTTTGTTCCCATACCTCCTTACAATCTTATATCTTAGCTATACCAAATGCAAGAATAATAATTCTCCTATAACAACAATAATAGCTCCTATAACAACAAGAAAAACAACGACAAAATTACATTTATGTTGAGAACCGCCCATTCACAGGGAATTGCTGATAAGTGTAATAACTGTAAGAGTATCTGTGAGCAAATGCAACAGTCAATTTGTGTATTGCAATGTTCCACAAACAAGTTTGAATGACCAATTTGATCTGTATCACACACACCACCTGCTAGTCCTCTGGCACGATGTATCACACCACTTGTTCGAATTCCGACACTCTGTATAATGTTGCCTCTCAGACCCAACGAGATAAAGACAGACCAGCAGACGCGCGGAACTTTTTTTTTACAGCGTCTTATCGAGTTGAAACATATCCAAACACTTCACTCGTTAGTAGTTTGCAGAGAAAATACACAGTCACTTTACTTTACAGTAAATCCTGTGGAGTACTTTGATACATCCTTCCAGTGTGAAAGGCACTATAACAAATGCAAGGACTATTTATTATTATTATTTATTATTATGATTATTATTATTATTATTGCTGTCCAGTGTAAGCAAATGGGAAAGTCTTTTGCACCAACAAAGTTCCACAAAATGGTTTGATGTTGTCCAGAGTCATAGAAAATGAGGTTCCCAAACTTTTGTCAAGCAGGTTTTCAACGAGCAGAAACTGGAGCAAGGTTTGTGGAGACCTATTTAGTAATGTCCAGCTGAAGCTGTCAGTAAGCCTTTCCATGGGAAACTATTTATTTTCCTGTGAAACACAAAGATTGGGGTTACCTCAAATGACAATACTTGAAGCTGAGCAGCAGAAACAATTAATCAAACAATCGAAGCACAAAGAACCCGGTTGATACAGCTCTTTACAGCCAAGACAAGGTTTCCAGCAAACAGACTATAGCCTGTGGCTCGTGTAGGAAGGGAATATCTCCGAATGCCAAGGTTCAATTGCCCAGTCATTCAGAGCTGTTCAAACTTCTCTTCTGAATGGAAAACAATAACTTTCCTGGGCTTTTGTTGACTTTTTTTTAAAAAAACCTTGCAGTTGATAGAGCGCCTTATCATGTCAGAAGGACGTCACCAAGTGCTTCACAGAATTTACTGTTAAAGTGGATTGATTATGTATTTTGTGGGCGAAACACAGCAGCACACAGCAATGTCCCACGGAGAGCCATGAAACAAATGATCAATTTTAATTGGGGGATTGTTGGCCAGGACACCGGGAGAAAGTCCTTTCGCTTTTCGAATAGTGCCATGGGATCTTTAACATCCAACTGAACAGGCAGACTGGACCTCAGTTTAACGTCTCAGCTAAATGACGGCACCTCCAACAATGCAGCACTCCCCCAGCACTGCATTGGAGTGTCATCCTACACCTTGTGAGTTTAAGTCCTGACATGGGATTTGAACCCACAATCTTCTGGACTCAGAGGTGAGAGTGCTACCACTGAACCAGCCGGATACTCTAGCCACGAAAGGGATCTTATAGAGATTTATGAAATTCTAGATGGGTTTTTGTTTCGATCAGCCGGGTGTCGCAAGCGAGAGACCTGGGTTCGGTTCCCGGCAGAGCGAAACCTTGGGCAAGTTTCCTTACTCCACACGCCTGATAATAAACCTTCAAGACAAAAAAGAATAATAAATTGGTCACTTCAATCCATGAATGTTTGTGGGACACCGCTGTGCGCAATTGGCTGCTGTGTTTCACCCACAAATATACAGTCGATTCACTTAACAGTATATTCTGTGAAGCGCTTTGAGACGTCTAGAAGACGTGGAAAGGGCTATACCAAATACAAGGATTATTATTATTTTATTATTATAAATCCAATAGGGCTTTAGTGGGGTTAACAGGAGATAAATAATAATAATGCTAACATTTGATATAGCACATTATCATATCGTTGAGATGTTTCAAAATGCTTCACAGGATATAATAATAATAATAATTCTTGCAATTTGATGCAGCACACGTCTGTGAGACATTTCAAAGCGCTTCACAGAATTGACTGCATATTTTGTCGGTGAAATGCGGCAGCCAATTGCGAACAGCAGTGTCCCTCAAACACTCGTGGATATACTGTATTGTAAAGTGGATTGACTGGGAAGAATCCTTGCCCCTCCAAGTCTCATCAAGCTGGCTGATCAGGCTTCAGCAATGCCCTGAAGTATTGTGGACCCACCTGCTCAGGCAACAGACTACTGCAACCACCGCAAAGGCTTGACACGATTCCGACATTCGGTTGCCAAGAAGCCAGCTCAGCACCAAGGAGCTGACCCACTCACTTCCCTCCATCCCTTCCCCCCAGAAGAAGGTATAACATTCATTTCAAGTCCACGCTAATTCTACATCGAGCAGCGTCAGCAATTCTCCCAGGTGTTCTGCTACTCTGCCAATTCCAGGCTGACTTCACCAGACTGACTGTAATCTGCAGCCCAAGCTTTCTGTAAGCAATAAATATGCTACGACAGCAAAAAAAAAACAATTCACTGCAAAATTCCAGAGGAAGTCTACCTCTATGGTGATACCAGTGGCGGCCAGTCGTCACAGACAAATGAGTTAGCACTTCCCCCTCTGCAATAACTTTCTGTTTCCATTGGTTTTCGTGATGGAATCCCGACCACATTCATTGCAATAGCCAGTATCCAGTTATGCTAAGTTACTAGGTATGCAATTTACTCGGACAGAGTGGCTATATCGCCTCTTGTATTTATCGAATCTTGGATGCTTGGCTGAGAGTGAGGTCTCAGTTTCTCTCAGCTCGATCCCCAACAATAACAACAGCAACTTGCATTAATAACTAATAATAATCTTTGCGTTTGATATACAGCCACCGCCTCTCCTGCCTGATATGGAGGCCACTGCCTCTCATCTCAGGTCGCCGAGACCCTTATCAACACATTCATCCCGTCCCGGCTTGACTACACCACATGCCTGCTCACTGGACTTCCTAACCCTTCCCTCCACAAGCTGCAGATCATCCAGAACTCTGCAGCTCGTGTCCTCTCCTACACCAGGCTCCGTGAACCAATCACCCCCATCTTCACCCAGCTCCACTGGCTCTCTATCCTCTGTGACCTTCTAACCCGTATCAGCCCGTCCACTCCGTTCCCGCGCCCCCCCATTGGCGTTCGGGCATTCTGCATCTCTACCCCACAATCCCTCCGCCTCATCCCTCTTGCCTCCTTCAACAACAACAACAAATTACATTTGTACAGCGCCTTTCACATCTGGAGGACGTCTCAAAGCGCTGGACAGTCAGGGATCAGCACACCAGTTGTTGCTTGGATTCGGGGTGAGGGCGGGGAGGGAAGTGTCCTTCACGCGGACAGCATCACTGAACAATTTGTGGCACAGAGAGCAGGTCAGCTGCGTGAAACGTTTTGAGATATCCTTCCAGGGTAAAAAGCATTACACAAATGCAGTTTGTCATTGTTGCTGTAAAATCTAGACACACAAGGAATTTCTCCACAATTTAGTCACTTAATCCACGGCTGTTTGGAGGACACGGCTGTTCGCAATTGGGCTGTTGCGTTTTGCCCACAAAACGTAATCAATTCATTTGATAGTATAATCTGTGAAGCGCTTTGAGGCGTATCGATGATGTAAGGCGCTACACCAAATGCAAGGATTATTATCATTAAAATCCTTTACTATTATTATATTTCTCCTTTACTGAAGATAAGAGTCGCTGCTGTAACTTCAGCACAAAGCACTGAAAGGTTTCACTTGGCTTTCAGCCAGGACTCAGCGTGAGCGCTCTAAAGGTCGATGATCAGAAGCCGTTCGGATTCATGAGCTCTTCGAAGCTCCTACGCCTCGCAGCGGTCTTCCACCGAGAACATCTCTGCGAAGCTTGACTCGACCCGAAAGCCTCGCGTGCCGAGGAGACGACAGAGGGAAGTAGGTCAGTACGTCCTGTTCACGAGGCGTCGTCTTCGGTGAGAGTTGCGCTCTCCGGGGCTGTGCCGGCGCCGACCTGAAGGCCTTCAGCTCTCCGCCCGAGTCTCACTTGTGAAGCGAAACCGCCCGCGTGCTGACGTCCAACGTGACGCGGAGTGCTGCAGCCCCGACAGGACGCCCCGGGACCCATCCCCGGAGCCCCGCCCGCCCGCTCGCCCGCGCAGAGCGGCAATAACAAGCGGCGAGAATCCTCGCATCCGACCCCCGGCGGTGGATTGGGCGGCGGTGAGGCGAAGGGGTGACCGGGCGCGGTTTTGCGGGCGGGTGGCGGCCGGTGCCCCACAAACGGGAATTATTGTCCTCCCCCTCCCTCCCCCTCCCCACCACCCGCCCCACCCCGAGCCGTGTCCGGGCCCGGACCCCGATCGGCTAACGACCCCGTTCCGACCGACTGCTGAACAGGGAGTGCGCGGAGCAAAGAACCCCCCACACCCCACCCGGGAATTAACCCCCGGGGGCCTCGCCCTCGAAAGGCGACTGACCGCCAACTGCTCAGCTTCCGGTACTCAATGCCTCCCCTCCCCCCCCTCCCCCTGGACACATTCCCTCCTCTGCTCACCCCCCCCTCAACCGCAATGGACATGCGCAGTGAGTGAGTGAGTGAGTGGTGAGTGAGGGCTGACAGCCAGACGCGCGCAGGCGCAGTGAGTGAGTGAGGGCAACCAGGCGCAGGCGCAGTGAGTGAGTGAGGGCAAGGGGGCCGCCAGCCCCGCGCGCAGGCGCAGTGAGTGAGTGAGGGCACCCAGGCGCAGGCGCAGTGAGTGAGTGAGGGCGGCCAGGCGCAGGCGCAGTGAGTGAGTGAGGGCGGCCAGGCGCAGGCGCAGTGAGTGAGTGAGGGCGGCCAGGCGCAGGCGCAGGGAGTGACTCCCGCTCAGTCCCTGACTGGAGTCGGAGAGAGGGAGAGAGAGAGAGGGAAGCGGCCGCCGCCGTGTTGGACACTTGGCTGCAATCAGGCGGCGGGGACACGGCGAGGCCCGGCCCGGCCCGGGGGCAGCACAGCCCCTTCCCGAACACATGTGGAGGCCCGAGCGGCTGTAGAGGGAGAGGCCGAGGCTGTCACTGGTGAAGGAGGTTCATCATCAGCAGCAGCTGCTGCCGCTGGTGAGTGAGTGACGGTCACTTTGGTTATAACAGCGACAGCGGCTACAGAGCCCTCATCGCCATCACCACATCACCATCACCAGCCTCAGCCCCCCCATCCCCCCCAGCCCCTCAGCCCCCCCAACCCCCCATCCCCACCCCAGCCCCTCAGCCCCCCCAAACCCCTCAGCCCCCACCCCAGCCCCTCACCCCCCCAACCCCTCAGCCCCCACCCCCAGCCCCTCAGCCCCCCCCAACCCCTCAGCCCCCACCCCAGCCCCTCAGCCCCCCCAACCCCTCAGCCCCCACCCCAGCCCCTCAGCCCCCCCCCAGCCCCCACCCAGCCCTCAGCCCCCCCCAACCCCTCAGCCCCCACCCCAGCCCCTCAGCCCCCCCCAACCCTCAGCCCCACCCCAGCCCCTCAGCCCCCCCAACCCCTCAGCCCCCACCCCAGCCCCTCAGCCCCCCCCAACCCCTCAGCCCTCAGCCCCCCCCAACCCCTCAGCCCCCCCAACCCCTCAGCCCCCCCAACCCCTCAGCCCCCCAACCCCTCAGCCCTCAGCCCCCCCAACCCTCAGCCCCCCCAACCCTCAGCCCCCAACCCCTCAGCCCCCCCCAACCCCTCAGCCCCCCCAACCCCTCAGCCCCCCCAACCCCTCAGCCCCCCCCAACCCTCAGCCCCCCAACCCCTCAGCCCCCCCCAACCCCTCAGCCCCCCCAACCCCTCAGCCCCCCCAACCCCTCAGCCCCCCCCCCAGCCCTCAGCCCCAACCCCAGCCCCAACCCCTCAGCCCCCCCCCAGCCCCTCAGCCCCAACCCCAGCCCCAACCCCTCAGCCCCCCCCCAACCCCTCAGCCCCCCCCAACCCCTCAGCCCCCCATCCCCCCAACCCCTCAGCCCCCCAACCCCAGCCCCCCATCCCCAACACCAGCCCTAACCCCCTAACACCAGCCCCAACCTCAGCCCCCCATCCCCCCAACACCAGCCCCCCAACCTCAGCCCCCATCCCCCAACACCAGCCCCCCAACCTCAGCCCCCATCCCCCCCAACACCAGCCCCCCAACCTCAGCCCCCCATCCCCCCCAACACCAGCCCCCAACCTCAGCCCCCCATCCCCCCAACACCAGCCCCCCAACCTCAGCCCCCATCCCCCCCCAACACCAGCCCCCAACCTCAGCCCCCCATCCCCCCCAACACCAGCCCCCAACCTCAGCCCCCCATCCCCCCAACACCAGCCCCCCAACCTCAGCCCCCCATCCCCCCAACACCAGCCCCCCAACCTCAGCCCCCCATCCCCCCAACACCAGCCCTAACCCCCCAACACCAGCCCCCCAACCTCAGCCCCCCATCCCCCCAACACCAGCCCCCCCCCCCAACACCAGCCCCAACCTCAGCCCCCCATCCCCCCCAACACCAGCCCCCCAACCTCAGCCCCCCATCCCCCAACACCAGCCCCCAACCTCAGCCCCCCATCCCCCCAACACCAGCCCCCAACCTCAGCCCCCCATCCCCCCAACACCAGCCCCAACCTCAGCCCCCCATCCCCCCAACACCAGCCCCCCAACCTCAGCCCCCCATCCCCCCAACACCAGCCCCCCAACCTCAGCCCCCCATCCCCCCAACACCAGCCCCCCAACCTCAGCCCCCCATCCCCCCAACACCAGCCCTAACCCCCCAACACCAGCCCCAACACCAGCCTCAACCCCCCATTCCCCCAACACCAGCCCCTCAGCCTCAACCCCAGCCCCCCAGGCTCAGGCTCAACTCCAGCCCCAACCCCAACCCCCCATCCCCAACCCCAACCCCCATCCCCTCCAACCCCAGCCCCCTAACCCCAGGCCCCCAGTCCCAACACCAGCCTCAGCCCCTACCCCACAACACCAGCTCCAGCCCCAACACCAGCCCCAGCCTGGGTTACACAGCTTCCCCCCAACACTCTCTCCCTCTCTCTATTTTTCCCTCTCCTCTCCCTCTATTTCTCTCTCCCCTCTCTCTCTCCCTCTATTTCTCTCTCCACTCGTTCCCTCTTCTCTCCCTATTTCCCTCTCTCTCTCTATTTCTCTCTCCAAACCCTTTCCCTCTCTCCCTTACCTCTCTATTTCTCCCTCTCTCTCTCTCTTTCTCTGCCTTTCCTCTCTGCCTTTCCGCTCTGTCTCTCTCGCTCCTTATTTCTCTCCATCTCCCTTTCCTGTCTCCCTCTTTCTCTGCCTTTCCACTCTTTCCTTGCTGTCTCTTTACAATGTACTTTACAATATATTCTTTGAAGTGCTTTGAGATGTCTATATTTCAGTGTCAAATGCAAGAATTATTGTCATTCATTCCTAGTAATCTTTGCATTGATCCCCAACTGCAAACAAAATTAGACAGTCACTACATCATAACACTTTTCAGTAAAATTCTGTGAAGTGAATTGTTATTATTGTTTGGTGTGGTGCCTTTCACGTCCTCCCTTGAGAATTTACTGTAAAATGTCTGTTTTTGTAGATGAATGAAGCAGCCAATGTGAACACAGCGGTGTTATGTGAACGACTAATTTTTATATGGGGTTTATTGGCAATGACAGCAGGAAAAACATTTTCTCTTGTTGAATAGTATTGTTGCATCTTTCATTCACATCGCTTGAACATGTAGATGGCACCTCTGTTTATTGCTTCAACAACAACACAATTACATTTATAGAGCGCCTTTCACGTGGGGAGGACGTCCCAAAGCGCTGAACAGTCAGGTGTCGGGGCCCGAGCATGGGGGAGGGGTGGTGTAGGGATGAGGGAAGGCAGAGAGGTGGGAGGGAGACCAATGGCACGGTCGAAGAGAAAGGTCTTGAGAACGACCTTGAAGCGAGGACGCGAGGCGAAGGGACTGTGGGATGGAGTTCCAGAGTGTGGGGGCAGAGCGGCTGAAAGCGCGGCCACCGATGGTAGGGCGGGTCAGGCAGGAGACGTGGAGATGGTACCTCTGACAATGCTGTAATCCTCCCATCACTGGACTGAAATGAGTTCAAAGTCCCGACATGAGGCTTGAAGCTCCAACCTGTGAGCTCGACCTTCTGTTATAGCACCTTTGAAATCGGGAGTACGTCCTACTGACAAAGGAATTTAGCTGTAAAATGTAGTGATCTCTTTTGATCAGAGTGCTCTGTAACTTACAAATGTCTTAGTGTACTTTTCAGGTAAATTGCTTGACAAGTGTGGTGAAAGTATATTTGCAGGTGAATGATGCAGCTAGTTGTGTGCACAACTAGGTAAAATCCTACAAACGGCCATGAAGTGAATTTATCTGGACGCTAGGAGGAAGGATCTTTTTTCAAAGAGTCTCACAGGATGTTCATCATCCACTTGAATAGGCAAGACCCCCGGTTTTAAACCCGCAATCATTTATTGTCGAGGTGCAAGTGCTACCATCTGAGCCCAGCTGAGACTAGCCAAGATGCAAGCGGGGAGGATTTCACCCTGTGGGAGTGTGGGAGAATATCTATTGGGTTTTGTGTAAACCTAATGGACCTGTACTGTTTTTGCCACTGCTCTCCGACCGTGCTTTCGATCACCCTGCTTCCCCCCACCCTGCCCTCCCCAATGCCGACCCCCAGCTCGGGATTGAAACACCGATTGGGAGGAGGAGGTAAGGGGACCGGCAGCAAGCACAAGTTAGCTAAGAAGCGGGGCCGAACAGAGAAGTGAGGAAGAAGATCAGGGAGATTAGAGTGAGTGCTTGGATGTGAAGGGATTTATCAGTGAGGGTGAGGACCTTGAAATTGATCTGCTGGGAAACAGGTGGAATATTGGTTTGTCTCAGGTCGGCAAATCTAGTCACAGTGCAGCCTTCGTTTGGTACTCAACTGGAGTGTCAGCCTAGTTTGTGGTTAATATCTGATGTGGGTTTTTGCTATTTTAGTTTAGAACAAATGTAGTTATTCCACGCACCTCTGTTTACCTAGCAGTAGGTTGGAACCCAGTTGTTAGTCGATTGGTGGATCTGGGGGTAATAATCCCTTCCAAAAAATAAATAATTAACATAATGATAATAATTTGGTCACTCAATCCACGAGTGTTTGTGGGACATTGCTGTGCGCAATTGGCTGGGGCGTTTCGCCCACAAAATATGCAAGTCAATTCACTTTTTTGTATTTTCTGTGACGTGCTTTGAGATGTCTGAATGACGTGATAAGACCCTGTATCAAATGCAAGTATTATTATTACAGCATTTAGTTTTCAATTGCATCGTGCTTGCAGAAACACATCATTTTATAAAAACAAGTATGGATGGCTTATGTTTTAAATTAACTTAATTCCAAATGATGTGTTAGAGCCATTTTGCATTCCAATAATTTAGATAGCTTTAGTGATCAAACAGGTGCCTTCCCACCCACCTGTGTTAAATATTCCCACAAATCCTGGTGTTTATCATACGGTAGAAAATGTTAAGAAAATAAGAATCGAGGACAGCTTTGCTAAAGTCAGCATTTCACACTGTTATCTTTCAACTCGAGATCAAAAGCTTGTTTTCAAGCTGTCAAATGGCTTGCAAAATAATGGTAATTGAATCTCAGTGATGGATTTGAAGTGATGCAGTGGATTGTAAGATAGCAACTTGATAGATTCAACTCGTGGCCTAGTCCTTTGAAGTACTTGTCCACAATTGTAATGTAATATGGTTTTTCATGTCAGTCGCCCTTTAATTCTCATTCCCCTCCCTCAGTAAGAACATTTCTAATAATAATAATATCATAATGACAATCCTTGCATTTGATTTAGGGCCTTAGCATTTCTTCGAGACGTCTCAAAACACTTCACAGAATATACCGTAAAGTGAATTGACTGTATTTTGTGGGTGAAATGCGGCATTGAATTGCTCGCAGCAGTGCCCCACAAACAGTCGTGGATTGAGTAATCGATTTATTATTATCATTTTTCAAAAATAATTATTATTCCCGGAAAAGTAATCCACCAATCGACTAACAACCGGGTTCCTACTTACTGTTAGGTAAACAGAGGCGTGTGGAGTAAGGAAACTTGCCCAACATT